TTACGACACTCTCAGAAATTCATGGTCTTCAATTGAATCCCATACGGAGGGAAGAAATTTGTCACAATAAACATGACAAGATCGTTACAAGAGCACAAGTAATTACAGCCATAAGAGCCTGACAATATTGGACACAACATAACTTTTACAGCCTCTTAGGCAAATGGCACATTCAGGTACAAAATGTCAAAATTAGAGAGTTGAGTGAATGTTTTATTTTAATGAAGTTGAACAGTATTTTTTCTGAATTGCTTGAATTTCTCCAGAAAATGTACAGTATATTAATGTTGCTTTCATTGTAGAAATTTTTTTTTTTTTTAGTAGCATAATGTGCACCAAAGATGGACAACCAAGAATGTGCACAAGATTTTTTTCTGAAATCTTTAAACTCCTCATACAGATTGTATGGGGCTATTTCAAACACTTCAAGTATGAAATGATCACAAAATTGTGTCAAGAAATAACTGTAAATGTCAATATCAGACAGATTTCCTTATCCAGAATTTTTTTTTTCATTTTGCCACCCTGAAATTGCGTTGGATGCCTCCCCATAGGCTAAATACTGTGTAATGTGCTGCCTTTGAAGTGAATTGTTGCTGACACATGGCATGGGTAGGTCATGATTAATGCCCATAGAGGTCCAGCTGATGATAAGGACATTATTGTGTAATCAGGAGGAATGACTCACAATAACGTGACGTCTGCCTACGCCATCTCGTGACCCGTCATCATCACATCAAACAATTTATAAATAGAAAAAAACTTAGCACGTTAACGGTTTGAAACGTCTGGGCCACTTGTAACTGAATTTGTTATTTCATTGCTTACATATGTAGCAGCTTACAAATATGTAATGCCCTTTGTGCAGTTTTTTACTGATTCAGAATTACCATAAAAATCTTAACATTTTTTGGCAAAAGACTATAAGAGTCTGGCGTATTACAAATGTACTTCTGAGTACAGTGCAGTACTGTGGACTTGTGTTCTAATTTGATAGTGTGGTGGGTGGGAGGTGATTTTGACAGTTGATTGATGGGGAGGTCATGCCTGAAGGTGACCCTGGATGTGCTGAGTGGAAGTACAATGTAAGTAGGTGGTATGTGGAGGAATTCAGGAAGTGGCATAATGCCTGCTCAAATTGCACCTGTCCATACAATCCCTTCCAAAACACTTCCAGGATGTCAATGTACTAGAAGGTCACAAAAACCCGAAATATTTCTCAAAAATTTACTTGGCATGTCCTTGCAATTGGTGATGTTGGCCTGACAGTAGAATGACAGGTATTGGCACCGTCACCTACCATTAGTGACTAATGTAGACAATCAAGTCACTAATTAGTGTGAATCATTGTAAAGACATTAATGAAGAATTGGCAATTTCATGGGTGACTGTCACTGGCTCTCTTCCCTGGCAATCCATACATGCTGCATTAGCTGGGAGATTGGTACACCAGACATGTGGTGTAAATCTGTGGTCTTTGATTACCCCAAACAAGATGACTAGACAGGTTACATTTGTATGTTCCTTGTAGCAATTTTGCTACTTCCGGGTATGGTGTGGAAGTATTGTTTTGGGTTGCCAAGTTGAGGGGTTTATGTGTCTACTTGACCTACATGTCAGGGCTCGAAATTCATTTTTGGGAATAGGTGCACTAAAAAATTGGGTGCACAGAAAATTTTGTTGGGTGCAAGATATAAAATGAAATAAGTAGAATGTCAGCAAAAACTAATATGTTGCTTGTCTAAAGACGTCTCACACAAAAACCTAAGAAAATATTTGGGTGCCAGAAAAAAATTAGGTGCACAGCTCCAAATTTGGGTCCACTAAGGTGCACATGCACCTAGTACTTCCAGCCCTGCATGTGTAAAGTGATTTATTCAGTACATGGTAAAACTTCTCCGTGGGTGCAAATTTGGGTCCACTAAGGTGCACATGCACCCAGTATTTCCAGCCCTGCATGTGTAATTTGATTTATCCAGTGCATGCTAAAACTTCTCCGTTGAACTAGCTAATAGTGAAGGTAAAGATTTATAGTTGAAAGTGCCTGTTACAATGATCACAGCTGGGCCGTTACTTGGTCTGTGGGAGATTAGCTGCCAAACAGGGCGTGTACAAGGTCAAACTTGAAGCTGGGAGAGAGGGAACAAACCTGAAGTCACTGTTTGTTTGGCCCAGGAAAAAATGCTGTTTCTGGTTTCAGTCTTGAAAAAACTAGGGTTGGTATAACCGCCCTTTGGCGTAACACACTAACATTTGGTACAAATGTAGTTGAGGAGTTCTCTTCTCTTTTTTCTTTGTAGATATAGATTGGAGTGATCCAACAAATACAAAATTTTTAACAAGAAGATTTCAGTAAGATTTCATACCTCGGGGTTTATGTAGGTATATTGCGGAAGTTTCACAACTTCAATCACAACATAACAGCAATTTCATACACAACACAATTTTATCACAATATAGCATAATAACACGGTTATCAAATCGACAATGCGAATAGCAGATTTAGAAACTGCAACATCAAACAAAACACCATCAGCTGAATGTAAGAAATCATCAGTTGGATGTCTGTACACCAGCAAGACCGACAACGTTACTAACAGCACAGTTTTGGTTACAAATGTGTCTAGGGTTCCCCCAAACTTCCTCCTATCAGTCAAGCCTTTCAATTACCATCTAGACCATTAGGAGTGGAGGGAATTGCAGAGACTTGGCTCAGGACCAAGAGTTGGGGAGTTAAGGTGGATGTGTAGATGTGTGTGTACATGGGTATGCCACACTTCCTAAACGTTTGTCATAAGTTTGCCCAAGTGGAAAGCCACCCGGCTGCTTGAGTCGCTACTGGAAATCACCAATGTTTTTGCCGTGGTGTTAATTCACGGTAACAAGGGTTTAGGAAGGTTTTCAGTGTTTTGAATTTGTGGTTGAAACAATTCTGTACAGTACTGTAGTCATACAAGCTTAAGGAAGGGGTTGCTGCGAAAACTGCAAAAGTTAAACAATTTCTGAGGTTATTGAACATCGAACTCCCAAAAAATCATACATGTACTTCCGGCTTGTTGCCAGGTTACTATACTTGCAATGACGTCACAGTAAACTTGGTCGGAATCAAGAACTTGAAGTTTGATTTTTTAATGGTTCAATGCCATCAGAAGGGTTCGTATTTGGTGTAAACGTTTATGTTCATTGAATGACACTAGTATTGTTGCAGATAATAAGAAAATATTGTACTTTGGTGTCATAAACTCTTTAAACAGACCAGAGGGCAAAAAGGAAGTCATTGCCAAAGAAAAGTTCCTTGTCGGAAAGTCATCACGACTTGGTCAGGCGTTTTACGACTGTCCGCAGCACGTTGTGAATATTGTATGCGGAGAGAATTGAATACGGTCTGAACAGACGCAAGTTTTCATCGTCACACCATCCAATTGCAAACCAGCCATTTTGTAAATCATTACCAAGCACCCCATTTGGGACTGTGCCCAGTACATGTATATACATATAGCCTGGATGGGCTAGCCTTCCAATAAGTGCCATATACTAGACTCAGAACAGTCATTACATCCAGGACAGAAGTATTGTTTTTGGATGGTGTTGGTTTTGGGGCAGTTTGTATGTATTGTGTCTTCAACAGCAAGGATTGGAAGTGAGTTGGTGGAGATTGGGTTTCAGTTGATTGACAGGGTAGTGGCCCAGTATGCCCTGGATGGTAGGATGTGGTAAACTGTAGCCAGGGAATGTGTATTGTGTAACCATGGTATTCAACATGTACCTTCTGTAAACCATGGTGTAATGCTGGGCTAAGTTGCATCATACGATAGTATGAGTAATCATCCATTCTATGATGTAATTCAATCGGGTATTTCCCCATGATCATATTACAATACAGTTACTATTTAAATCTCTGGTTTCTGGTGTTGTCAGACTTTGAGCCTGTAGAAAACTACATTTCCTGTGTTCCAATGCTGTTAAACTAAATCCCTGACAATTCCACATGATAGATGTGCTAGTGTGCCCTCACACATATATTTCACAGAAACGTCGGTGATGGAATGTAATGAAATTTGCATCCATATTTCATTGCTATCCTGATCATCCCTGTGATATGAAGAAATACTTTCCTCATTAATTTCCCATCAATCTCGTAAACACGACATTATAGCTGACGCTGTAATTTTTGTGTCATTGACACTCTCGTAATAAAAAGAACCATGGCATGATATAATGAAAATTGTTCACAATCAGTTCAAATCGGTATTAGGCCACACCAATTTAATCAATTGGTTCTCAGATTTGCCTGCTTCTGATTTCTTCTGATTCTTTTAAAAATCCGGGTTCTGAAGGAATCCAAAATCATATTTTTTGGCCCAGTACAGTTGAAGAAAGTCCTTGTCTTCCTAGACCTAGTTGTTACGGTTTTTCATTCTATCAATGCAGCAGTTTGATAAAAGTTAAAAACTCATTTGAATTACAATTAAATTGGTGAGGCTTTATGATATTTTCTAACAAATGCAAGGCATTTTTGCAGAGGTTTATCTGATGGGTTCTTTCTATAATCACCCAAGTGTCATACTAAAGTCCACAGGGAATTGTTTTACTGCCAGTAATTCTGACAACTTTAGACACAGGTCAGGACAACTGGCACCAAATTGAAATATGATACCCCCATTATGTCGTTATGATGTAATTCTGACACCATTTAATCTGGACAGTTTCTCCAACATGTACATAATAATTATCCAGAATGTTAATAACTTGAAAGGTAACATTTGTAAGCAAATGCATAATGTTTACCTTTGCATATGGTCTGCTCTATTAATTCTTACTCCTGAAATTACTTACTTTTTACTCAAACAAAGACATTCATATTTTTGGTGACAGGAGTCTAAATCCCTCCTGCTGTAAAATTGCAACATGATGTAACTCTAAGGCATGAATTGTTGCTAAGAATATTTTGAGGCATATAGAATGATTTGTTTTCTAACAGCAGTTTTTATGTGTTTCAGATGTGTACAGAGAGAGGGACCTGGAGGTCAAAGACATCTTTCTATGCCTGTTTGTGTACAAGACATTTGGAGGTGGCTACTTCCCATGATGCAATGCAGAAGAGTCCACCCAGGAGCCCAACCAATAGCAAACCTTCCTGCCTAATCAGGTTAACAGCTGACCCGAGGCAGTTTGTACTTGTATTATACTAGATAACAATGTCTGATATTGTTGTCCCAGGTTTATAGAAAGCCAGGGGACAAGTTTATATTGTGTACAGAAATGACTGCAACACAGTCCCTCAAATGTGCAGCCATCTTGAACACCCCTCTGTACAAAGTTCAGTGGCCCAACGTGAGGACACTCTTCACACAAATGTGGACAACACTATTTTCGTAGAGGGGTTCATTCAGCCAAATTGAATGACAATTGAGAACCCTTTACCGAATGAAATGTATTGGACTGCTAAGTTTGTATAATATTTGCTCAGAAATGTTTCACGTTTTAGAAAATAGAAGAGTCCACTTTGAAGATGTAGGGGTTGTCAGGATACACTGTACAGATTGATATGAATTTTTGTGAAATAATGGCAAGTCAACGTCTTCCTTTTAGCACAGCAAAGCAAAACGCCGAGCAGTGGCCTTAATTTCTCTGAAGTCAACCCTTTCATGTGTCTACAGACTACAATTTGACCTGTACATTTACTCTACCATCATGTAGGAAATGATATTCCTTCAACAATGCACATCTACACAATGACAAGAGGGAGTTTATTCACATGCTCCCTCTATAATATGGCGTTGTTTGTATACAATTTCAAGAACGATGCAGAATTTTGAAGTGTCTAAGTGGTTCAACATTTGGAATGAGTAACTGTACAAGGAAGTTATATATGGACCGGGGCTGTCAACATGACCTGTCCCTTCATCCTACGATTAAAATTTTCTTCTCCGGATGGACAAAAATTTTACTCTGTCCTTCAAAATAAAATCTTGAAAATGTCAAAATGACAGATTTGACAAGGGAAATTTTACTCAATTAGAATTTGCTTCTGGAAAGTGTAAAATAGCGTTCCAGGGGACTAAAATTTTGACATGGAATGCCCCAGGACCCCCTAGTTTTGTGAGTATACTTGCACCAAACCCACCCCCCTCCCACACGAATAAGACAGAAAAAAAATTGAAACTGGGGACAGCCCTGTTATGAACAATTGCAACCTCCTGTGCAAGACCATCATCCTCTGCTGTTATTAGCCCTTGTTTGATTTATTACCCAGGGTTCCTTGCCTTGAAGGGTTGCTGTCTCCTCCTTACCAGTTTGACCTACTAGAGAAATTGCATCTTCCACGTTGAAACCAACAAATTGTTCTTCACAAAAGGGCAAATTTTGAAATACTTGGCATGTTTTTGGCCAGGCAGGTGGTATGCGATGTAAAAGGAGAGGGAGGTTTCTGATTTATGTGGTAATAAAACGGGAGGGCAAGTAATCGTACGGTAATGGCTGGAGCAGTCGGGTCGCCTTAATGATGGATCAGACACACAACAAGGGCATCTTGATCCAGATTGAAGGGGTCTACATGGGGTTTGGCAGTATCCAGGTCTGTTCAATATTCCAATATTCCTCTTCCTTTCTTATGACACGCACTGTTTTCTCAAAATATTTTTCAAGACATTTGGTTGAAATTGAGTCAAGGGCGTCTTGATTGAGATTGAAAGGGTCTACATGGGGTTTGGTAGTATCCAGGTCTGATCAATATTCTTCCTAGTTTCGTCTATCATGTGCACACCTGGTGTTTTTTTTTTTTTAATTTCTTCATTAGATATTTGGTTTTAGCTTGAAATTGATCTTACCAAAGGAATTTTCTTAAATTTATAGGAAATAGTTGCAAGGTCATTCAATATTGAAATAGCGCACACAACTGACACAAAATTTATCAAGAATTTAACTTAAAAAAGGAGACTGATTCTACTTCAACATGTTTGTCTTTTTCAACCTCTACATTCTGTCAAGAGAGGAATGACTAGAAAATAAATTTCTGCTGTCTGAAAACCCCCAAGCATGTTCAGACTTGTCTGGTCTGGTCACATTAATTCTGACCTATCCTGGAAAGGGGGACCTCTTGGTTTAGTAATGAGGTGTTTAATATATCCCCAGGGGGGCCACATTATCTGGACCATCACTGGGACTGAACTCTCGCCTCTAGACCTGTAATTGTTACCCATCAATACAGTATTGATTGGATCACATGTATGGACCTGATCATGGTGAGAAGTACAGTCTCGTATCTACAATCTATGAAATCTGAGAAAAAACATGTTATGATTTTGATCTACCAGTAGGTTATTTTCAATATTTTATTTTTACTGCTTGGTTGTGGAGGAAAATTGGAAAATGATATCATAGGAAAAATTATACACCCACTCCAAATGGCATCAAAAAGCACTCAGCCCTTGTGATACACACGTAGCCCAAAAAATTACAAATTTGCCTTTTAAAGACATTATCTCTCCTTGTGGAAGGAAAAATACAGAATCGTATAGTAAAACAAGAAATAAATCAATATATTTCAATCCCCAGTGTTATCCAAAGGTTATTTTTGTGACCTTTTTTTATTCTGTACTGTGTTTAGATTTTTGTTCCATCTTACTTTTCAATCAGCTCCCAATCCCTCCATCAGTGCTCACAGAAGAAGGCATTAATGTTGCTTCAGTCCCTCCCAGTCCAGCCTCATTAAACTTGCAATGAATTTGTATGGCTGTGGCCATGTTAATGTCTGCCGCGGACGTTAAACCGGCGCCCATCTGTCACTGACACCCCCTCAGATTGTTTCTCCCTTTCTGTCAGCGCAAAATGGCACCTTTTATGGCGGACGGAAGATCGCAAAGTACCGTAAAACCGTCGCCCGCATCGTCCTAGAAATGAGATTGCGGGCAGAATTGGGGTTTGCAGATGGGAGGTTGATATTGAGAGATGGACACGGCTCGGGAAGAGCATTTCGGACATTTTACTGCGCCAGCCACTGATGTAATCAGCCCTACTTGTTTCAGCACCTACACGGACAGATGCTTTATTAGTCATTGAGATGTTTGGCTGTGGTGACTGTGTTAACCCTGCACACTCTAAAGGTGCTCAGTGTAACCAGTAGCCTAGAGTGCCAAAGGTTAAAAACACCGCTGCTGTTTTCATTCAGATGGAAAACTACTCAATGCGAGAGAGGCAGCACCATTCTTCTATTCCCATTAAAGAGGAAACTCTCCTTTAGCTTTCAGTCCCACACCCAGGATTTCTATACCACTGTGCAACAACCAGTATCTTGGTAACCAAACTGTTGTCCTCCATCCGGATTTCTAACAAGAAATTTTAGACTTCTGCAAAGTATTTTGGGTTTTGGTGACCTTGAAGTTCACAGTTCTCCAGAAAATTTTTGGGGGGTTTTCTTGAATGAGGGGATCGTATGAATACTATGATGTAATTTAATTGGGTATTACACCACGTCCTGAATTCCTCCACATACCACCCACTTCTACTAAGTTCTAGTGGGTGCATGCTGGGTCTCCTTCAGGGTTGACCTCCCCATCAATCAACTGTCAAAATCACCACCTACCAATGTGTAACCATCCAAAACATTACTTCCATACAAGGATGAAAGAAAGAGAAAAATTTGCATACCCACTGCACCAAAGGAAACTTCTCAAAGATCACATGATGTTGATTATGCACAGTACCAATGATCAACAGCAAGAGGACATGTAGAATCTATTTTTCCCCAAATACTATTAAAAAAAATCAATCAAAATGTACGGTATTGTATGAGGTGTGATGTCATGTGTATCTAAGAATGAAACTTGTATATGCATGAAATTTTGACGTGCAAATTCATGTGAATATGGGGGTACTAATGGATAAATATGACCAAACAGTTGGATGATGACTTTTGGACATAAATGTTGTGAACTAGGAGATAAAATTAATTGTGACATTTCTGGAGTCATGAACTAGATGACAACAACTTGAAGATACTCATTGTTTCTGAAAGTGTTTCTTTTCTATATGATGTTCATATTTCTGTAGTCCAGAATTTTGGATCAGCCATTGTAAAATGGGAAATGCTATGACAATGCTCTTTAGGTCGCTTTTGGTAATGTTTGCATGATAACTAAATACACTTTGCAAAATGTAATTTGGTCTTATATTGTATATTAATGACTTCTGTTGCTTTGAAATATGCATGTTGAAAGATACTTGCATGTTTGTAAGTTGTATTGACTAGATTTAGTTTTAATGTTTTTATACATTATATATCTACTAGTATATCCTAGTTTGAGCAAAGGTTTTAGGTTTAATTAAAGATACACGTTTTGAAGATTTCTTTTGTACAGAGTCACTCTGTATGGTGCACATTTATGTGTATACATTATATATAACCATGCAAATAGTATCATATTTTACTACGATGATTGCACAGTTTTTTTTTATATATTCATGAATCTTGGACTTCCATACAGCTGCACATAATGACAAATTAATTGGGAATATGTAAATGTGTGTAAGAATATTTGTGAACAACCACCACATAACACTTCCAAAACAACCCAGGTTATACCATTACCTTGCAGTATGCAGGGATGGACAGATTGTGTTTCTATACAGGGCTCTTTTTGTATACTACAATTTTGCAAAAACTTTCTGTTCACTTCAGTACTAAGCCACTTTACGTTTTACACGAACATGATATTCTGTTTGTAAACAACTTTTGATAGTTAGGAATTGTCCATGTGTAATATTTGAAGGACAGCAGCAAATGTTGGGCCCCATAGAACAGTGGACTCTCCCATTTTTTGTCTACACCCCTATGCAGATAGTTATGTATTTCTTTTTTTAATGTCCTATTGCAATTATGTGACCACGTTTTTGAAAGAGATGATTGACATACCCAGATAAGGCTTTATTAAGTGTGAATCAGAATACGGGGTCTGTTACTATTACATACCATGTATACACTATACATCCTCCTACATAATGTTACACCTACGTACATATATTACAAATATATTAACATAAGGCCAATAAGATACATATTCATTGTGTGTCCTTGCAATTTGTCCTGATTATGCATTATTAATTAAGATTTCAGGCTTTTTTATGTACATATAGCACAATTGTTCTCATTTTATCCTGTTATCATTTCTAACAGTTTTGTAGAAATAGAAAAATCATTAAAAAATGACAACAAATTGTCTCAGTGTGTGGATCATTTTTGAGAGTTTTTAACTCAAATGCCATACTGATTTGATTATTTGGATGACATCCTCTGGGCACCCCAAAATTGATGCATTAAAGAGTATGAAGTTGCTGCAAGTTCCCATCCGTTGCATGGGCCAAAAGCGGCCTCTATTTGTTGCAAGGTGGTACTGCAGAATTTTACACGATTTAGTTGTGCTACTAGTATGTTTACTGGGTTCTTCGCAACTTTATATGTTCTGCTGATCGTTTATTAGTGGTCTTCAAAGGGGACAAATTGTGATTAATCGATTTCTTTGGTTATTAACAGTCAATTACGAAATAATCAACAAATCTGCAAACCTATTATGGAAGTTCATCTGTGTTGCTAGAGTATGATCCTGACTGCAAACTGATAGACCCAGGAAGACGCCACAAGGCAAATTTTGATAAGGGAGTCATTCAAGGGGGGAGATTACTTATTCGTCTGTCTCACCTATGCACTACCGTAAAACTCAGTTCAACTCCATTCCGCGCAAATCCACCACGCAAACACCCCTCCGGCAGCATGTAGGTAAAGGCGCCCGCCCAAGACTTATGACCGGGAGGACCTGACTCTGCCCCCCACTCGTACCACCGAAGCAGGTCGATCGTCGGACGGTGGCCTGGTTTCATAGCTTCTACACCAGGCTTCGGGAGGCGACTGGAAATAGTAGAAATCGGCCAAATGGAGAGATAGCATACAATGAGAGTTGGTCCTCTAGAGAGTACAGTTTGATCCTCTAGCCGACCAACTCCCCCGGCATGTTATCTCTCCATTTGGCCGCTTTCTACTATTTACAGCCGCCTCCCGAAGCCTGGTAGAGGCTATGGTTTCTTATCTGTCGAGGTTGGAACGGGTTCTCTTCGGGGCCGCAGAAGCTTTTCCCCGCCCGACTCAGCTAGGCTCCCCGGTAGGTTTTGCACGACGGAAGTTTGATTAGCCCCGGCGTGCTAAACTTCTACCGGGCGGTCTGTTGAACTGGACGGGGAAAAGTATTAGAGCCCCAAAGCAGCCTGCCTTAACCTCGATAGACTGGATCATTTCGATCTGTAAGAAAGTGAATACTAGTATTAAATACACGTACTAGTAAATTGGTATGGCCAAAAGGGATTTTCAAACAGGAAAGAACCAGAATCACCTAACATAATATTGCTCTGAAGCTGTTAAGCTCAAAGGCTACTAGCATTAAAACAACTGCAACACCTGCATATTTTGTGACTTTCCTGATGAAGGTTTACACATTCGATCCAATAGGTGTAAGATGTTTAATGCAAAAGTCAACTTTTTCAATCATATTTTCCTGTTAGTGGATCAAATGCTCAAGTCCCAAAGTAGTGAAAAAAATACTATTTAAACCTTCATCAAAGAAATGATATAATTGTTAAGCGGAGGTAGAAAAGTGAATCAAAAACTACAAAGGAGAGATTTTTGTGAATTTGGTAGATTTCCTTTCCTTTTTATGCAATAAGGCTAGGATTATTTCAACCAAACGATCAGCTAAAAATCATGTGGCTTTGTGTTGTAGTGAAAATGCCACATCGTTTTTTGCAAACATATCTGATTCTATGGATGGCGTCCTCTTGGTATCCCAAAACTGATGCGAGCGTGCGAAGAAAGAAAGGCTTGGCCAAAAAAAGTTGCCATCATTGTCAAATCTACGTGGCATGATGCGGCAAACAACATGTTCATTTCTTCACGTTTTCTTCTTTTCCTCATTTGCTCATTTTGCAGCTGCTTTGTACGGTTTACAGTATGGTGGTGTTTTTTTTTTTTGTAAACGGACGAAAATTAATGAGCACTTGGAAGTCATCCATATAATCAAATCAACATGGCCTTACCTGAAGTGCTGTACGTGGCCTACTTGGAATGTCAACATCAGTGCGAACTTGACTTTCATCTCTTCCAAACATAGACGGTCTAGAGTCTTACTCACTGGAACAAGCTTAAAGGGAATTACAGCAAGCTAAAATCTAATTCTACTCACTTGAGGGAGCAGAAACTGTGTGGGTATATATATACAGTTGGGGAACAAACTCCACAGTTGTACAGCAGTTGGATTAATTCGCCAGGCACAACAGTCACACGACGTTCCTGGTTTGTCTTAGACCCCTTGAGATAACTTGTGACTACAATCTGCGGAAGTTTGTGCTTGGATACAGTTCTTTAGGACACTATTTATAGGTAAGTCTTTATCTTATATATTAGACTGTTGCTAATAGTAGTAATTACACTGTTTAACCTGTAAAAAAAGTGATGATTTGCATTTTAACATGTTTCCATTTCGGAGCATTAGGGCCTTACCTGTTCTAGTGGAGACCATAGCTAAATTCAACAGTTAAGTACCCGAAAGTTCATCGATGTTGATAGAACTCATTATGATGAATATGAAGCAAGTTTAAACTGCAATTTCCAACACAAGAAATTGGACCTTACCCACATTTTAGACTGCATTTGGTTCTTAGAACACAAATGACCTATCTCGACTACTTAGTACTTTGGAAGTCTCACAACATATTACTTTACATGTAGAATTGCCTTGACATTCGGTCTCATGGGACAAAGTGGGAATTTTGGACACACGTGGATTGCTATTTTCTTGACAAAGTCTGAAGTTGTACAGGCGACAATTCCGATTTCTTTTGATGGAAATTACGGTTTTAAAAGGTTACATAGTATCTAAACTTATAACTTATACATACATGTACATGAAACCTGTGTATTCATAACTTTTGTGGTCACTACTCTATATGCCACAGATCTTTTGGTTCTCTCAACTGTTAGATGTATTAAATTTTATTTTGTGAAATCTCTGTTCAGTCAATACTTTTGGCCTCAGATTATTTGCATCTATGGCTTGACAGCTATATTCGATAATTTGTAATTTAGCACGCCTACATATTGCTGTATTGTTTTTTTCTTAATTTTCATTCAGCATTTCTTGATTGCGTTTGAAACAGTACCTCAGTCAGAGTGACGGGAGGGGTTATTAAAACCTTTAGGATCAGTTAATGGTCAAGTGCCAGCGCTGTCCGTGGCTAAATAAATATAGTTATCTAAGCATATTGTACAATTTTGTATTTACCTGTATGTAATCATCTAGCCCGCAGAGGCGGAGGCAGGAAATTTTGATTGGGGGGGCAAGATTTCGGGCGCCGATCGCGTCCGTCAGCGAGCGCCGCAGGCACGAGCCTGCTAGGGGGGGTCCGGGGCATGCCCTCCCGGGAAATTTTGAATTTTTAACCCCCTGAAACGCTATTTCCAGCATTTTGAGACCTAAATTTTTGTTTTATTTCAAGCTAAGTTTAATGCTCCTTCAAGAGTTTCGTCTATGAATTCTTCCATATGAAACAGAACCGAACGGTCATTGTGTTTCATTTAGGAAATAATACCCTCTTTCATCTCAGCAGTTTGTGTTGTACTGTGTTCAATTTTTAGATTATCATACAGAAAGCTCTTGCTGTCATGTCCAATGTTCCAATTGAGTAGCTGCCTGAGTGTCAGTCTTGTTAGCTTTTGTCCGCTCCCCAGAAGGTTATGTTTTCAGAGGCGTTCGTGTGTGTCACTGTGTGTCTGTCTGTCTGTAAACACGATAGCTTGAGAATGCTTAAATAAATGGATTGACTTGATATTTGGTAGGTAGGTAGGTCTTGATGAGACCTGGAAATGATTAGCACGGAAAGTACGAGACAACTAAATACATTTTCACACATGCATTCATTCATTTGTAAGTTACTACACCCATTGAAGGACATGTGCCAGGCTAACCTGCACGCACCTTTTACATGATGTTTTTTTCCTTTTTAGCTTGGGTGGCCAGTTGGTTGACAAGTGCTCCTTGGCAGGCCAACAAAACTTGGGAGAATCACCCAGAAGAATCTTTGTTCTACATAAGTCAACTGTGAAGAACGCAATAAGGTATACAGCACTTGGTTGCTTTCTTTTAGCAATAGGCATCACAACTGGCCCTTGTGCAACTGTATGACACTCATGTCAACAAGTACATTTCATGATCAAAACAGCTGACCTTAGCCATTTATTGTGCTACGATTGTCCCGGAACTTTTGTAAATGTTGTAGGCTTGGTTGCTAAAAGATGGTAATACCATACAGGCTTTGTATTTTAATGTCCACATACACTACGTTTAGTTGCATATGGGGTGCACATGTTAATAATATCACAACTAAGGCGAAACAGACATTGGGAGTGATTAAACGTAATCTGTGGGCATGTCCAACGAGAGTAAAATCACTTGCATACACGTCACTTGTAAGACCGAACCTAGAATACGCTGCGACAGTATGGGATCCATATACAAAGAAAGACAAAGACAAATTGGAAAGGGTACAGAATCAAGCTGCAAGATTCTGTATGAACAACTATGTAAGAGGTGCTAGTGTCACGGAAATGAAAAGAAACCTACAGTGGACCTCACTTGAAGACAGAAGAAAGATGTCTAGACTATGCATGATGTACAAAATGACTAATAAACTGGTGGATGTCCCAACTACTAAGTACCTAATACCAGCCCAGAAGAGAACAAGAAATAGCCACGCATTCAAGTACCAGAGTTATCAACCAAGGATTGAGGTGTTCAAGAATTCATTCTTTCCTAGAACTATCGCAGAGTGGAACTCACTGTCACCAAGTACAGTAGGGGCACTGTCAATAGATAGCTTTAAACAATGTCTAGAGCTAGAAGGTCAAGGGTTAGGTGTAACAAGTCGATCGGTGTAATGTAGCCAGCTGCCGCCGCGCCGCGTGCCTGCGAAGCTGGTGTGTTACGCCGAAAGGCGGTTATACCGGCTATACAGATACAGATACAGATACAGATATTTATACCTGAATAGTACACAAAATTGGATGTTCAGTCGAGGTCCACTGTTCATAGCATTTTTCGAAAAGAGGTAGGAATATCCCCAGTAAAACTTGTACGTACTGTACATAATACACGCGTCTTCTCTGTTAAAAATAGTTCTTCAGTCAGCTAATATCCTGTACTTAGATCTTTTTTTTTATTTTTCCCTTCTCTCACAGGCAAAATGTCTGGCAAGCTGAAAAGACTGCTGGTCCTTCTGGTCATCATCTTGAATGTAACTGGATCAACCACAGTCTGCAGCCCTTTCTGTTTCTTGTCCTGTAACTGCAACCATAAAGGCCTCACCGCTGTCCCTCAGAATCTGCGAATAAGTGTCACTCATCAACTTCGCTTAAGTCACAATGCCATCGCAACCATTAGTCGATCTTCTTTCTTCAGGTACAGGAGTTTGACAACACTGTATCTGTCCCACAACCGAATAACTTACATTCAGAATGATACATTTTCAAGTCTCCCCCAGCTCCAATACCTGGACCTTTCCTCAAACCAAATAACTAGCATCCAAATTGGTGCATTCTCAAATCTACCGAGACTACGGACTTTGCACCTGCAGAGCAACAAGATAAAAAACATTCAGCCTGGTACGTTTTCAAATTTACCACAGCTCGAGCATTTGAACCTGAACAGGAACATGATAAAAGTCGTTCAGTCCGGTGCATTTTCAAACCTACCCCTGCTCAAAAGGTTGTATTTGAGCGTAAACCAGATGGTGACTCTTCCCTTGCCAGTCTATTCCATGTTGTCCTCAATCTCTTCCGTAACAATTGTCACAAACCCCTGGCGGTGTGACTGTAGGATGCGTCCCGTTCGGCTGAAGTTGAGCCCGCCGTTTCTAGATCTGCTTCATAGTGTGTCTAGATTTTGGGGCGCTTTCCCAAAGAAGATACCGTCTAATTCATTTGCAAATCAGATAACTTGTTCTCAACCAGATAACTTACAAGGGCAAAAGCTGATGGATATCAACCTTAAAGATCTGATCTGTGAGAATCTTCCCACATCTACTACAAACACTACACCTCTCTCTGTAGGTACCACTACTGGTGCTTCAACCCAATCAAGCAACAGCAACCTTGTGTCTTCTCCCGCTTCTTCTCTATCTGTACCTGTCGACTCTACACCTGCTGAACACCTGGTGTCGTCTCCCCCTGTGTCTGTCGACTCTACACCTTCAGAACACCAAGCGTCTTCTCCCACGTTCTCTCCCCCTGTACCTGTCGACTCTACACCTTCAGAACACCAAGCGTCTTCTCCCACGTTCTCTCCCCCTGTACCTGTCGACTCTACACTTACTGAACACCTTGCGTCTTCTCCCACGTTCTCTCCCCCTGTACCTGTCGACTCTGCACTTACTGAACACCTTGCGTCTTCTCCCACGTTCTCTCCCCCTGTACCTGTCGACTCTACACTTACAGAACACCTTGCGTCTTCTCCCACGTTCTCTTCCCCTGTATCTGTAGACTCTACATTTACAGAACACATGACGTCACCTTCCACCTCCTCTACACCACCAGAACGGATAAAATCTGTTCATACTTTCTCGGCACCTGTTCTTGTCCATTCGTCACCTTCAGAGGTACCTGAATCTGACCCCGATCCCTCCCTGTCTGTTCTCATTGCCACCATCACTGGTACAGCAACTGGTACTGTTCTCGTGTGCAGCATCCTTCTAACAATCTGTTGGAAGAGGTGGACCAGGAATCGCTCTACTGTTGCCCCAGACCCTGGTGTTGTGTACAACACTACAGACACTACACCTGGTGTTGTGTACAACAGTACAGACACCACACCTGGTGTTGTGTTCAACAGTACAGACACCACAGCTGGTGTTGTGTACAACACTACAGACACCACACCTACTGTTACAACCGGTGGTCATGACCAGATGCATCATCACAATGCTGATGCCTGATGATTAGGCAGGTCCATAAGACTCAGACACCACCCAATGCAATGTCTACCAATGTGTCTATACAGAGCTTAATCGGTGTGTGTTAGTACATGTGTAACTAGGCTGATAGACAGAGCTTAACCAGTGTGTGTTATTAATTGGACTGATATAGCTTAATCAGTGTGTTATTAGAGGCTGATAGAGCTTAACCAGTGTTTGTTAGTATTAACTAGGCTGATAGAGCTTAACCAGTGTTTGTTAATATTAACTAGGCTGATATAGCTTAATCAGTGTGTGTTATTATTAACTAGGCTGATATAGCTTAATCAGTGTGTGTTATTATTAACTAGGCTAATAGAGCTTAACCAGTGTTTGTTATTATTAACTAGCCTGATAGAGCTTAACAAGTATGTGTTATTATCAAGTAGGCTGACTGAGCTCAATCAGTGTAATTGTTATTATCTAGCCTGACAGACAAAGCTCAATCAGTATGTGTGTTAATAACTTGATTGTTAGACAGAGTTTAATTATTGGCGTCGTGTGGTGTAGTGGTACATCACTGGACTATGAAACGGGGAGACCCGGGTTCGATTCCGGGTCGTACCCGAACAAGTCCGAACATGCGCCCCGACGTTGTACCCTTGGGAAAGGTACTTTACACGACTTTCCTCACTTCACTCAGGTGAAAATGAGTACCTAGCTTCGGCTAGGGACGTCCCTCGGATAGGACGTTAAATGGAGGTCCCGTGTTTGGGAGAGCCACACCCCACGCACGTTAAAGAACCCACCACACTAATCGAAAAGAGTAGGGGACCTTCCCGGTGTGAGTGGTTCAAACCTTACAGTCTGGTCTCGGGGTTGACATCTTTGAAGAGGTGATAGTCACCTGTTATGTCAATCCTTCCACAAATGTGGTAAATCGTCATAAAATAAAAAAAAAAATAAAATAAAATTAGTTACTATTTACTATTAGTCACAAAATGTTTTGCCATGGTACGGCGAAACATTCACCATGCACCACCCCCGGCTATTTTGTATATTTTGTGGTAAACTTTTTATTGTTTCTAAATTGTAAGAACACAACTTCATGGTGTTAGCGACAGTGGATGATTTGTACTACATGTCCTTAGAAAGAGAAGCTAATGATTATTTGATAGGATAAGATTCTGAGTGTGCAGAGTTTTGTTCACATGTTCAATGACAATGACAATGACAATGACAATGAACTTTATTGCATATTCACGCCCTACATGGGCCAAATGCATTAAGCTGGATAACTATAGGTACAGGTATAGAAGAAACAAGTGTTATACTTCTGTGCTATAACTATAGGTACAGGTATATAAGTAACAAGTGTTATACTTCTGTGCTACGTCTCTAACTACAGGATCTATCTACATGATCTCCTCTCTCTTTTTGAAACATGTATGAACAAATTTACATAGCTTTTCATTTACATCGTAGTGCTTGGATGTCATAATATATTTGAACAGTTCTGCTTTTGACAAGTATGTATATTTCTTCTCTAACTCTAAGGAATTGATAAAGGATTTCCGCATATCAGTGTATAACGGGCATTCTAAGACAAAGTGTTCTTCATCCTCTACACAGTTACTGTTACATAAAGTGCAAATTCTGTTACTTGCTGGAGTCTGGTTATACCTACCAATTTCGATCTGTAATTGGTGATCAATGCATGCCCTTATTGTTATTGAGGGGGATGAGTGCTTTAGGATGGTACTACATGTACATATACTTTTTTTGTGTTGAATAAACTAAAGAAATGTCACATTCTCACAGTTTTCTATTAATTTAAGAAGATGTAGATTTTCCGCTGAGGGAAGTTTTTAGCTGTGCGACAATATAGTTGGCCAGTTACAAGTTTGAATAGGAAAATCTGCTCGGAGATTATGAGGTGGGTACTTATTAGGCCATCATAAAGGCAATGCCATTTCAGGACGACAAAACTGAAAAATATTGTACATGGGGAAAGTTGTCTAAAATTGGCATTTACATACCATTATTATCACATTTTCGCATCATTTTATACTTCAAGGGTCTGAAATATCCCCCAAACAAGCTATACGTAAGGCAGGCGTCCCCTTATTTTGAGGGTACCGCTCATAAAAGTTAGCCTATGACATAAATCTAAACCAGGCAACTTTTTTTGCTAATGACATCGCATTTTCACCTCACAGATATCACACCCTCCCGAGCAGGGTTAGTGGCTCGGCCCGGAAGGGTCCTCCTCCCCTTCCGGGCCGAGCCACTAACGCTGCTCGGCAGGGTGAAATATCAATACAGCATGCTAAGGTAACTTAGGGTTGACTGAACTTACTGTCAAAGTGCACGTCCCTGAACCCTGACTCTTAGTAGTGCACCAGCATGGCGGGTATGTTAAACTTTACAAATATGCTTTTAGTAGATATGTTCAGTTGACTCTTAACAATTACTAATCCCAAAGCTATGGTGTTAGATTCTACATTTGTGAAATGACAAAAACCACTCAACTTAGAGTTAGCAATACCCTGTAAGTTTTCTGATTAGCTGAGTCGTTAATGATATGTATCGCACCACCACAGCACTAAATGTGGGGAGGTTGAACCGCCACTTTCCAGAGCGGTATTTGGAAAGTTTGAAAGCCTTACTGGCGGCAGTAGAGATGAGTCTAGAGAACTACCAGCTGTCTTATGGATCAAAACTACCAGACTCTGTCCTGTGTGAGCCGGGGAAAGACCTGCGTGTGCTGGGGATAGGGAGTGGATCTGGTAAGACCGCCATTTTTATTTTGAGGTCAAATGACCAGTTTCATGGAAATCATACAGCGTTAGCAGATTCACACAGCTACTAGTAACCGTTATGTGTGTTAATCATGCTAAGGAAGGATCGTGTTTTGAAGTTAGACTCTGTCAAGCCTTGACAATCAACCGATTAATCAATTAATTGCCAGTGACATTTTGGTACCTTTCTACATTCAACATTCTAGTCATTTATCTACATACTGAGTTAAAACCACGCTATCCCAATGTATAGTTACCCCCATGGAGCAAAAATTTCCCAAAATTCTGATGGACAACGGTTACTGGAAGGGCCCTGGGCTGATTTTTAGGGTACCACCCAGAAAATAAAGGACTCATCCTGGGGCTTGTTTTTTCAGTTTAAAAGCCCAAAGTATGACATGCTGATTTAAATGTGCTTATCGGTGAAGCAGTATGTGTCAATATCATGAAGATTGCCTTATTCATAGTATTTCCAGTTTTGCCGCCCTCAAATCGCATTGGATGCCAGTTTAAAAGCCTTTGGTACAATTTGATACTCCAATCACACATTTGAAGATTCGAGCCCAGAATCTTACTTGGGCGATATTTAAACATAATTACTGTCATTTTGGTCTCTTTACAGGTGAAGTTGACAGCGCCATGTTGAAGAAGGTTTTACAACGCCACAAGACTGTGTACAACAGGGTTGTGGAACCGTCGGGAGAAATGATCGAGCGTTATAAGGTTGTAATATAAGATTTTGATTTTTCGCACGAATATCAATTGCTTTGCGTTTTATTAAATTTTGCAGTAGTGGGTACATGTTTCCGAGCGACGGATGGATTCGTCCCTCTTAGCTTATGTGATACTTGATAAAATTGGATAAGACTTATGCAAATCAAGTGCTAATTTGCATGAATAATGATAAAATTTTAAAATCGGTTGGGCTCAATAATAGGGCTTTGAAACACTTGTGATATGTAATTGAGAACGAGAGGAACATAGCAGATATTGAAGATATAATTATGTATATTTGCATAATTGATGCGAAATCACTATAAGATTATAGTGGTAACTGTCGGAAACACTTGCCAGATTTAGAAGTTAAGTCAATGTGAACATCATTAAACATAATTTATCAGGACCTCATTTGCATGATTTATGAGGACGTGCTAGAATAGCCTTCTTTGTTAAGATAAGGCTGTCTTTAGGTGGAGAATATGATCAACTGATATACAATTCATGCAAATGATGAAGTTCTTATAATTATTAAAGCACGATTAATTAAATGATATCTAACTTGTCACTTAGAACGGTTAGCATCATTTGGTGAAGGTATGTGATCGTGGAACTCTTGTTTCGTACTTTTAAACCGTTGTTAAAAATGTGTCATTGATATCGATATAAGGCCACAGCAAGTAATTTTTATGGATGACATCAGGGCGCGCATTAATTTTTGCCCGATTTTGAAAAAAAAAACAAGAAATTTTGTTGCCTTCTGACAGTGGTCAACATGCCGAAAATGGGCAAAGACGTCTGTTGCCAAGCTGGAAGGTGGATGGCAGATAACTATGAAGAGAGCAGACAAGAAAAGGCTCTAAATTTAATGTTTTGTTTCTTACTTTGACGCAGTGATATGTGATGCTGGCTGTGTATATGTGATGTTCCCACTCAATCAAAACCATTTCTACAATAATTCAGTCAAAATCTTAAAATGTAGGAACCTTGTTTTTTTCGGCACGTCTTCTTTTTTTTTCGCCCGCTCGCATTAGATTTGGAGTCTACGGACGATGCCATTCATATAATTTTCTTGCTGTGGCCTAACGTGCATTTAGACCCTGGTGCGTAAAGACAAGAGCCTCGGTGCTGTGACGTTTGACTGGCGCCAACAGACGGCAGAAGAGTACTTCCAGACGAAGGAAGACACAAAGTTTCATTTGGTCCATGCGATACACGTCCTGTACAACGTGGAAGACCAGGACGCCACCTTGCGGAGCATATGGGAACAGCTGGCGGGCGGCGGACACATGTTGGTCGCCATGGAGTCAGGTAAGCTGACAGTTTACACACCGACTGATCCCAATTTGACTTCGTAACAAATTTATTACTGATAGAAAATCAGATTATTTTTTATGGTGATGTGAGTCACACGTAATTGCTGGCAATGATTTTAAAAGTGGGAAACAAAGCTGTCAGCCTTGTTTGTTTACATTCTGGTATTTTGTGGTGGTACCACAAACTAAGTGCACCGTGTGTACACTGTTTTAGCGCCAAATATAAATGTCAGAAATATGATATAATTGCACAAAATCGGTTGATATGTGGAAGTAAATTACAATGACACAAAGCTTTCTTCAATCAAAATATTTCAATTTTTAGTGTAAAACATGTTACATTATGCTCCTTGAATAGTAAAAAAAAATCTTACTTACACTCAAGACATTACAAGATGTCCTTGCTTACACTTAAAATCTGCACTGTCCTGTCACATATTCACAGATACAAGTGACTGGGGGAAACTGCAGTACAAGTTGTGGGATGAGTTCGGCCAAGGTGACCGTTTGAAGACGTCCTTTCGTACGTCCGGTGACGTCAAACAGTGGCTTGACGCAAGGGGCGTCAGTTACGTCACATCGCAAGATGACATCAACATTAACATCACGGAGTGTCTTAAGGAAGAATCGTCAGAAGCGGGGAGGATGATTCTCGACTTCTTGACAAAAACGCCTTTTGTATCAAATTATCCAGAAATAAAATCAACGGCTTTAGATTTTATCCGATGTAATTCTTCGTTGGTTGATGATAAGGTTATCTTTAAATTAATCAATGAAGTTGTCATCGCCTTAAAGAAATAACCCTGATGTTGAAGTTCTTGTTGACCTGCTTCACTGAGTAATAACAATTCTCTTTATGTTCCACTCGAAATCATATCATATCAAATTTCACATCATTTGGCAAAAAAATGAAATGGAAAAAAAAAACACATGAAACCTATTATTGTGAACATGCTTTATTATTATCTTTAGTCTGAAGTACATGCCAGAAGCATACAGTACAGTGCTGATATTGCAATACAACCATATATTACTAGTATACAGTACAGCACCTATATTGCAATGCAACCATATATTACAGTCCTGATATTGCAATATAGTATACAGTACAGTACCGATATTGCAATACGGGCTTTGTTATCCATTAGCCAGCCATTGATACAGTAAGCCTTTGGCAGTGTGACAATACATGGCAACAATCTGTGGTATGATTAGCATGGCATTTTACTGGCCTGACTGTTACAATATATCTTCTCATAAAATGACTCACATATATACTGAACCATACCACTGAACAGCATTCCAACTGAATCCTTGGCACATGTAATTAAGAGCATAGATGTTAAAATAACTTCTTAATTGCAATTTTCAATGTCTTCAATCTATTACATTCAAAAACATACTCAGCAATGTGTGTGAGGCTGTAAAAGGGGTGCTGAGTATTCTAGCTCCAGTGGGTCAATACTAGGCTAGCTCCCCCTAAACAGCCTAACATTGTTACCCCAACACTTGCTGTATACAGTAACAACACCATCTAGATTCTTAAAACACATTTTGAGTAGATTGATTGTAACAGTCAGAATATAGTCTGGTATCCAAACGTATTCTTGCTGCTGAGTCTCTTTCATCCTCTCTGCAAAACTATTTCTCTGCAGCTAGATTAGGTTTGGATACCAGGTTATAGAGATTTATCCATCCAATTTACTTCATTTTATTAAATGCACAAATTCCCTGGACTCCTAACAAGTATAAAACCTGTTAGGAGACAGCTTGTTACAGTAAAAGACAGTTCACACTCTTTAAAATACATACTTATAGCCAGTTGGTTTTTCTTCTTGTAATAAATATAGTAGGTCGCATGGAAGCAATGTACAGGTGGATATAAGCACAGTTTAAAAGCAATAATTACTTAGCACAAATCTAGAGTTACTTGAGTAAGTTGAATACACAGACCTCTTATAAGCTCTGGACACATACATTGTGTGATGCACCTACAATGTTTTTTCCTGCGATAAGGCCACACCAATTTAATTTCTTGGTTAACGGATTCGCCGCTTCATTTTTTTCAGATTTGCAAATAAAAATAAAAATCCAGAATCAACTGCAAAATGCTCATATTTTGCCCTGAACAGTTGAAAACAGACCTTTTCATCCTAGTTGTTACAGTTATTCCATCTTTCAATGCAATGGTATCATTAAAAGTTCAAAATTCATTGTTTAAATTTTGAAGCAGCCTGGTGTGTTGACTTCATGGCTCCTATCGTACCATTTTGGGCCATAATACGATGCCTAGGCTTGTTTTTATTTTTTTTTCGCCCGCCCGCTCCATTATTTTTCTAGAAAAATCCGTTAACCAAGAAATTAAATTGGTGTGGCCTAATCGTGGCATACGTAATACATTTGATAAGAAACAGTTGCAATAGTTCAATTCTTAAACCACAGTGTCTGTTTCTAAATGTATGACAAACGACATGAGTGTTGCAAAAAATATGCAATGTGCATCATATTATGTATGTGACCAGAACTTTAGTAGCACACAATTCCACATACTACACATACATCTTGAATATACCACACATTAAAATGCAAGACTGAAAAGCTCCCTAAAAGAAACACGCGTCTAAGAGAAAACATAAATTTGTCAGTTTTAAATCTGCAAAAGAAGAAGGCTAGATATTCAATAGGCCCAGCAGTGTGTGTTGAACCTACCGAATATAGATCATAACTTTGTTACAGCTATTACGAATATTTATCATGTTAAGTGCTAATAAAACAATGTTAGGAACTATCAGTATCACAGCAAAGATATTCGTGCATTGTTTAAATATTTTAATGCCAAATAAAATCTTAGTAAAACAGATTTTAGCCAACTTTCTTGAAACACACTTCTTAACCAAATAAAATACCCACAAAATACATAATTGTACTAAGAATATTCCAGCATCTAAAATACAGCACTATGTAGACAGTTTGATCTGATATGGTGACATGGGCCACTGTCATTGGTCGGATTCGATTCAGTTTCAATTCAAAATTGAACTGTAAGCAATGTCATTGGTCGAATGCAATTCAGTTTCAATTCAAAATCAAAAAGTAACTTACAAGTTTGTTTCACAATGCGAAAACTAACAATATACAACTACCTTTGTTCACTGACTTTCTACATTATATGTCCAGTACAATTTGTAACTGAAATATGATTAAAACAGCGTACAATTTTCTATCCTTTTGGGGGACAGCACTCAACTTTAAGTTCTGTTGATTCAGTTCAAATGTTGGGAAGTTGTAATATCTTAAGTTTTACACTATTGGAAAGTTATATTTGTATTGTATGAAACCATCCTTTCTTACCCTCTATGTCATTTACAATAATATTGCTAAAATCCATATTCTTATCCTTAAATCCATAAAAATCCTTTCTGGTCTTAACTACAAGCCAGATTCTCTTACCATGATCTACTATCAGTACAATTAGCCAGGGTAACATACAATATTCATAACTCAGTCCAGCTCCAGTTATCTTTGAATGCCTCATTCTGTTGGTATCATCAAATATTGTTTGATAACTGTCCATTCAACAAGTTTCCCATCCCTGCAACTTTATACTACGAAAGGCAACATCTTTTTACCAGGTAAGATAAATTACTTCGAGCACTTGTCTGGGTTATAACCACCTTTTCACATTTTGTGATAGATAGTGCCACCTTTGTTACAATTTTGTATTTTTTGGCATCGCCTCAGGGGCGGAGCCCTTTAGTATACATTATGTCCAGGTTGGGCTTGAACAGTAGCTTATCTCTTCATGTTGCACATTTTAATCATGTAAAAATTGCCTTAATTCCAGTTTATATTTTGCCTAATTCCAGGACTAGTCCATCTGCAAACTACACATACAAAATGCAGGCAACATGGAGGTGAGTTATATATCATAACATGATGAATCAGCAGCGACTGTCTTCTCTTGTACCTCTATGTTCACCTAACCCCCTATTTCTTAAGTAGGCTTTCCTGATGTTACACAAGCCTATCATCAGTTTGGAAGATTCCATTGACACAAGGGGATGAGTGAATGGCAGAGGTGTAAGAGAAGACGCTTGGCCAGTGGTTGGTGGCTTCTAATCATGCACCTCTGTGCACAAATAACTCCCTATTTCTTAAGTAGACTTTCCCGATATTACACAAGCCCATCATCAGTTTGGAAGATTCCATTGACACAAGGGGGTTAGAGAGTGACAGAGGTGCAAGAGAAGATCAGTGGTTGGTGGCTTGTTGTCGTCAGTCTCAGACCATTTCGTACTTGTGCTGGTTGATGTTCCGAGCCAAGCAGCAGGCAAACAGCATTCCGATCACCTAGGTAACAGAGTAAACAACAGTAGTAGTAAATGGTTTATTTGGAAAAACACGATACAAATCGGCCAACAAACAAAATTTGTAAGTTACATTTGTAGGACAAATGCATATCAACAGAGAAGAGAGGTCTTCTGCTTGCCAAAGACTGACTAATCCATATAGCAGCCATCTATGTATACATGAGACCACTAAGCCTGGATGCCAGATTGTTGCCAGGGCCTATACAGGATACAGAATTTGACCACGGACATGCTTCACATAGACCCTGAGCTCAGCATCTAGCTAAGCGGTGTCTATGGTAAAATTTCCTTGAAGTCATGTTGGCCCTGGTACTGAGGAGCTGGCCTGTGTAGGCCCTGGAAACAGTCTGGCACCCAGACCACTGGTTGATGCTGGCCTACTACTAGACTATGACACCACCATGTCAGATGATATCTCAGGATCCATGGCTTACCTGGAAGAAGGCGATGCCCACAGCACTTCCCCCGATGATGCCCAGGTTGGAGTTGATGGCTCTCACCACCAGCTTGTAACAGCCCTGGACAACAAACCATTCTGTTATGTCAAGTAGACTAATGTTAATGTCCTTGATTTTATGGTCGGTTTTATTCCATGGCAGGTGGGAAAAGGAGGTTTTGTTGTAGATTTGCAGTCGAAACAAGACCCACACATTAATATTCACCCTATTTGAGTATTTCAGACCTTTTGCCCCGTCATCCTGCCTGTCAATCTTCCCCCACCCACAAGCTATCAACCTACTCAAACAGATACACAATCCCAGACTTTCCAGACAGAAAAATAACAGTGAGAAGAAAGCCCTTACCACAGTGTAGATGTCAGAAGTGGTGGAGTTGGTCAGTCCTTGGTGCACACACGTGTTCTGGTTCTTACAGCAGCTGAGAGGCACGTCGTTCTTCCCCGCGGCCCAAGGCTGCTTGAACCAGTCCGAGTACTCGTCCTTCCCACAGCACTTCAGCTGGACAAATAGGAAATACATCGTCAACTTTCCATCCACAGGACTAAATACAGTACACAAACTTCACGCCCAAGTTCATACTTCAGTATTATTCAACATTTCTTCACAGCCTAGGAAAAACATTACGTTACATTTCCAGCTTCCCAATTAATTGTAACTAAAACCCATTGACACTAGCCTTTTTTGGAAGTCAACCACTAGCAATGCCATGAAATTTGCATTTCAAACATTCTGAAACATTATAGTGTGCATTTTCAGGAGCAAATTTTATCAAATTTATTATATTAAAATACGTAACATATTTCTCCCTTCCCCAAAAGCAAACAGTCTTAAGGACTGGTCCGGATGATGCATTTCTACCTTCAGCCAAAATCTAAAGAAAAAAACAAAGCGAAAAGAAACAGAATCCTTACTTGCCAACCCTTTCTTTTTTTCAGGACTGAAATGAGAAAAATATTTCCCTAGCTTTAATAGTAAGATGACTTACCTGGCTCTGCAGATCATCCACCAGTTTGGCCTGGTCCTTGTCCTGAGTAGGGTTGTACCCAGAAAGCGCCTTGTCCAGACCTTCACTGAAACCATCCTGGAGCTGGTAGAGAAAAAAAAAAGATACATGTTTGAGGTTCTGTGGAGGGGATTGTATGATGTAATTTAATTGGGTATTACACCACTTCCCTAATACCTCTACAAACCTACTCCCAAATGGTTGAGAGAAAAAAATACATGTAGATAGGTTTTTGTGAATATATTACAATTGTAGCATTGTACGATGTAATTTAATCAGATATTACACCACTTCCCTAATTTCTTTACATACCTACATGTACTCCCAAATGTGGTGTCAATCAACTGTCAAAATCACTTCCCACCTATCATGTAACCAAAGCAGACAAGAATAAAAAGATAAAAACCCAAAAATCAGACACCAAAAACAATACTTTCACATAGTACCAAGAAGTAATGACCAGAATATAATAGTACCTTTACAGTTGTAGGAACACACATAGCACAGACCCCACACAGTATACCAACAGACCATACTGTTATTATTACCTTACCAAAACAGAGAAAAATGCCGGGGACATACCTTGGTTCTAAAGATGAATCCAGAGATGCCGGCAGCCAGCTCAGCCACAAAGATGATGAACAGGAAGAAGGAGTACTGTAGGAAAAGGTTTTTCATCTTAATCCACAGTACACCCATGCTGCTTGCACAGATTTTTCTCAATCCTAAGTATGTTACATGCCTCCATTACTTCTAACATTTAGTTGATACTAATAATGTTTTAAAAAATCCTTGGACATGTAAGCTAGCCAATAACAAAAGTGTTAAAAGAACATGAACATGAAAATGAAAGGAAGAAAACTGCTTAAACACTGAAAACACTGTTTTTAAATGTAAAAAGTACGCAATTCAGCCCATGGCTGCGATGTACTTTATCTGATCAAAATGATCGAATAAACCATTCATTCATTCATTCATTCAAATACAAAGACTTCCATTGAAACACAAAATCACGACCATACTATAGCATGTCTAGAACATGAGATACAACACAAATGTTCTGCTGCAGTACCAAAGCAAGCTATTGGGAGATCGAAAGTCTTATGATTTTCAGTTTGTGTTACACCTTCCAACACACCACAAATAATAAATCCAATCTACTCACAGTTCTTGAGTATTTTTATTGACCAACAGACAGACACAGAGACAATCACACACACACAGACACACACCCACAAACTGGCTAGAATATAACCTCCTTGACAGAGGTAAACATTAAAACGAACAAATACTCACGATGTACAGCAGGACGGTGTTGCCCTTCGCGGTGGCGTAGCAGCCCAGGAATCCGAGCAGGACGATGAAGCCGCCCACACCGATCAGTACGTACGGGGCGCTGGTGAAGTTAGTGGTAGACAGCTGAAGGTACTTCTCCATTCCCAACTTTCCCCAGATTCCAACCACTAACATCAGGATGCCAGTAGCCTGGAGAGTGGGAACATGACAAAACACTAGGAAAATATTCAACACAACTTATAATATCCAGGGCTCAAAATCCCACCTGTATGTGCAGGTTATACATGTATTTTATACGCAGGTAAAGTGGGTTTACATACTTGGCATACGTGACGGTCACTTACTGGATTTTTATTTGTGTATTGACTGATTCCAGCTACTTTTTGAACAATACTTGTTTAAACCTCCTTGATGAAATGTAACAAATTATGCAATGGTTTCTAGTTTTTAGTATGATCATATATTTACTTCTAAGTGGTACATGTACAGGTAAAATTTGTTTGGGGCAAGTAATTTTCATTTTCACCAGTGCATGGATGCTGAAAAAGTATTTCAAGCCGATTATGTGAAACATTTACTAAAACTTACTCCTGCATGTCAACTTTTGATGTGCAACGTATTTGTAACAGACTATGGCTACCCAGAGTACATTTGTACTACTGTGAATTGTGAAACTTTCACGGCAGTTTTATTTTCGTGGTGACTGAAGTGTTTCAAATTCAACACTGTGAAAACCTTGTTTCACTCCCACCTCAAAATAAAACCATGGCAAAATTTGCATGATTTACATTACCTAGGGCAATACCATTGTTGTACGAGAGGGGTGTATGCCTACAGAGGAGGTATGCCTACAGTGTATGCCTACAGAGGATTACTCCTGCATGTCAACTTTTGATGTGCAACGTATTTGTAACAGACTATGGCTACCCAGAGTACATTTGTACTACTGTGAATTGTGAAACTTTCACGGCAGTTTTATTTTCGTGGTGACTGAAGTGTTTCAAATTCAACACTGTGAAAACCTTGTTTCACTCCCACCTCAAAATAAAACCATGGCAAAATTTGCATGATTTACATTACCTAGGGCAATACCATTGTTGTACGAGAGGGGTGTATGCCTACAGAGGAGGCTGGTACAATCAGTGCATGTCCCATGACTCTCATGTGAGCGTACAACATGTCATTATACAGTCAGTAACTGGGCGACAATTCTGCCATTGCCAGAGGCCAGAAAACACTCATTGGTCTTACAAGCATTTTTGCCAAATGCTATGACTATGAGTACTATAAACAGAGCTAGCAAAAAAAAAATTACACACTTTGCTTTATTGCCGGTAGCCCTGAGAACTTATTTTAAAGCAAAAATTTGTTAATTTCTTCAAACAGTAATGTATTCTGTGTCTGTACCGTTGGTAACAGGCCCTCCGGTGATAACAAAGTTTCTAATCTAATGAGTTTTATGTAATCTTTTACCCCACTATCCTAGTATTATGTACTGGGTAAAAAAATGATCATTTTTCTAATCTCATATGATTTTCAGAATTGTCTAAACTTTGTATCGACTTTGCATGATACAGTGTATCATTGATTTATAAATCAGATTATTGTACCTTTTCTACTTAAAATATAAGGAAGGAGGAATGTCTTAACCCCTTCTGAATTCATAAATTAAACTCCCATGTGTCATTTGTGTTTGTAATATTTTATGTGTGGGACACAACACCAGCAACAGCTGCCTGTGTTCCACGTGTATTGTATCGTTGCAATTTCAATAAATCAAATCATATCACACACACAACCCAGAAGTTGCAGAACATTTCAATTCAGAACATACTTTACACCTATGTAAAGTGATAACCTTTACTTCAATGCGGTATGTTTTTCTTTGCCTGAATTGATTGTAATGTCTATGTGCCTCCTGTCACGTACAAGTAGCAGACGGGATTTGTCTGGGGAGTTTTCATGAAAACAAGATCTCTGGGAGAAGAAATGGTTTATTCAATAAATTTATCACTGTTACATGCATTCTAATACAGTCAATGCACTGAATAAAGTTGGAAGAGGTTACACTGCAATTGAGGCAAGGACGTGGAATATAATGCTTTTTGTCTGGTTATTGCTGCCTGAATTTGTGGGAGGGCCATTTTGTTGCAGGAGAGAAAGGGGATTTCACGGTGATTTAAATTTTCAGTTCAGTATTCAGAAGCCACACAAGGAAGGCACATTCAAAACCCCGAAAATGAAACACAGGACTCAAAATCCCTTTTTCTGCATATCTACACTGGTGCAGGCAATGTTGAAAATTACCTGCACCAGACAAAGTTAACTACCTGCACCACTCATGGGTTTTCATCCATATGGTAAAACAGAAGGCCCATTTACCTATTACCTGGCATCATTGTCACTTACATAACACAATTTACATACTAGTACTCCAAATTTAGCATTGTGTTAATGACTGCGCATGTCCAACAGCAATTTTGGACAGTAAATCTTGTCATAATCTAATTCTGCACCTCTTTGTACACAAGACAAATCAACACATGCATTAGTCATGTAAACAGATTACTGTTGTATCCGGACGTCACCTAAGTGTGGATACAATAAACAAGCATGTGTGATAAACATAGTAATGCAATAATAGGCCATGTACATTGAACAAAGGGCAAACATGACTTCACAAATTACCATATTGTAAGGCCAAAACAATGGAGTTCCCAAGCTAGTCATGTTATTTGAAAGCCCCTTTATAATTAGAAGTCACATGGCATGTATTCTAATGTTGTTGTTTCATTTTCTTTCTTTTTTTCCGCTAATATAATTTACATTCTGTTCCTTTGTTTCCTGCAAATTTTCTGAGAACCACTTGCACATGACAGCTGTCGTCATCAAAGACACGACAAAAAAAATATCGGGATGCGTTTTCAGTTTATTTTTTGAGGCTATGCACTTCCATAAGCTTTCCTGCTAGCATTTAATCTTCTTTATGAAGGAAAAATAAACAAGTCTAATGAGTCCAAGGCTAGGAAAAAACCGGCGCACAAACTGAGTATTCTAGACAAAGCCGGATGTCCTCCATCTTGAAAATTTTCCACGCCAAAAATAAGAGCTCACTTTTCGCACCGAAGACTTGCCTGTTGGTGTATAGCCTTGAGTATTACAAACAGCAGATTTGATTTATATATCTGATTTCAGGGAGCAAAACCCAGACAAGATTGCGAGCAAAGATTGAGCCAATAATTTGTTCAAAACGTCATCACATAATCACTCACAGCAAACCGCACTGCAGTAGGAATGAAAAAAAATCGAAAGCCGGCGACTCACCCAAAAGATGAAGTTAAAAATCATCAGGATTGTCTTCAGACACGCCACCATGGGCTTGGTCTGCATCCTCTTCGACATCTTGCCGTCCTTTTCCGTCTCAGGCATCAGAAAATCTCAGCAGAAACGCGGAAAGCAACAAATTTATACCCTGCCAACGTCAGGCTTGAGCTTCTAATTCACTAGTAGGGACAGACCACTGCCAATTTGGGGTGGTGTGGAAATAGTACCCAAATTTAGAGTAGATAAAGCTCAATTTTATTTCATGATTGAAAATCTCTAGTAAATGAATCAATAAGGCAAAAGATATTATCGTAAAAAGAACAACTGTCAATACGTTTTTTTAAGGGAAAATTAATACACCATTTAGGACAACTTTTTGAACTGTCCCTAATGAACATCACATGATTGTGTTGTGTTACGTCATGTTTCCTGAGTGGAATCGACCAATCCTATGTATATAGTTTTTCTATATATTTGATTCCACACAAAGGAATATTTCAAGTTGAAAAGACCTAATGAAATACAATTATAAATAAGACATACACGTTGTGCGCCGCTGCTATTTGCTTTCTGAAAGTTTAGAATAGTTTTTGACGTTACAAAATTGAAATATACTGAGCCCCCCTCTAATTAAATAGGCTAACCGTCTGCACTTTCACCTTTGACACGTGCAGGAATATAAAGCCTGAATCCGTAAAATATAGTCCTTTCAGACACAGTTCATGCCTCAATTAACATTCCGAAAGGGGATGGGCATGGGCGTAACCAAGGACATTATATAGGGACCTTGGTGTAACACAGTTTTCCTAAGCTTCAGCAAGGAGGTTAAAATCCTAAAGCAGAGAGGCTGACGAAAATTCAACCTCCTTGTTCCCTGCGCAGGGTAAGATGCTCTCCAAGACCGATATATATGCTCAAATATAGCTCACTGGCTACTGATTTCTTATCAATGTTGATAACAACATTCCTTGAAGAAGAGAAATTACCAAATTTGAACTAGCCGTGCCGAGTACTAAGTAAGGAAGCCACTTTTGTATATAAAGGCTTTTATATAGGCTAATGTAACGTTACAGCAACTAGTATAAAATCTCAAATTTAGTAAACGTTTTCAGTATAATTTACCCATCATGTTAATCTGCCCAAGGCATGTTTTAGGGTTTGAAAACCAACTTTTGAAAGTCAATATTTTTTGTAGTCTAAAGGTTGTCTACATACTAACACAGTAAGTCGAAACAGTACCATCCCAATGTATTAAATCGACATTCATGGAGCAAAATGCAATGTTGGGTATTGAGAACTCTTTGAATATTTGTAAAGGAGGGATACAAATTACAATACGGGGTTAGAACTCATTCTTACAATTTTTTTTTATTCTCTGTTTAGGAAGACTGTAAGCCATTTAGAATCCCTGAGAAGGATCATCTTCCACCATGCATCTCAAAAGCTTGGCAGCAAGTTTTGCAACCAGGATATCCCAGCAGAGTGCCTCTGTATCCAGGAACATTACCGCACAACGTTATGCCCACATGCAAACTTTTCCAAAGCTCTGCAGCATCAGACATGCACGGTTACTGACTCCGACACAAAGCGTACTTGCAAGTCGTACAAGATTGTTGAGCACGTCTACTTGTGTGAAGTCCAGGTCTCACATAGAGAAGAAGGCAACAGGAGTCCCTGTCTCTGTGACCAAGTTTGTGCAACATGAGGACCACCTAGAGCTGGAAGTTAAAGGGGCCAAACTCAAGCTGAACTACGTCTGGCTAAGGGACCATTGCAGGTTAGACTGTTTTATAATGACCAGCTTTTTATTATATTAATATGCTATGGTGAGCAATACCCACTTGATTGTACATACCTAGCTGCTGCTATGCTACGTGCCTGCAAAGCTGGGGTGTTATGGATAATGGCAGTTATACTGGCTATATATTATTTTTTTTATATAGATACAAATAACAAAATCTTAACAAATTACAATGTGTGAAAATAATATTACTAGTAGTTAGTTATGAATGTACATGTATAGGGGAGGTTGCTTTAACTTTAATTTGCGAATAAAATCAACAATGATATTGTCATTTTCAGGACTGGAGACAGTATCAACCACCTAACCCAGCAGCGTATGGTGGACACTTTCCTGATCGAGCCCGACATTCAGCCGGTAAATGTGGCTATCCAAGAGGGAACACTGAACCTTACATGTAAGTGTTACAGTACAGGTGTATCATCGAATCATTAAGAAGAATCCTTCAAACTGTCATCCTTATCTGCCACTACGTATGTATACCTAATGCCCCAGTGTCGCACATTAGCCAATCATGGCCTCCTAAACACTGCCAAACTCCAGTCCCAACCATGGTTAGGAGTAGGTTGAGAGTAACGTTGGCTGTGGTTGGCTACTGTTCTGCTGCTGCTATATATACATGTAGTAATGTTTTATTTTGTTCAGGTATAGGTATACACCTTGACCTGTACCTAAATAGTTTTACAGGTACTGGTATTAGGAACACTGCCCTATAATACTATGTATCTGCCAACCATTGTTTTACACATGCACACATTATGTATTTTCAAGTGTTTTATGCTGCAATCATCAGTTCTTGTTGCTTGTCTCTTTAGGGCCTGATGGCCACCAATCAGAGTACGAGCTGGACTGGTTGCTTAGCAACACCTATGAAGGGAAGCAGCACATCCAGACAACCTGGGAGCCCCTGCTGTGGAACGTGGAAACCCTGTCAGCTTCTCCCAAACCCAGCGTCTTGTACCAGGACTATCTGTCAGATGATGAACAGCTGGCCAAGTTGCTGCACTACCTGTTGAAGTACGGCTTTGCATTTGTGGAAGAAGCTCCAGTAACACTGGAAGCAACATTGGTTTGTAGAGATTTTCTTTTTTCATGAACAAAATTTGCTTTGTACGGACTGATTGCAAACAGTTTTTGGTTTTCAATTCTGAGTAAAATTTGTGGAAGACTGAAACAGGTTTGAACTGTAATTTCCAACACAACAAATTGGACTAAAAAATTTCAGTCTAATAATTATTTGTACAGTGTTTGAAATTACAGTTATAACCTCTTTCAAATGCAGTTCTACTGTGGAGTAGAAGCTGGAGTATGCATTGATACTATGAATTTTGAAACTTTTGCAGTCATGGTTTTATTTTGAAGAGGAAAAGGGAGGTTTTTCCAGTGATATAAATTCACAGTTGAAACAATTTTGTGTTACAAAAGTCAAAAGGAAGAGAGTCAAAAGTAAGAAATTGTAGTAGAGAGGTCACTGCAAAAACTGCAGAAAATATAATGACTGACTAAGTTAAAGAATTTACGTGCTGTATCTGATGCATTCTCGCTACACCTTTATTTTGCATTGAGAAATCTAGCAGAACAATTCTTCTAACTTGTTCACGATCACTTTTTTCACATTGAAAAGGCGGCAGCCGAGAGAATCTGTCAAATCCGGGAGACGTTCTTCGGTCGTTTCTGGTGCTTCACCTCTGACCTGGAGCGACACGACACGGCGTACACAGCGGAGGCTCTAGGAGCACACACGGACACCACGTACCTGAACGAACCGTCAGGGTAAGGCAAATACCAGATGCAGCTTCTGTATGCTTTCTTTACAGAGAACTTTATTGCATGACAATTGGACATCGTACAATATACATACGGCAAAGAAACAAACTAATGAACATAATATATAGTACAGAAAAAGGTATATAATTTAACATCCTTATTACTGACAAAGAAGCAACAAGGGCTAAGGTCTTTGATATAGTTCAATGGAGTGAGGCTAATGATTTTTGTGGGTTTTTTTCTAATAACAAAGCCATCTTTTTTAAAACCCAGTGTTATTTGTGGAACACTCTTTCTAGAAGGTCCCATTGTGTACAAAATGTATGTCAACATGGTCATTATTGTGTAAAACATGAAGCAACCTTAGGTAATTTAAAGCAGCCTTAACATGCATGCCTTCTTGACTTATGGCCTTACTTCAGCTGTTATTGATTTTGATCTTGGAATGTTTAAGATCTTAAGCTACAGACAAGGATTTTGTTTTGATGCAATTGATCATTTTAGTACTTAATCTTTTTCTACACAGCAGACTTTCTGTTCCATTGTCTCCGGTCAACAAAACCCGAGTATCATGTATGTTGAAAAATATAGCATAACATAGGACATAGTCTCTTATAGCATTGTATTTTCTTTTTCATACAATGTTATTTGTACTTGCAAGTAGCCCTTGGGCATGCATGTGCAATAAACTTATTTATAAGAAGCATGCTTCAACTGAAATACAGCTACAGTAAAACTGTAATTCACATAAGAAGCGCTGTTATTACAGAATAAAGAATTGATAATATTGTATGTAAGTCTGTTGATATGACAGGACTTTCTGTTCAAAACTTCTCCATTGCTAGTACACAGTTCCCTCTTGTCCATCTGTCTTTCACAAATGATTATTGCCAAATGAATATAGATACCTTGTCAACCCAGTGTGCAGGTCTTCCACAAAATGGAACATGTAGGCGAGGGAGGAGCCACGCTGCTCGTTGATGGCTTCCATGCGGCTGAGCGGCTACGGCGGGAAGATCCGGAGGGCTTTGATATCCTGTCGTCTGTGTCAGTCCCACACCACTACCTGGAGCCTGGAGTACACACTACCGGGGTGGGACCTGTACTGGAGCTAGAGCCAGGGGCTGGCAAGGAGCTCAAGCTGATCAGGTTTGTGATTAATCTACTGCTAGGCCAATCAGATCGCTTTCTAAGCACTGTAACGTACCCTGATTGGCCAACTGAAAGGTCTCCCCACTGATTGGCCGACTTAGAGGTTCCAACCGATTGGGCAACTGTAGGTCCGGGTCTCCACTGATTGACCAACTGATCATGAGAAGTCCTCACTGATTCGCCAACTAAAAGAGGCCCCCACTGATTGGATGACTGAGAGGTTCACTCTAATTGGTCAAATAAGAGGTCACTACTGATTGGCCAACTTTGGGATTTGTCACATAGGGTGATGGACAGTGAGAATTTGTGTTACAGAGAGTTTTTCTTCTTCTATAAGGTACAACATGCATGACAGAGCATGTCTGGACACTGTACCAATGGAGGATGTCAGTCGCTGGTACTCTGCACTTAGGAAACTCACCAGGTTCATCAGGGATCCAGCCTCCGAATACTGGGTCCCTCTCAAACCAGGTAACCTCATATCTTCAACTTTCATCCATGTTGGTAAAAGTCATTATTAAACAGCTTTAAACTGTAATTTCTATCACAAAAAAATTGGACTTCTTTAGACTCCAGTCTTTATCAAGAAATAAGCAATCCACCGCTTTTGTGATGTCACATTATGCTCAGTGAGCATTGGATCAAAAGAAGCAGATAGATTGTGGGCAGCCCCCATCTCTGCTGAGGACAAAGTGAAAATCGTAACCATCCCTCAACATAGATGGAGGAGATGGGGCACAAACTTTCTGCTCATAACTTATTGGAGTTGTCACTCACTCACTCACTCACTCACTCACTCACTCACTCACTCACTCACTCACTCACTCACTCACTCACTCCTATCCAGTTTAGTGTATTTCTACAGCCAAAATCTTGGGAGCAGACTAAAGCTAACATGCCTAAACCAAAACTATTGCAGACGATATATTTGTGGAAAACATGCACACTTCTCACTCAAATTGACTGTTTTGTTCTTTTTGTTTTCAGGTCAAATCTTGCTGACTTATAACTGGCGGGTCCTACACGGGCGATCGGCCTTCACGGGGCGACGGAGGGTCTCGGGCTGCTACCTGCCCAGGGATGATGTCATCAGCAGGGCAAGGGTTCTCAAGGTCATATAACAGAATGTCAAGGTCATACAGAAGAAAGACCGTAGAACAACTGAATAAGATTCTGGAGAATGTACGTTGTATTGTTACTGTTTAGATAAGTAACAAAAATATGCTACATCAGAATGATGTAAGTCTAGGCACAAGATTTTTTTTCAAAGTTGTTTTTTCAGATGTTCTTTTTCTTTTAGTACACAAAAATGTACTATGTTCTAATAAGTGTCATGGTGCATCCGAGGCTTTTCACATCTTTTACAGCCATAAGCTGAATTGATTTTCTTTGTGAGGGTTGGTGAAGAAAACATCTTATCTTAAAAATAAGAAAGTTATTTATAACAGAAATTGAAATTTCTTGAATAATAAATTGTTATGCTTTAATCCAGTTTGTTTTCTCTATTAATTTATTACATTTTTCATTCTGTATTGTACCAGCTATATTTACTTAAGTGTAAGTTAGGAACAATGTTACAATGTCTGTATGCTACAGCGAAAATCTTCACAGCAGAAACTTGCAATTGGTTGTCCAAACTCAGTCACTTTATCAATTTTCCTTTGTAAAGTTACACACGATCTAAAAATGTCACCCTTTTTTAACAATAATGCACCTCAGTACATTAACGACTTGAAGTATATAGGTAGGTCTTGGGAGACAAAGGCCAAAGGTTGATTATGGGCCTCCTGGCAGCTGTCCTTGGTACTGAAGCAGAACTTTTGGTTTCAGTATCTTTTGTTCTGGTCTTGCTATGGTCTCGATTTTTGGTGGACAGTTACCTGTTTTCACATGTTTCGTCTGGTATTGAGTGTTGTGGTGCATCTAAGAGCTTTTACTTCTTGTGCATCCATAAGCTCCGTTGGTTGTTTTTGATGGAAAAAAAGTCAATGTTTAGTTTATTTTGCATTTATAGGTATTTTTAAAAAGCTACAAAGTTATCTATTACACATACAGGAAATTAGAATTCCGAGAAAAAAAATTGTTATGCCTGAATCCAGTTTGTTCGGTCTAAATTACTATAAGTGTAAGCCTGAATGCAGCAAGAACATTGTAACAATCCAGTTCCCGTGATTCCCACAAGACTCTTCCAACAATCCCAGAGCGTTTTGTGTTTTGTTTGGAAAGATTCCAAGTGTCTAAATCTTTGTATCCCGAGGGTCTATAGTCCTTAAACCCTTTGTGTACCTTCAGAGTCAGTTTGACTGCTGACTGACCCCCCCCCCCCCAGTAAATCAGATTTTAACTGTATAAAATATAAAATACATACAAACATACAGAGAAAGGTCGTCTGTCCCGAGTTTTAGAATTAAATTGTGCTTTTTTTCTCCGGGTAGCAAGCTGCATGCACGGTACCTGTGCGCGCTCGAAATGCCACCTACACATTTCCAGGTTAGTGCAGGTAAAATTCGGGATTTGCAGATATTTCCAATGTCTAGGCTAAGGCTTCAGTGTAGCACATGGATGATAGTGACAATATATATCACGCTAATACAGAAAGATCAAAACAGTGCTTCATAGGGAAATCAGCTTCCAATGCTTTTCTTACCACTCACCAAGAATAATAGAAATCCATTCATTTCTATCGGAATTTTATTGAATTGTTCAACAGTTAGACTTCTAATTACAATCACTTTGTGGCCAATGCAAAAGCATGCATGGTAACCTCCTTGTCAGAGTATGATGTTTGAAACCTCAACTTTAGACAAAATGAGCAGCTATCACACGAAATGTAGTCGGATGACATGGCCAGTTTTCAAATGTTTTCATTCAGGCACAAGCCAAGATAGACACAGCCACATAAAACCAGTGTGTCTGACCAAGCTATCATGCAAACGTTCACATAACTATGTGTACTTTCTGTCACTTGCAGCTGTACCCTGTGATTTCCAACCATGTGATCCTGCTGGCTAAAACTGAGATGAACTGTCGGTGTGACATGAAAGGCCGTTGTGTAGTTGTGGTGTTTGCATATTTTACGATGTCCAAAGCCACTGGAGAGACTATGAGGAGGACGGCCAGTATCCACCTCACCAACTTCACCTGAAAGGGCATGAATAGACCATAGTACAAATTTTGGCACTGATTTGAAAAAAATAATCTTGAATAATGCATTTGTGTGAAATCTTCACATTTTCAGTTTCACAATTATATTGTTTCCAATATTGTGTCATAGACACACGGGATTAACAACCAAATCACAGTCCCTATTGCCCGAAACTTCGGGAGTACCCTTACTTTTATTTGACACCTTCTATGTGAGTCAATGGCTTTGAATTTAAATTGCCATTTTTCACATTGCTCCGCATCTACCATGAGTTGGAAAACTACAATTTAGATAACTGTGTACTCACATCGCCGGATGTATGTCGATGGAGGAGGACCGGTGAGGCCACGGTCACCCTTCTGTCCCTTAGAGCCAGTGTAGCCACGGTATCCCTTCGGACCGACTGGGCCCAGGTCCCCCTTCTCTCCCTTTGGACCAGGCAATCCACGATCACCATTCGGACCGACTGGGCCCAGGTCACCCTTCTGTCCAGGAACGGTGAGGCCGCGATCACCTTTCTGTCCTTTGTGACCACAGGAACCCCTAGGACCAGCTCGGCCCAGGCCACCCTTTTGTCCAGGAGTACCTCTTGCACCCTGATAGTATGAAACATAATAACATTTTTATTTCTTTAAAAAAAAAGAAATTAGAAAAACGAGATATGAAAACTGCAAAATCTGCTGCAGTACCATTGAAAGCTGCTAGGAGGCCCAATAATCAAACTTCTTCATTTGCCCTCATGACATCACACAAACCAAAATGATTACTAGTATCATACAGATCCATCCACTGTAAAACTGTATGTAGACCATTATCGATATGCAGTCCACGCAAACACCCAAACTCCCCAAAAGGCACTGAATACATTACTCATTGGCGCATTGCATAATCATTTTGGGTTTTGCACACAATATATTTGAACCATTTACGTACTTGCCCCCGCAAATTACAACATTCCTGACTTCTACAATGTTTTTTTTTTTTCAAACACTCCGTGAAACTGACCAAGTGCGCTTTTCTGTGTCACCTCCCCGCAACTGGGGCCTGCATAGAACACCGGGCAGATTTAAACCACGCCACGGGTAAGGTCTAGGGGCGGAGATATCGCCTTCGGTTCTGTATCTCTTCATCCTAAATAGGCATATAACGCCTACCTTTCCGCTAAACATCATGTAGTCCCAGGAACAGACCTGTACGATATGATCTAGGGGCGTCACTATTGGTCAAGATAGACGTCAATCTTCATACGTCATTTAGATTTCTCTATTGTATGTAGTTCATGTTGATGTATGATTGACACTGTGGGGTTGACGTTAATTAGGCTTGAAACGTCAGAGGTCACAATGTTAGAAAAGTTAGTGCAGGTGACTGGTTTTGTTAAAAACAAATTATCTCTGCCAATTAAAGACGCAACGTTGTTCTGACAGCATTTTGGTTGCTTGGCTGGTCCCTTGTTTGTTTGTTTGTTTGGTCGGTCGCTGGGTTGTTTGGTTTGTTCGGTCGCTTGGTTTGTTTGTTTGTTTGGTTGGTTGGTTGACTGGTCGCTTGGTTGTTTGTTGGTTGCTTTGTTTGTTTGTTTGGCAATTCTATACTCAACATAACAATCAACTCTGAGACTGTATCAAGTATATGGTTGAACCGGTTTACTTGGACCATCTCAAAAGTACATAATCTATTATAACTATATAATATAAGGGACATTTGTATTGCCGGCTTAGCGCCATGACTTTATTACACACAGTTAAAATATGTGAAGAACAGTTATCAGCATTGACAAGATATTCTACTTCACGTATATGTTTAGCCTAAACGTAGCAATACAAATGCATGTAGAACGAAAACAAATACCCAATTACTGTCTATATCTTATACAAGCATCTTATTACCAACTTATTAACTATAGATACAGAACTAATATATTTTTCTGTTACATTTGAATCACAACAATATTGAACTATAACCCATACGTAAACCTTTTTTCCAGACCAAAAATTGATATTAAAATATCGCAATGCAATTAATTATTAACTACATGCAATTTAAAGAAACAGTACAAAGCTATTGGAAACAACTCTGTATTACATGTTACCCGTTCAGGACCTTTATACGACTATGCAGCCACTCTCTCATTGGTCGAACTGCTAATTACCAAGCCATCATTGGTTAACTGCTAATTGTGATGGACAGTCATACATTTGTATATTGATGATTTCCTACACCGTCAGTACAAAGCCATGCTCCATTAGTAACTAGGGATGATAGACGCTGTATGATTCCACTCAGTCACGACTAACTGTCCGTCTGGTCCAACGGCGATGCCGTCCGGCCGTCCCGTACTGTCCGTGACGTGGCGGAGAAACTTCCCCTGGTTGCTGAACATCTCCAGCCGCTTGTTCCCGAAGTCGGCCACGATGATGTTCCCCGCACCGTCCACGCAGATGCCGCGGGGGTCCTTCAGCTGACCGACGCCGCTCCCGTACCCTCCGAACTTAAAGAGGAATGTTCCGTCCTGGTCGAAGGCGTAAACAGAGTGCGTGCCATAGTCCGAGACGAGGATGTTGTCGTCCTTGTCCAAGCTGACGAACATGGGAGCCACCATGCCTTGGTTCAGACCGACCCTCCGTAGTTGCCAGCCGTCCGGCCGGAAAACTCTCACCTACAGCAACATGACGAGGAAATACTGAGTGAGTTTTACTTTTACTTTGCTTTTACATTCAACAAATTCTAATACAGGGTATTTTCGACCTTCTTTACACTATTTTTTAACAAGAAGATTTTCATAATTTATCTATTACGACCCATCTTGTCATGGCTATCACTATTCATCTCGTATTTTGTATGTAAAGTTATTGCTGCTTCTGTATTCCTTTCAACTGTATTGTTTTCAAACTTGTATGCATGTTCCTACGGAAAGGACTTTTATAATTCTTTTTGCCCAATCCTCATTACTAGCTAGTACCTTCGCCAAGAAGGTTGTGTTTTAGTAGCGTTTTTTTGTGTGTATGTATGTGTGTGTGTGTGCGTATGTGTGTGCGTGTGTACGTGTGTTTGTTTGTTTGTAGAAATGTGAATTAGATAACACTCACTTCGCCGCGAGTTCCAAACGTCTTGTCCGTCAGGGTGACGATGACGTGGTCGTTACGCGGGTTGACGGTAATCCCGCGGAATCTCACGGTGTCCGGCAGGTCAAACTTCCCCAGCGGCTCGCCCTCCATGGTGTACGGGATCACGAACTCCGTCGACCAGTCGCTGCCCACTATCCACATCAGGTCGTTCCCGTCTATGGCGATATCGTCCGGCCGCATGGTCAGGGTCTCTTGTCCGGGTACCGTGGTCGGGATTTCGCGGAGGGTTTCGCCTTTCATGTTGTGGACTTGGATTCGCCTGTTGTCCCGATCTGCCACGAAGATTTCGTTCTTTGATGACACAGCGACCCCCTCGCGGCCGGTTGAACTTTCCCAGCTCCGACCCTTTCCCGCCAAACGTGATTCTGTCCAGATGACGTATTTCCTCCACTTTGACGACTTCTTCGCTAGGGGTCGCTTCTGCCTTTCCTTGCTGTGCGCCTTTAGACTTTGCAGCCAGGGCCTTCTTTAGGTTTTCTGCGATGTTAAATTTGGCTTTCAACTCCCTGTCGTCTTTCATCATTTCGACTATTGCGCTCCTCGTCTTGCTTTTGCTCTCTGTCTTTCCTGATGGCTTTTCTCCTTTTCCGGCTTCACTATCTTCTCTCTTCTCTGGAGGCATCGCTGCAATATCGGCATTGTCTGCGAAGTCAGTCTGAATCCCACGACTGACCGTCTTTTGCTGCTTTTTGGCTCCACTGTCACCCATCGTCGTATTTGCCTGCCCTTGTTTTGTTGAAACGTTATCATCAACTCCACCAGACTGGCTTAAATCCGCCTGTGTCTTGTCTTCCTCTGTATTGACTCCTATTTCTACTGAACGCACGGTTGTTTGTGGAGTGTCTGCCTTCTGTCGATGTCCTGACTCTTCCACCACGTCTGTCCCTATATTTGCCCTTTCTTTGATTTCTCCGCGTACCTGGTCTAACTCTCCCAGTAGCGTCGCAATAGTCGCGTTAGCTTCGAGTAGCCTGTTTTCTAAGTCGTCTGGTTTAGGGGAGGCACTCCCCTTTTTACGCTTCGTATCATCGGAGCCTTCCAGGACAAGACTGCGTTTTTCTTGTGGCGGAGTTAAGGGACTTAACAGGACGCCCTCGTCTTCTGTAATTTCCGATTCCACAGAAGCGCGGCTTTTGTCGAGTCCTTTATCCTCGTACCTCTGTGCGGGGAATTTTCCTACAGGGCTCGGCACATCTTCTAACTCCAGACTGTCCGAATCCGATGGAGCCTTGGTTTTCTCCTGCTCATCAGTCTGCTGCTGTACCGTCGAGTTCTTGTTTTCTAGGCCTTCTGACAACGGTAGTACCTGGCTCTTGTGTTCCTTCGCTTGGTACCGGACCTGGGCCATCTCTGGGAAGATTGAGACATCCTCGTCTTCCGATGGAACGTCCTGGAACTCAGAACTTTCCGACTCCGAGGTATTGAAGTACTGAAGAGGTGTTTCATCATCCTGATCTGTTGATCCCTCTGACAATGGTAGTTCCTGGTCCTCTGGATCGAACAGTGCCACCTTGGTTATGTCGTCATCTTTAGTTTATACTGCTGCATTGTGAGCTGTTCTACAATAGATAAGTCATCCTGTGACTTTGGAGCTTCAGACGACAGTGGGTTTGGCTTTCCTCACGCTGTTTTGCAAGGGGCGAGGCGTCCCGGATGTCTGTGTCTTCAGACAACAGTGCTCCCTGGTTTGTCATGTCTTCCTGGGCTTCGTACGGCGACAAAATGGGCTGTTCTAGGAGGGATGAATCCTCCTGGCTTCCAGACATAGGTTGTTTCTTCCTTGTATCGTGTTCTTTGTCTTGGTGTTGTTGTGACTGTTTGGGGAGAGTCGTTGAGTCTTCTTGGTCTGTTGAACTATCGGACTGGCTCGATTCGTTCTCTTCATCGTGTAACGGTACGTCCTGGAAATCTGAACTGTCCGACTCAGATGAAACATCGCCTTTTTCTTTCTCATCGGTCTGGTCCTGTCGTACCGTGGCCTGCTTTGGATAAGGTGGAAAGTCCTGGACCTCCTGACTTTCACCCAGAGGCAGTGCGTGGCTTGAATCTTGTTCTTTACATTCTTGCTGCTGTATGGAAGTGCTGTCTGGAGTTGATGAGACCTTTTCGTCTCGCGAACTATCGGACTGGCTTGCTTCATCCTCTTCCTTCTCAGGCTTCTGTAACTGTACGTCCTGGAATTCTGAACTGTCTGCCTCAAATAGAACATCGCTCTTTTTCTTCTCGTAGACCTGTTGTACCACGGGCTGCTTTGGGAGGGGTACAGCTTCCTGCTCCTCCGTACTTTCAGGCAGAGGTAGTGCCTGGCTTGTGTCAGGTTCTTTACCTTCGTGCTGCTGTATGGAAGTGATGTATGGAGTTGATGAGGCCTCCTCGTCTCGCGAACTATCGGACTGGCTTCCTTCATCCTCGTCCTTCTGTAACTGTACTACGTCCTGGAACTCTGAACTGTCTGCCTCAAATAGAACATCGCTCGTTTTCTTCTCGTAGATCTGGTCCTGTTGTACCACGGGCTGCTTTGGGAGGGCTACAGCTTCCTGCTCCTCCGTACCTTCAGGCAAAGGTAGTGCCTGGCTTGTGTCAGGCTCTTTACCATGCTCTTGCTGTATGGTGAGAGTCGGTGAGACGTCCTGGTCTGTTGAGCTATCAGACTGGCTTGATTCATCCTCCTCATCCTGTAACGGCACGTCTTGGAATTCTGAGTCTGATTCTGAACTGTCCGACTCCGATAGAACATTGCTTTTCTCCTCGTCGTTCTGGTCCTGCTGTGTCAAAGGCTGCTTTTGCAGGTGTAAAACATCCTGGTTCTCCAGTCTTTCAGACGACGGTAGTGCCTCTCTTGTGTCGGGCTCTTTATCTTTGTGCTGCTGTGACTTTGTTGGTAGAGTCGACGAGGCTTGTAATTCCGAACTGTCCGAAATATTACTTTTCTCCTTCTCGTAGGTCTGAACTACGGGCTGTTGTTGTGTAGATGAAACTTCCTTGTCCTCTGGACTTTCGGAAAGCAACAATACCTGCCCTAGTTCCTGCCCTTCATCCTGGTGCTGCTGAACAGCAGACGGTTCTACGATGCCGATGGTGGTGACATCCCGGTCCTCCGGACCCCCAGACAAAAGTTGAACCGGACTAGTTTCGTTTTGGTCAGCCTGGTCTTCCTTCACCATGGACTCTTCTTGGATGGTCTGTGCCTTCTTGCCCTCTGGGACGTCAGATAGCAGTATACCCTGGTTCATGTCATTAGCAGGTTCTTGGGTCTTCATCTGATCAGACGAGTCTTCTTCGTGATCCTTGATACGTTCTTCGTTGCCCTCGTAGTACTCCAAACTGTCCGACCATTGCAGAGCCTGACTGTTGTCTTGGTCTTCAGTCTGATTCTTCACTGACAGAGACTGTTGTGTGCGATCTTCTTCAAACTGCTCCAGAGACTGTTTAGAGTCCTGTGGAACGTCTTGGTGTTCCACACTGTCAGACCACTGCATGAATTTAACTTCATTTTCCTCCTCAGCCTGTTTCTGTTCTAGTCTTGACCCGCCGGGCTCCTGTTGGAGAATGTCTAGGTATTCTGGGGTATCAAACCACAACAGGCTCTCGTCATAGTCTTCATCTTGGTCTGGATCCACTGCGTTTTGTGTTTGATCGTTTTTCTCGTGTTCACTCCCGTGTCCATGTTGTGATGGGAATGAAGACTCTTCTGTCGGGTCGAGTGGAGAATCTTGGAAATCGGTGCTTGCTTGTTTCTGTGTTTCATCGTCGTTCTTGCACTCCTGTTGTATTGTAGACTTTCCTGTGTTAACTAAGGGGTCAAAAGACTCAAGGAGGTCCGAGGATTGCAGGACTTGGTGTTCGCTGTGCTCCTTCGTCTCCGTTGAGGATTCTTCTGGGTCGGTTGGAGGTTCTACAAAAGTAGTGCTCACTTGTGGTTTATCGTCCTTCTTGTTATACTGTTTTCCTGTGGTATCTAAAGGGTCGAAAAACTCAAGAACGTCCGGCGATTGTAGCCCTCGCCCTTCGTTGTGCTCTTCTGGGTCTTCAGGGTCGAAAAGAGCGTCCTGGAACTCTGGTGTCGTAGATCTAATTCTTTGTGGCTGTTCGTGTTCTTGGTGCTCATCCTCCGATTTCACTGTGGATTGCCCTGTGTTATCTAAGGGGTCGAAAGACTCAAGAATGTCCAGAATGTCTTCGCTGTGCTCGTTACTCTGTTTATTCTGTGGTACCGAAGATTCTTCCGGGTCGGATAAAACGTCTTGGTATTCTGGACTCCTCTGTCTTTGTGTTTCGTTCTCTTTCTTGTCCTCATCTTCCTGTGCTACATATGGGTCAAAAGACTCAAGAATGTCCGACTGTAGGACCTGTCCCCTGAGTTCTTCAGTCTGTGTGTTCTCCACTGGAGATTCTTCTGTGTTGTGAACGTCTTGGCTTTCCGGAGTCGCCGCTTGTTGTAACTGATCTTTGTTGTTGTCTTCCTCCTCTTGTTCTTGTTGTTGTACTGTTGACGGTTCTGCGTTCTCTGTCGTGTTGTCAGACTCAGTACCCAAAGGTTGTAGGGCCTGATTCTCGTCGAGTTTATTCTCAACTGGAGATTCTTCTGTTTCGAGTAGAGCGCTTTGGTCGTGCAGGGTCGCTGCCTGTTTTAATTGATCTTTGTTGTCTCCATTCTCTTGTTCTTGTACTGTTGGCGGTTCTATGTTCTCTGTCGTGTTGTCAGACTCAGTACCCAAATGTTGTAGGACCTGGCTCTCACCCTGTATATTCTGAACTGACGATTCTTCTGTTTCAAGGGTCACTGCTAGTTGTAACTGATCTTTAACGTTGTTTTCGTCCTCTTGTTCCTGTTGTTGTACTGTGGACGGTTCTGTTTTCTCTATAATGTTGTCAGAATCAGTGCATTGGCTCTCGACCTGTAAATTTTCAACTGAAGATTTTTCTGGTTTAGGTAGAACGTCTGGTCCCTTGTCTTCGGGCACTATTGACGATACCTCGCTGAGCTGTAAAGACTGGTCTTTCGACACAGCGGAATGACCTTGGTGGGCCACCTGGGTTTTGGAACTCTCAGTTGTACGTTTACGACCAAAGGAGAACTTGAATGTTGATCGGAACGTACCGTCACTCGTCTTTTCGGTCTTTTCGTCGCTTCTGTTCTTGCCTCCTCCTGTCGTCTGTTGACCTGATTCTGACATCCTGAAACCGCAAAACATCTCCCATTTACAAATGACTGATCTCCAAAATATGACCTGTAATTGACTATTCAATCACAGTTGACCTGGAATTACAGAGCCAAAGACGGTACCAGTACTAGTAACCAATATTCATCTCAGTTGTACATGTATGCCTCATTCTAACTAATAGTATACCCATTGACATACGTCCGTTTAAAATTAACGTAAATGTGGTAGTACATATAAAAATAGTTGTGTCCCTCTTTGAAAACCAAATACCAAGTAAAGGGTACTGGTATGGTGCATTGAACCGGAATAAAATCGCCTCTAGATTTTAACTTGGTTGCAACAAAAAAAAACAACACAGAGAACGCAATACTGTCTACATACAAAATGTAGTTCACTCACTTCGTGCACTTACCTTCACAGTACGTCGAAATTAAACATGGATCATGCGACACTTCTTACTCTAGTTCTTTGATGATATATAAATATCAGGTCAGTTAGAAAATCGAGCGATCCCGATTCGCAAAGTTGACGCCATGATGACCTCAACTCAGGGACTTCGTCAGAGCAATGTGAGTCGTATAGTCTATACCTTGAGGAAAGCACGTTACAGCTCACAGTCTTAACACCTTTACCACTTAATCAGATCAGTCAAAAGATAATTAACCAACAATCTACGGCTGTCTAAAGACAGGGGCGACCCGTGGCAAGACACGTCAACACGGTGAGGGTAGAGCAAACCAGTTTAACAAGTACGCCCCCCTATGACGTCGTCCGTTGACGCACCATCCAATACGGTGGCTTGTATGTGATGTGTGCGTTCCAGGTGTCCCATTGAACTATAATTATGACAGACCTTTAAGCGTTTTGTACGAGTACATTCGTGCCTCGAAGGTTTACAGGTCGTCCACCTTTTAGGCTCTGCTTTCGTCTGAAAGCTACGGAATTATGAATAAGTGTGTCTAGGTGCCTGTGAGTCTGTCCGTCTGTGAATAGCATAACTTGAAAAGGAGTTGCAAAGACCTCAAAAAAATTTTGGGCTCCCTAGAGGCTTGATATGATACCGCATCTATAGTGAAGTTCCAGTTTTGATATCTCGTGTTCTGGACAAATACTATAATTGTTCTTGAGTTACATGTACCTCTGTCAACTTTGGCCGATGTGGAGGGAAACAGGGCACATCTTCATCAGGCTTAATCTCGTCAGGACGATGAAACAACTGGCAGTAACCGGCAGACCGCCACAAGCGGAACCGAGGCAACGGCAGCTGAGACTGGTTCTACTACAGAAATACCCGTGACGACTTTGCCCGATGTGGAAGAAAACAGGGCACCCCTTTATGAGACTGAACCTCGCCAGGACAATGAAGCAACCACCACTGCCAGTATCCCGCAGTCCACCGCAAGTGGAACCGCGACAAGGGCAGCTGGACAGGATCTGTCACAGAAATACGTACATGACAACATTGAAAGATGTGGAAGAAAACAGCCTTCATCTGGCTGAACCTCTTCAGGACAATAACTCAGCTGACAGTAACCCGCAGACAACCGTAGGTGGAGCTGAGGTAACGGCAGCTGCCCTGCTACAGAAATACCCGTGACAACTTTGCCCGATGTGGAAGAAAACAGGGCACGCTTTCGTCTGGCTGAACCTCGTCAGGACAATGAGGCAACTGCCAGTAACCGGAAGACAACTGCAGGTGGAGCTAGGGGAACGGCAGCTGGGTCTGGTTCTGCTACAGAACTACCCATGACAACATTGACTGATGTGGAGGAAAACACTGCAGGTGGAGATGAAAAGACGACAAGTTTCTAGTTGGGCCAACAAACGACGGCAAAAACTTACAAGTATTCGGAGAAACCATACCTCCATGAAACCATGATGTCACGACATTTTAGGGAAAACAAATATAAAAGCAACAAATCTCTACCAGATGAAGGGATTAACGACTGTCTCCCTCTGGGACAGCATCCAATCAAATCCTTTATAACCTATCCTAAGAGCCATGCGGAAACAAAGACACATACACGGACAGACACATAGACACACACACACACACACAGACATACCAAAAACAATACCTACATTTTTCATGGAGGTAACAATATGCGGCTACAGTCTTAAAGATAACTGCACTAGGAATTGTCCATTCTAACCATGACAAGCTCAACAATCAGAGCAATTCTTAAGTATTTTAAAATCAGTTTTGAAAGCAGCCAGGTTCATGCTTGTTACTCCTCCTAAGAGGCTTACTTTTGCGCTTGACTAGATACTAATATTGTTGGCAGTACAAAAACTGGCATCTGTTTTCTCATAATAATAAAAAACGCGCATTGGGGTATCGTTAAAATCTCACTTTAAGAACTTCATCAAGATTTTTTTTATCAACGTTGCTAGATTGCCTCAAGCTTTGAATAATGCACCATGGAGTGTAAAGCAATCAGGTAAGGAAGACTCACTGTAAAACATGGCACTGTTTATATGCCACTACAAAAGATAGCACAAAACTCCACACAATGTTTCATGTAAACAACAGAAGTTTATTAGATGCAGGGTTGGACAAGTCCCATTGCCCACTTGCCCAGGGCAAGTAAAAGTACTGTTCGGGCAAGTAAATATCCCCCTGCACTTGCCCGATTGGGCAAGTAAATTTTAGGATGCAAAGTATAGCCCCTGCATTATTTCGATCAAGTTTCAAACAATTTTGATGAATAAAGCATCCAATAAATAAACTCTTCTATAATAAAATAATTTCCTTTCTGCTAGTAAAATGAATAGAAATGCGTCATATTTTGGGCAAGTGAAATGTTGGTTCGGGCAAGTGAAAATGACCAGGTACTTGCCCGGTAGGGCAAGTGGATTTTTGAAAACTTGTCCAACCCTGAGATGTAACAATAGTTACTACTTGGAAAAAGTATCTTCACATGCATCATATGCAATAATGCAAATGTTTACTTTTATAAAACAGATCATTCATAGTTTTGGAAAGAAGATTTTTACTTCTGTCATTATGTCCTAAAGTGCAAGAACGTTTTGTAGACTTTGTATTCAAGACAGAGGACCCACTTTTTACAAGGAATTTTACGTAATATGCTATACATTTTAGTTGTACATGCATCAATCAAAGATCTTTTTGAGGTAATATATACAGAGTAGCTAGAATATAAGATAGAGAGAGGGAGGGAGAGAGAGAGAGGGAGAAACAGAGAGGGAGAGTGAGGGAGAGAGGGAAAGAGAGAGGGAGACAGAGAGGGGAGAGAGAGAGAGAGAGAGAAAGGGAGAAAGAGAGTGTGCAATCATAACGTAAAATTCATTTTGCCCTTGGAAAATATCTACTGACGCACAAGAATTAAGAGACTGTACGTGTGTTAGATAGGAATTTATCAGATACTCCAATAATGATATCTACATAGTGCTGTATAGTAGTGTACCAGCATGTCATCTCGAAGTGAAAGACTGTGGTTGTTGAAACAAGGGGGTTAAAAAAGTTTTCTACGAGAGAGAGTGAGAGAGAGGGGAGAGAGGGAGAGCTTGACAAACAACGTAAAAGTCAATGATTGTAGATTCATAGACATTTCTGTTTTCAATAAATTATATACATTTAGTTTATTTCTTTTCTTCATACCTACTAAGTACAAATTACTCCGACAAGGATTCTGAATGGGCTTAAGTTGTACATTGTCCATCTAAAAATAGCAGTTCTGTAGATGTTGGGAGTTGGGACAAGGGCAGTGGCTTCAGCACTTTGGTCACAGTAACCTTCCCTCTGTAGTACAGCAACTACCATAGCATTGGAGTCATCAGTGTGGTTGAGCACTTTCACTGCATTTTTTACAAGAGAATTCTCTGTCAGAAATACTGTCAGACTGGTGGAGGGTCAGTGCCGGTAGACATCACAAATACTTGCACAGATCCAATTTTACCTGTACTAACCTGAATACGCAGCCAGGTGGTCTTTCAAGCCCTGAAAGTGCCAGTATGTGTAACCCTCTCACAAAACAAATTGAAATGGATACTGTCAGTTAACACAGAGCTCTCAACACTGTTGCACTGGTGATTTAATGCTGTATTTTATTTGTCAGTTCTTACCATCCAGAATGAAAACAAAATTAGACAAAAGTTTTTATTGTCCACAACATGTAGGAGAAAGTATATATAAAACCTCATAAATGTCAATACAGTATACTGACCTCAGCTGACACAATGTACAGGTGGGCATGTTGGGAACTCAGGGGTCAGTCAGCACCAGGCAGCTGGCTGTGGTGTCCACTCCCTCAGGAAGTAGATCCCTACTGTACCTGTATATGGAAAGAGCAAAACTATCTTAATCAAAACAATATTGTGAACTACAGAACGTGGGGTAAAACTACTTAAAAACAACAGATTCATCAAACATGTAGGTTTGTTACATGTACCCCACTCAAAATGGGTGACAGGTACCCTATAGAGTATGTGTACCAGAACAGGTGTGTATCTAGTATTAGGTACATTTATCAAAATTAGTTTGTGCAAATACTCCATTCTGGAAGTACAGCAAATGTCAATTTGCACATCTTATTTAGAATTGTGTATCAATTTCTTTCTCATAAATGTCCCTTTGAGGCACCTGGACTACAGCATGCCTATGGCATAACAAACTGATATTATATTGTAACTCACAACAGCTCCTCCAGTGTAGTGTGTTCCTCAGCAGCCTGCATCACAGCCTGGAACCCTGCAGGCTCCATGGAGATGTTCCCCAGGTCAAGCCGCTCCAGGGCAGGGAGTCTTGATAGAGCCTCAGCCAGATCCATGGCAGCGGTGTCAGACATGTACGGGTGTGCAGGTGTGTCCGCCTCCTCCTCCTCGTCATCATCCTCCTCCTCCTCCTCATCATCATCATCATCAGGTGTGTACTCAATGGCACCAGACATGTCCAGATAGGTCAGTGCCGGCAATGTGCTGATGAGCTGTGCCACGCTCCCCAGTCCGGCTCCTGTTACTTCCTCATTCCCCCCAATGTACAGCTCCTGTAGTCTGCTGTCATAGTGAGGGGCTGTAGTCAGACCTCTGTCACCAGGTGGGTTTTGCTCCTTATCCACACTGCTGGGCTGACAGAGTGTTTGCACCAGTGAGGCAATCCCCCAGTCCCCTATGCGATTGAAGCTCACATCCAACACCTGTAATTGCACTAGGTGAGGCAGAGCTTTGATCAGGGATGATATTCCCCTGTCACTAATACGTGTCCTACTGAGAAGCAACACCTTCAAGGCTGTGAGGTAGGGGAGGATGGCAGCCAGGCATTCTAGTCCAGAGTCTAATATGTCATTTTGACTTATGTCCAGTTTGATCAGTCTAGTTAACTTACACAGTGCAGGGACCAGTGTGCGAAAGCCTGTGGGGAAGATACGAGTCCGAGTCAGGCCCAACACCTGCAGGGCAGTGAAGGTGCAGAGAATGTCGGTGAGAGATTCCAGCCAAGTGTCACTTCTTATACAGTTGTCACCACATATGTCCAGTTCTTTCAGTCCCACTAGGTGGCGCATGTAGGGAGCTAGAGATGACATACCCACAGCTAGTGCTGTCATTTCAACTAATCTTAGACGGAGTACAGCCAGGTGTGGAACACTAGACAGCCAAATGTGTAGGAGTTCCAACCCACCATCACCAAAGTCAATGTTCAAAGTCAAATCCAGCTCCTCTAACAGAGACATGTGTCTGAGCCCCTGCACAAGTGGCTGGAGTGTTGATGTGGTTAGTTTTGAGCGTGACAGATCCAGTGCCCTCAAACAAGGAACATTCTTCAGAACTGTAACCATTCTGGCTGTCTGATCTGAGTTACACAGTCCTGATAGTCCCAAGTCAAATCTAAGTCCAGGGAGTGAAGTTGTAAAACACTGCTGTAGGTACTGAACTGGGTCTCTGCTGTCAGTGCCTCCATGGATCCTAAGCATGAGCCTGTCTGGCAGGTTTGCTGAATGGAGATTCTGTATGTAATACTTAAGAGCTGTGGCTTCTTTCCTGTTAATGGAGCTGTTCAGCACGACAACTGGCAGGGCTTTACTGAAACCCTGAAGCACTTCTGGTTCTTGTCTCTCACTAAGGATGTTCAGGCACAAGTGTACAAATTCTTCATAAGTATCACAGGACTTTTGCATGTTTCCATTCATTGGCACGTTTGATATTTCAAACTGTTCTGGTTGCAAGTGTGTAAACTCTCTTCTGCTGAGCTTGCATAGTCCCTCCATCACTGCTTGTGCTGCCTGTGAGTCACAGCCACATGTGAACTGAAGCAGGTTACCGAGTTCAAGAGCCTTGCTTATGGAGGTGAGCTGCAGTAGTTCAACAATGTCTTGGCTTGCTTGAGCATGAGTGACATATCGTCCGGCCAGGAACTCTTGCATCGTCTTGTGTGAAAAGTTCAACTGTTTCCTAGGATGCAATCTAGAGGAAGAAACCTCCAAGGAGACCACACCAAGCTTTAAGAGTGACTGCCAATTCAAATTTTCTCTCTCTGCTAGTGTAACATCAAGCAGGGTCTCATTTCTCAGCAGTGCCTCTTGTGCAAGCTTACCAAGCTGGAGCAAAGACTCAGCAACCTCTGTAGGCAGCCCTTCTGTTGGCATGTCCACTCCTTCCCGCTCACAGTACTTTCTGACCAGAGATGTCAGCAATTTGTCATATAGCCCCACCCTTGTTGCAGTTGACACCATCTCTTGGTTCTCCTCCCACAGCAGACACAGCAACATCAAGAACATTGGAGTTTTGATTAAGTTACTTTCGATTTCGTCATCTTTCAGCACTAGAGCACTTCTTGTATTCTCCTTCTCATGACTGGAATTAGCTAAATCATCACTAAGTGTATTATCATCATCGCCACTGTTGATATCATCATCATCACTGTCAATACTATCATCACTGTCATCATCATCAGTGAAATACTGTTTGATGAAATCATCTGCAAGCTCAGGATGTTCTGTGATTGAGAAATATTTCCTCACATGTTTCTCCACATGCTCGGGGGAGAAGCCCATGATGCACACGCGACAGTCTGGCCGGGTGTGCTGCTGCACTCCTGCTGAGGGTCGGGAGGTGATCACAATCGTGCTGTTGGGGTACAGCTTGCCAGACAGCAGTTTGGGAATGGCCTGCCCGGCTGCTTTGGCCTCAGGCCGCAGCTCATCATACCCATCCAGGAGGAAGAGCACACGGGACTCGTTGCTCTGTAGGATTTTTCTAATAGATTGTGCATCAATACCTTCAGTTGTTTCAGGACCATACTGGTCACACACTATCTCCTCTATGGTCTCCTCCTCTCTTACCTCCCGGAGTGGGATCAACAGGACGATGTTGTGCCGTCTGCCCAGTTCTGTTTTCTGTGAGACGGCATCTAGGGCTTCTTTGGACAGAAATGTTGTCTTCCCCCCTCCTGCTTCACCCTCAATCAGAATGCATCTTGGTACTGTGGACAGTCCTGTGATATTTTGCTCGAATAAGTTGTCTAATGACTTCAGTTCTTTCCTTTGTTCTTCTTGCCCTGATAATATCTGGCGATATTCTTTACGCCTGGGCATTTTGATTTGTCTTTCTTTTGTTTGTTTCAAGTCTAACTGAGTGAAAATGTCACTGAGGCTAAGTGTGAAGTCATCATTCCAGATCAGAGGCTTAAAGTGAGTCAGTTTCAACTCATAGTACTTCTTCACAGACCTCTGAAACAAATCTGGAACAGAAAAGACACTGTTGTAGGACTGGAAACTCAAGCAGAGGCTAAATCTTGTCGGCTTGTACTTGTGCTTCTGGTTGATACAGGTTTAGGGACTGTACAATATTTACCAAGGTTGAGGGGCTGGTGCAGATAGGGTCTGGTTAAAAATGTTTTGATGGCCCTCCCCTCCCAGCAAGTAATTTTCTTTCTCAATGCTCACCAATCCCCCTTGAACTCGAAGCCTACCAGTGTACCACTTAGAAAGAACTTATTTTGCCCAAAGGTCTGCACATCAAACTGTACATCATAAAACCTAATATGATATCACTTCTGACTTCAAGTTTGATACCTGTCAGATTCACTGAAGAAGCCACTGTTCCTGATGCTCCAACTGGGACTAGAACTGGGAAGAGCACTTCTGGAAGTCGGCAGAAATAGATTATATAACATATTTCCTAATAATGACGAGCAAAATGTAATAGTTTGTAAGATTACTTTGTGCTTAGATTGACTCTCTAAACACCAAACATAGGGAAGATATACAGACAAGAAGATTTTAGATTTTGTGCAAAATAGAATTTTTTTTTACAGTGATTCAATTCATAAAAATTTAGACTGTTACTCCTGCCATCTTCTTTGAACATAATTGAAAGTAAGAATATTGAAAGTGATGATATTACAGAAGCAAGAAGACATTAACATGTAGTATTTTCAAGAAGAGGCCATCTAATATAAGCAACTGTGAAGTCATGTATAAAGAATTATATTGTAGTGGAACAAAAAGGGTCAACTATCAAAACTCGTAGCAGCAAAAATCCAAACAAAGAATATGAGCAATACACTTCTTACCAGGAAACTCCTTCGTTAGACCATCCACAACACTCTGAAGGTTTGCCTTGATCAGAGCCTCCATCAGGCCCTCTATGGTGGCTCTCTCTCTGTTACCCTTCAGCCATTCCTCCAACAGGTCCATACAGCAAGACTTGTCATCCCGGTTTCTCCCTTCGATGTTGTCGATGTCAGCTTGTTCAACCCCAAGATGGAGGGCCACATCTTTCCAGTCTGAGCTCACCTTTTCCTTCACGTAATAGAAGTACTTCTGAACACCTGTAAAGTAAAATAGAAAAGAAAGACACTGTTACTGATATTTGCCATCAAAATAGCACAAACAATCACTTTCCCCTGTCTATATAGATCTGTGCATTCAGTCCAGCTAGTATATATAACTGTTACTAGTGTTAGTGTTACTAAGGCTTGAAATACTAATTTCTATTTAATTACACAGTCATGATCAGGTTTCAAAATAACCTGCACCAGACAAATTTTGACTGCATGGTTACTGCACTGTATTAATGCAGGTGGTATTTTGAATCTCACAACTACAATGTAAAACAGACTACATTATACCATATATGGAATTATAGTAACTCACCTCCCACTTGGAACCCTTCCTCCCTACATGTACCAGGAGCTGGTTTCTTCTTCACAGGAAACTCTTCTCCATCCTCCCTCTTCCTCTTCAGTTGGCCTGTAGAGTGTTGTAGTGAACCTGTCTCAGAGATGAATTCACGTATCAGTAATTTGCTATCAAGAATTTCTGCAGCAGTAATATGATGTATACCATTAATTATCACAAATGATGAGTGATTATACCAATTATGTATACTATAATAATTTCCAAAACTTATACCCACATCACAATATGTAGCAAAGCAGTCATCTTTGAATCTTAATTGAATTGCAGCTTGAAAATATAAATACATGTATAATATTTCATGGTACTTGTGCTATTTGGCAGCTCATTGTATGTAAAATGAATGACACCATTTGTACATCTGTGTGGACAACTTGTGGTTTTGTTGGACTGGAAGAAATTACAATATAAATCAAATCAGCAAAGTTAAGCCATGATAAACGTGCAATGACAAGCCTTCAGTATATATAAAAGATATTGGAAGTATGATGATAGAAAATGGAAGTTTTAGAAGTATATTTTGCCGACAGATATTACCTTGATTGGAACGATTCCTCAACCCTTCATCAGTGGATGTCTCTCCGACTCTGTTTAGAGCTGCTCCACTCTTTCCCTTCTGGGCTTCAGCAACATGACCTAGACACAGTTGGACTTAAGAGATTTTGTACATAGGAAATCAATTTACCTGCCAAGAGTTTACGGAATCAGAACAGTTCAAACATGGATAGTATAATTAATAAAAACAGGCACCAGAATCGACACATTTGGGGAACAAACAAAAATTTCCTTACCTGCACCTCCACATGCCTGAAGGAACTGCTGATGAGACTCTTCCCAGTATTTGGACTCCAGGAGCTTTTGCTTGAGTTCAGACGCCCGACGGAACTCGGCTTCTGACATACGCAGAACTTTCTCAATCTGATATGCCCAACGTCCAACATCTACACAATCATCCCCCGTGATTCCAACAATAGAGTGGTGGAATTCTGGTACGACCTTAGTGACCAAGGTAGCCAGTCCTGATTGGTCAGATATGAGGACTGGCACGCCGGCTGCCATAGCCTCCAGACCAACCAGTCCGAAGGGTTCTGCACGGGAGGGCATGAGAACCAGGTGGGCCTGCTGCATGTCTCGGCAGATGTCTTCCTGGGTGCCGTGTGGGAGAAAGGTGGGGATGAGTTTTCCTGAGTTGAAGCTGGTTTGGAGGATGTCCTTACTGAACTGAAACTCCTCTTTACTGACAGTATGAATACGCAACCTGATTCTGTCCTGACTCCTTTCTACTACCTTAGACAAGGCCTTGACTGCTAAGTCAAGACCTTTCACCCTCTCAACTGTTGTCACCCTGCTGATCAACAGAACAACTTTCTCAGTTGTTTCGAAGTACTCAACTGTAGTCTTCTGTGACATGTCTGATGGTTTGGGCAGGAAGAGGTAGTGAGTTGGCCTTTTGTCTTTAGGAATTGCACGAAATGTGTTTGTAAAGTAGTCGTGTGTTCTATGCCCCACAGAGAACACAGTGTCTGCCTTCTCTGCATCTTGTCTGATCAAGTCTTCCTTCTCACCAATGCCCATGGCCTTCTCCTCTTCCTTGTACTTCTCTGTGTCTTCAGGTATAGTCTGGGTGACAAGACTGAGACTTGCTTGGGGGAGACGCTGTTCCTTGATAGTTGCGGCTGCTCTGCTGGTGACCCCTGCATGACCCACAATCCACCCTGCATCCTGTGGGAGTCTGGGATAGCGGTTGAGGTGGTCAAAGGTCAGCCAATCCAAACAAGGTTCCCTTGTGTCTCCATCATTGCAGGTTGGGAGGATGAGCTCCACTCCATCAGCCTCAGCACACTTTCTGTCCTCCTCTGTTTCTTTCAAAATGGTACTGTAAACTTTCCTACCTGCTCCTGTTAGGGTCTGGGCCACCTGTCTGCTGCTGATAGAACCGCAGTCCTCTGATGTGGCATACTGGTCACTCACCAGGAGAACTGAGCTGAACTCTGTAGTTTCACCTGAGCACCCAGCCTCCCCCTGGACTTGAGCCATGATGACTCACACAGGTGTCAGGTTTAAGAACACCTGGAACTGACAGGTGTGTGTCAGATATGTGGTGGAAACATTAGGAATAGACAGGTCGGGTGTATCAGGTCCTTATTCACATAAATGTCATCTAATGTCAAGTATCACTTACGCTTATACAAAAAAAAAAAAATGATCAGTCAACTGGTTCTTGAGTTAAAAAATGGTGTTGCCTCTGTCTCTAGAACTCTTATTCAGTTTAAACAAACATCCCTGCAATTTCCAAACAAGCTGCTAGGGGTCCCAAACTTACTAGTACGTTATTTCTTCCTTAGCACAATAGCTATCTATCCTATGTAGTCGATACCGACCATGTTATCGGTAGCAACTGTGGCTATGTCAAGATCGAATATTAAAACCTAAGTTCTGCTGCAGTACCACAACAAGCCAGCAGGATGCCCCAAATTGATGGACTGAAGGTTGGACACACACACACACACACACACACACACACACACACACACACACACACACACACACACACACACACACACACAGAGAGAGAGAGAGAGAGAAATGGACAGATGCTACCAATCATAATTATATCCTTCTTGGCGAGGGTAAAAATCTTCATTTGAAGTTTGGCATGCAAATAACCTCAATGGCTGTGATAGTACCCCATATAAATTATATATGATTATGATGAATGGTTTATTTCAACACTGTCGCAAACATAGCAGCCAGAATGGCTGAATTAATGTGTTGTGATTTGGTTTTGAGGGGAGGGGGGTGAGTACACATTCGTTTGTCAATGAATCTTTTGGCGTCATGGCCTCATCTATAAGGTATTATCTGAGAAATTCATTGGTAAGTATGTTTCTTACAAAGGAGGTTGTTCTTTCTAATTTATAAGTCCGGATCCAAGCAAAGTAAACTGTGTTAACTAAGTAAACAATCATAACGGACTAAATCTAAACTAACTCTCACTGCACTGGCAATTTAGTTTATCCTTTTTTCACACATATCTGGTGGATATTGAATCACTGATCAGTCTACAGACGGGATCTGTACTTACCTTCTTCTTAGAAGTCCCTAGAAAACTTCCATCAACTTTTCGCGCCGACTTTCGAGCTCCTTTTTCCCGCCTATCGCCATTTTGGACTTTGGAACAGTTTATTACGCGATAGGGGAGGGGGGAAATTGAAGTCAAACGTAACAAAATGGGGATATTTTGGCAAAGTAACGTTAAAATATAACGTTATATTTGTGATTAAAGAATGCAGTAGCATTCGTCTATAATTTGCAAGCTCCTTAACGGCGCAGTTACCTATTAATAAAATGCAATCTGCTTGTCAGAAAATGAACTGTTCCATGAAGTCAACTTCAGGGCAAGTTATTGGCGACGCCTTAGGGGCGGTGCCTATGATGTACTGTTGGATTGAAGTTTAAAATATTCCAAGAATTCCCTCTATCATTCCTTAGAGAAGTGGACTTTGACCCACCTGGCAGGCCTTGATTACTCTGTGCTGTTTAATTCGCCTGTTAATTTTTGTCTGTTTGTTTTGTGAAGGAAAGTGTTTGTTTTGAAATTGTGAACGAAAGTGTCTTTAGCATTGGTCAAGATAATTCATTCTCCTAGCTAATAGGCATCCAGGTAAGGAATATTCAAAGGCAAATCAAACTCTCCTACTGGGTAAATTACGGAGATAAGTTCCGGACGTTTCAAGTGACATCCGTCACTCTTCTTCAGCGTCACGAAAATGGACCATGGCCAAGAGAACTTCGACTAGTCAACACTAAATCACTTTTGAAGGAACTGGAAAAACCGTTTAACATGACAAAGTCTCATAAGGGACACCGTTATGTAAATGAGGATAAGGTACTAGTAGTTCCTGTGGCAAGACAATAGGAACTGTATACTGTCCCGATCACTTGATTCGGTTTTAATTTGAAGAAATCGGATAACAATAGCTAGTGATTTTTCAGACCTATTCGATGTTGCTTGCTTGGTTTGATGAGAAATATCAATGACAGAGTTTGTAATAGAAACCGAGGCATTTAATTTCCCGGGGCGCCGAATAGATACTAGTAGTTACTACTAGTATATAAATGCAACTGGATGTCACTAATGAAAGGTAGTAAATATGCTACCTGAAATGTCCTACTGCTTTCAAAATCTATCCAGTAATTGTTTCTTTGGGGTCCATTTAATTGTTTTACAACCTAACAGTTTTATACATGCAGACTGCAGCTGAACCAAGACTTGAAGTGATCAGCGAAAACAAAGGACAATTGATGTGCACAACACAAAACCCATACTTTACTGCCACACAAATTAAACCATGCGTAAAGGTTCCGTTCCTTCCCTCATGTACCTTTACGCATGCTTTAAAATGTACTTAAAGATAAAATGCCGCACAGTTCACGGTGATGTTTTTTCTATAAATACACTTGGACGTCTGCTTCCCCTTGATATGCATATAAGTAATTATCGATACGTAACGGTCTTCCTGTTCAAACACTAAGACTACTGAAACCCAAGTACTGTGACCTTTACCCCGTTATACGTGGCAGGCTGAACACAATACAATGGTGTTTACTATATAAACATCAGTATGACGGCAAAGTTTGGTCCCATTGATTGGTGAAAAACAAAGCGCTGTACGTAGCGTTACTGAGACCAAGGGGTTACTGTATATATACACATGCGTACGTTACTGTATAGACTAGTTTCTATTCGCCAAAAGACGAACAACGCGTGTTGGAAGTTAGTAGAATGTAGCCAAATAGGGAGAATGATTCTTTAGAAGAGTTTGGGCACCATGTCATTTTACCGCGGCTCATTTTGCTGAATCTTAGTACATGTATCCAAGCCCCTTTGGACGTCGTGGTGATGGTTAGCTATATATATAATTCTGACAAAGTAATCAGCCTATTTTGGCCAATTTCTACTATTTTTCTTCGGCAACCAAAAGGAGTCTGGTAGAAGGTTGTGTTACAGGGTTTTACATGGTGAGATGCATTGGGGTGTGACTGAGAAAACACCTCATGTCTCCATGTACACAACTTCAGTCCACGCTGAAGATGACAGATTATGAAAAAATCTTTGGTTTGATTTACTACCATTCCTTTTGTTTAGCTGGTCTATAAAAAGCTCATGACACCTGTTTACAAGTAAGCCTGAACGTTAACGCGCGGTGTCCAGTAAATTTTCCCCAAAGTTTCGGTACCAGCCACCGAAACTTCGTCATTGTTACCAATGTTAGGATTACAAACAAAAGGTGGACTGATCCATATATATATATAGCGAACCTCATGTGTAAACATAGTTTGGTTTTTTTGTTTCAATCTCCCACTTAATCAAAGGTCAGTTCTTAATGGCAAGTAAGAAGTATGTGGTATATTGCCAGAGCGTTTTTTGTTCTATTACTAGCCGTGTTTGATCGATGTGTTACTGCATGCAGAGAAATGGTATCGCCCGACTGTATCATTGGCGATGACGTACCGTGAGTTTCAGACCTACGGACCGGGAAGGGAATCAATATACACCGTCGGACATTTGAACAGCAGACCACGGTGAGCAGGCTCTCTTTTACCTCCTGTAACACAGCCAAAATGTCGCAGTTTGACAAATGCAAAGAAGAACCCAAGTCTCTGCAAAAGGTAAGCATCTAAATTATCCCTATACGTATACTGTATAACGTCATTTCGTCATAACGTACGTCATAACGGTTTTTGTGTATAAGGATGATTCTGAAGTTACATCACTTAGACTTTTAGTACCTTTCTATTAATTTCGAAAACTAAGAATGGACCCAGAAAGTAAGTCCCTCGCTTAATCGTAATGTACATACATCTACATCTACATCTATACGGCACTAAGCAATACCCCTCGCGGGGTCTAGTGCTTAGGGGCATACATATGCACATGCGGCATGTCACTAGGCTTGAAAGTGGCGTGAAGAATTTGATGCACGTCCAGAGCGGTTTACTAAGCTCGCCTTATATATATGTTGCTCCGCCTACGGTGGAATTTGAACAATTGTACTCTTGGCTACTCGTTGGCGCACAATCTACCGTGAGTATTGTGCGCGGATATACTTATACAGTATCTACTAAGTAGAGTGGAGCAATACCTTACAGAGATAAAATGTTGTTGGGAGGGGGCGCAACTGTACGTTAAATGCAACGCTTCAGGTAAAGATCTAAAAGGAAGAAGTAAAACGTCACCTTCCAAAATGGCGTTCCCTTTATTTACGTTGTACATTTCTGACTACATGATTAGATAAGTTTCGAGAATAGTATTGTATTCCGCCTTCGAAATCATATACAAGTACATGTAATATACCGGCGGAAATTAAAAACATAGGTATTTCTAATCACTAGATTTTCAGTTGGTTTGAAATGTACTACCGGCTAAAAACAAGAGTATGTTACACAAAAGTTCCCTTCTTTAGATTAGCTTTATTCAAAGAAAAGTGATATCGGTTTGAAAATATATATAGGAGTAAAAAAATGAATGTAAATATTGTATATGCGTCAACATACTAGTAATCAGTGTTCACGATCGGGGTCATGGGACGGACTACTTTCTCTCGCGGAAGTAAAAAAAAACAACAACTTCCTAGAGCTCTTGACGTGAATGATATGGGTCAGAATTATATAGGATAATATAGTAATAGAAAAGATCCAGCCAAGTAAATTATACATGCCACATGTAGGGTATTGATAACATTCTCAATTCTTGTTGGGGAGCTAACATTGACTGATGAAATGTAAGATAAATGTACATGTGATCACATAAAAGAAATTCATGTTACCCCCCTCCCCAACACAAATTTCTATATCTCAATTCCAGTAACCCGGAAATAATGATACGCCTCTAGGGATTGATTATGTATGTAATTTGAATTGCAGTAGGACTACACAGTTTTCTGGAATAGTCAACATCCTCCTATTCCCATCATGCCGAGGTCAAGACGACAAATACGGGAGGGATTAACCTACAGGTACAGTTACTGTTTAATACAGTTTCACACATTTTCCCTTCCCAACAATGAAATGAAAAATATTGTCGAGTAAGAGTTGATGACCTGTGGTCGCTTTCAACTGCTTGACACTCGGAAGTAAGGGTAAGAATCTGTGTGTGGACAATAACTTAGTTTCGGTGTGAGGGGGAGTGTAAACAATAGCATTCTAACATACATACGAAGTTCTTATAGGGACACAGATAATGCTTTCCTTATTCAGCACAGTGTAGTTCATTTGAAAATTTGTAACCTTCGAAATTTCTTATTTCTGATGATGTTTTAGTTCATTTATTCCTTAGAGGTTCTGTATCACTATCATATCCAAATAACTTAAAATTTTTACTTTATGTTCAATCATTTATAAAGGAAACTAAAATATTTGAGTAATTCTTTCCTACCAATTTTGTAAGTTTTGCCTGGAGTACTTTACACATTGTAACCTTATTTATTCTATTCTGTTATTATTAAGCTTTGCATGTCTGTTTTTGCATTTGCTTTTGTATTTTTGTAATGTTAGATGGCGACATGAACATAAGCTTCGGCTTGAGTGTGTCGTCATCCTGTCCACTTTGATCCTAAATGTTTAAATAAAGAAAAAAAATTCTTATTTAAGAAAATAACAAATTTCGAAAGTTACAAATTTTTTTTCAAATGAACTACACTGAAAGGATCATATCGGTATCATATCATATGTGCTGGATAAACAGCATGAAATTCACAACTACGTGCATCAGAGTGTGATGTATACAAATTTATGACGATTTTGCCCCTGTACTCCATTGCTTGGGTACAACATTGGACCTGTATGTGAAGAATTCTATGATATACGATATGACGTCTTTTGTTGATTTTATTTTAGTGTTGAAAAACAGCGGCAGCTCATGCAACGCTTCGGATTGAACGTGAGTTGATACCTGCCTACCTTTTAGTGAGCGAAACTATTACATCATAATACACATTTGGTGCAACAGTAGATATCAGGAATTGAATCGCAGATTTTGAATTTTATGCACACCTAGTACCTACGTACGTACTTATCTTCACTAAAATCAAGCTTTCTCTAATCTACAAAGTATGGCAACCTTCTTCTTTTCTCTTTATTGTTATGATGTAATTTGTACCTTGTTTTTGTTTTGCGTTTTGTTACTTTCATCTGTATGTGGAAAGGAGAGAGCCTCTATACTTCTTGCCCAATCCTCTAGAAATAAATGTGAATAAAATGAAAAAAAAATAGATAACCTCTAGTGATTTAAAGCAATTGAGAAAATAACCAATATTACTTTTCCTTACGAATGTATTGATTTTTGTTTAACAACGTCCCACAATTCACAATCATAACACAAGAGTTCCACGACCCCATAACCTTCGCCAAATCGTATTAACCTTTGAGGATAACGCATCATAAAGGTTTCTTATTGATTATGCAAATAAGATCCTCATTTCTATAATTTATATCAGTAATTTCTCCTACCCAAGTATCACAAGTTGTCCAAAGTTTTGAAGTCTTGTAATAACAAAGAATGGTTAGGGCTATATAAAAAAAGAAGCATTTTCTCATCTATTATACTATCAGAGGCCCTGATTTGCATGATTTATGTCTTATAGTTATGAATTATATTCACCTTAGCCTACAACGCCGCAAGTATAAACTTCCTGTCATTTACATCTGTGGTATTAACTTTTAAGGATGACGTATTATATAGAATGACTTAGCTTAGATAGAATGTATTTTCTAGTAGTTAATAAGACTTTTACGTTATCCTTTTATTACCTTCGCCAAGAATTGGAGAAGGTTATGTTTTCCTGGCCGTGTGTGTGTGTGTGTGTCTGTCTGTCAACAGCATAGCTCGAGAAAGTTTAGATGGATTATCTTGATATTTGGTAGATGGGTAGGTCTTGATGAGAGCTCGAACTGATTAGATTTTGGGCCCCCTGGCGGCTTGTCATGGTACTGCAGCTGAACTTCCGGTTTTGATATCTCATGATCCAGACATGCTAGGGTGACGAAATTTGGATGGTAGATAGCTCTTGTGCTGGGAAAGAAGTGACGTGAGTTTGGGCCCCCTAGTTGCTTGCTCTAGAACTGCAGGGGGGTTTAAAGGACAAATGCTTAAAGGAGGATAACTCAAGAACCGATTGATGGATCATCATGATTTTTGGTATGTAGGTAGCTTGAGTAATGCTTGACATAATGATATTACAATTATGCAAATATGGATGTAATTTGCATAATTAATGAGGAAATTCTATTAATCAACTGCATTCCATGATAGGAAGTTCAAGCTTGCGACATATGTTATTAACAACGAGAGAAACACAGGCAGATATCGACTATTCAAATGAAGACTTAATTTGCATAATTAATGAGAAAATGTTATAATTGCATAGTGGTAACTGCCTGGAATTTTATACTTGGGGTGTTTGAAGTTTAGTGAAGGTAAACATAATTTAACATAACTTATTCAAATAAGGACCTCATTTGCATAATATATGAGGAAATGCTATAATGGCATTCTTTGTTAAAATAAGACTGTTGGTGGAGATCATGATCAACAGATATAATTCATGCAATTGCGGATCCTATTTGCATAATCAGGGGGATTAATACATTAAGTTCTCATTCATAAAAGCTAACATCATTTGGCGAAGGTATGAGATCGTGGAACTCTAGTTCTATTACATGTGGTATGTTATATTTACTCAGCATCCGTATATATGTAACATCATACTTGTACGTATGCATTTAGCCCCGTGGGCATGAACATCCAATAAAGATTCAAAGCATTTTTGCATTAATTATTGTTAATGACAATGACTGTAGCAACACGGTCTTTACTATCGCTGTCACAGTATCGGGAAATCCCGGGTAGTGGGAAACGTCTCATCCCACTTGCCCAACTCATTGACTGCCTCATTGGGGAAGCCTGTGACAAGTGCGACATGGATGATCTGGAGGCTGCCCTACCAGTTTTTGAAGATGCCCTGGCGATTATCAACCACTATTCCAATAAACCACGTTCTGCCGAGAGCATCTACTGGCTCAGGGCAAAATGCTGTTATGACATGGTAAGTAAAATGCGCAGCGGTTCCGCAATTCATCAATCTGTGACTGTTTTCTGAAGAAAAATGCACTGTTTTTACTTTTAAGTTTTGTACCACTGACCATCTTTTACCTCCGCATGGCAATATATATCGTGTTATAATAATTGCTATCATAATCTATAGCAGAATAGAACTAAATCGCGCTCCTAACAGCCCAACCTAGAGGTGACTAATTAACCGGTAGCGTAATTTTGTACTTAAGGCTAGATAGGTTTGCATGAACAAAAAACGCATAAGACTCGTGGTAGCGGTAAGTCTTCAGTCACAAAACTTAATGGGCGTAACTATACTTATCGACCCCTTTCTACAGGGAATTTTCGAGAAAGTCATACAAGATTGCACACAAGGTAAGGAATACAGCATTGAAAGGAAAAGATGTGTTTCTTTTTATTTTTCTTTGTTTATACATGTTTTAGACACATATTGTGGGTTTCAAACGATTTACAGTTAATGTCCAGAGCGTGCTGGGGAAAACGAAGACCAATATGGTCTATACAGGGTCGTCCCTTAATACATATATCTTAGTATTATAAAGCTATTTCTAGTTGATAAGAATAATTACAAATAAGAGACCTTAAGAAAACAAATATATAAGTAACCACCAAATATATTTGATAACTGGATTAAGGAGCAAATGATAAAAAGTGAATAAAAGCCTATCGTAATTTTGTGTATTTTGAGGTCTATTACGACCTACTCAAATCTGAGTACACATGTCGATAGGGGGTCTTTGTACCTATCTTACTTTTATACGATGCCTTAGATTATTTTAGACCTGCGCGTGCATGTAACGAATGAGTTACGTTCAATTACGTTTAGTAATAAATTTCGACAAGCACGGGACCTGTCGCTTCACCCCTGAGTGCTACGAATTGAAGTGTGACGCTTACCTTGAGTTAGGACAAACTGACCAGGCTCTCGCCACTGCATACGAATATTTCATCCACTATCCATGGGTAAGAACTTCATTTTTTAAAAAGTAAGAATATCTGGTAGACCTCTTCCTTTTAACAGTATTGTTGATAGCCTTGTTAGGTTGTAAGTGCTCCAAGTTTGCTATCGTAAGTGTAGGTAATGTTAATAAGTTGATAGTTGCCTCCATGAAAAATGGAGGTTTTGTTTTTGGCGTGTCTGTCTGTATGTCTGTGTGTGTGTGTGTGTGTGTGTGTGTGTGTGTGTGTGTGTGTGTGTGTCTGTCTGTGTGTGTTTCCAAAACTTTGTGGTCAGCATAACTTCAGGACGCCTTTCTGGATTGTGATGATATTTGGTATGTTGGTAACTCTTGGAAAGACAAAGGTCAAGGTCAAATATGGGCCTCCTGGTGGATGACCTTGGTACTGCAGCAGAACTTCCGGTTTTTGTATCTTTTGTTCTGAACAAGCTATGGTCTTGACTTTTGGTGACAGATAGCTTATCTTGTCAGGAATAAGTGGTGTAAGTTTGGTCCCCCTAGCAGCATGTTCTGGAACTGCAGGTTAGTTTCTGGTAAAAACTTTCAAAGCCAATAAGTCCAGATTGGAACAACGTATTTTCATCATTTTTGGTGTGTAGGTACCTGAGAGAGAGTTGTACATAATCAAATTCAAATTATGCAAATAAGGACTTAATTTGCATAATTAATGAGAAAATTCTATAATTACAGTACTGCTATACATGTAATCTATTTAATCTGTGGCAGGCGCAACATCGACAGATATCTATTATGCAAATGATGACCTAATTTGCATAATTAATGTGAAAATTTTGTGACTCCTTATTGGTGAATGATGGGAATTTTATACCTCGTGACATGTGTAAGTTACTTAAAGGTTAGCACCACTATGCATATATTATGTTAATGTAGAGGTTATTTGCATAATTAATGAGGACATGTTGAAATGAAGTATGACAAAGCAAGCCCATATTTCATGGAGGTATGAGATCTCAGAACTCTTGTTTTGTAATGTAATGTGTTTGTATTTATCATAACTAAATGAAGGTTAATGAAGTATATGTATGTACTCACCAATGGAAATTATCAAATATACAATAAATGGACAATAAACATTAGGAACCTTCTCCCTTAGATTCCAGACGCTCTTACCCTCATCGGGCAGCTAAGACGTGATGAAGAGGAACGCAGGAAAAAGGTTTTTTAAATTTAACCATAAGTAATGATAATTCTTGTATTTGGTGGTTGCAAGACAGTATTGGCAAGGCAATATCATTGGCATTACAGTATCCATCACGCCACCTGGAGTTGGGGGGCAAAAAAAAAAGATACCGTAAAAATGTATATTAAAGATTAAGACCGATAAAAATGCCCCGAAGCGTAAACTTTTATTTGGAGACTAATGTAGATCCCACAAACAACATATTTAATAAGTACAAACAGGAAATGTTAATAAGGCTAAATCTCATGAAAATATGTGGGTGAATGACAATGGAGAGGTGAAACGAGACAATTATGATTATGTAAAACAAATTACAAAAGCTATTTTGTACGGAAAACAATTTTGTAGAAATAATAGCTTCTAATTCATTCAATAAACTAGGCGAAGGAACTAGCTGACAAATTCATTGAAGAAGAAGAGAAGGAGAAAACAAAGAAGAAAATTGTGTATGCCAAAGCTACAACCAGACCTAAGGTATTTCAACAACAACAGTACGGCTACTACTACTATTGCTGTTACCAGCTACCACAACAGCTGCTACTTCTACTTCTGCTGACAATAATGCAACATAAAAGTTTACTGTCACTATTAATTCGTTTGAGTATAATGTTACAGGTAGTATGATATCCATATTAAACATTATACAAAGAACAGTAACTGTTATAGACAGAATTCTGTAAAATATGATGATGATGATGATTTCTCTAAATACGTTTTTTGTTATTTGTTTAAAGATGAAAACATACCGTCCTTATGTATCAAATTTTTATTGTTCTGTTTGCAACCTTGTACCTATCATTTGCAAATTATTAAGATAACAATTGTTCTATGTCTGAAGGGAAAGAAGAAAAAGAAAACAAAACATGTTCGCATTGCTGCAACTGGACAAAGAGGTATTGCGTCTAGGTTCTTAATTAAACTAATCCGTAGGTATTGTTCTTTTTTTTTACTTTTTGTCACACTTTTTGTGAGGAACCGTACGGTAGTTTCACTTGATTTTCTTTCCAAGTCCCTTTCATTGAAATAAATGGGCGAGACCCAGAGTTAAGATGATTCCAAGATTAGCCTGCAATTGGTCATAACCACATCTTCTATAGTTCCAGACGTTACAAACGAGGCATGTGCAGCGCTAGCGGATTTGGACCTGTCTGAGGACTCAAGGTTTAAAGTTGCTATTTGTGTGTAGCATTATTAAAGCGATTCATGTCAAAAATGACTTGTATGCTGAAGATCTGCTACAATTTCACAAAAACTGTCACACTTCATGGTTATTCATATATTCCTACTTGTGTTAAGAGTACTAGTTGAAGTACTGCTTTAGACTTTTTCAAAACTTTTGTACTTATATCTATTCATCAATTGATCTGTCATGTAATGTGTATTTGTCAGGCTCCATTTAGCACACTGCAAGGTGTTGAATAAGAAATGTATCATTCTCTATCACCAGCAACTCCTGTAGCAATGGCAGTGGGCACCAAGGACAGAAGGTACATACAAATGATTCTATTCAGTGTTCGATACTGACATAAGACATACTAGGAGACCTGTCTTACCAATTATCAATGGAAATGTGTTGACAACATATTAAATTCCACATTCATTTCAGGAAGAGGGAGATGTGGATGAAGTAGCATGGACAACGGTTAGGAAACACCGACCAATTTCTACTCAGAACAGATTTGAATTTTCTAATCCTGAGGCAAGGAGAACACAAAAAGGTGAGAAGAATACATTAATGTCACTATACATTTTAACACACCCGTCTATATCAACATTCTTCTCATAAACCGGATTGTATACAGCACAGCAGAGCAACAGATTGGCTAGTACACATGATAACATTCTAAGGCAGTTGGTTTATCAGATGTGAACAATTGAATCATAATCTCTTCATCTAACGCCACGCCATCTTTTCTATCTTCATTCTTTTTATCGAGAATTGTCACACATTGTGAAAGTATTGACATACATGTAACATTGTGGAAGGTGACTGGCACCTTTTCAAGATTCTTAGTCATCAACCCTAACTACAAGACCACTATGCCACCTGGCCTCCATTGTCTTTATTAAGCCGAATACATATACTTATCCAACTTTCATTCTTTTTATTTTTACTTACACAGCGGTGAAAGATAAGAAGGTCGTTGCCTCTCGGTCAAAAGCCTATGTTCCAGTAGCAGCACACAGACATGCTGCAGAGTATCCGCCTATGATGATAAGAAAACCTTCACACCAACAAAGAAGTGGCAAGCCAGTGCTGTCCTACAGAACACCTGCAAAAGCTACAACCCGAGCGGAAAGGCACATCAAGCCTGGTAGAAACGGTGTGGTATAAATATCATACTCTTGACTGCATACTAGCTGTATCATATAAGAAATGGTGAGGCAACATAAAGTCATGATAAGATAGACAACATTTACGCTTATAGCAAACGCTTGGGTGTTTATTGAATCATATTGATTTCCTCAAAGACCTCAATATGTTACTGAATTATGTTTTTTTTATAGTTGACGAGTCAGCTGACGTGCAACGTACGAACACCACACTACAAGACTTCATGAAAAAGAAAACACCTACACGTGAGTAAATATTTAAAATCATTTCACTAACTTTGCTCCGGTAAGGAAAGAAATCAATAATCAAAAGACGAAAAATTTTAAAAAAGATAGTGCATTCAACGTTTAGCTTTGTACATTCTCTGGAATGGTATAACAGGTCACAATCTCTATCTTTTCCTTCTAATGCAAACAACTGAATCTTTAATTTTGTATCAGCAATCACGATGCTGATGAGGTTGTACACATTATCTCTCTGCTCTACAAATGTGTCACAATATCATATTCTAGGTAAAGAAGCTAAAGGAGCGGACACACCACCTATAAAGAAGAGGACATTTTCAAGATACCATGAAGACATTATGACAGGGAATACGAATGTGCGAGAGGCATACTGTGACTACTGCCAGTTACAGTGCAACTCCCAGCAGCAGCTCCGAATTCATTACCAGGCGAGTTTCACATTACATGTGCAGTCAAGAAAATTGTATCTGTATTGTTCAACTAATAAAACCTCACTGTGAGATATAGAAAGCTATAAATACTCGTATCTAAATACATGTGACGCTTCGTCTTATTTTTTCTCATAACCGTATTGTAATTCAGTTGTTATGACATGTTCAAATTTGCATTTTATCTTATTTCAATTAGGGAAAAAAGCACAGGGCTAAGCTCCTTTCAGATGACTCAGACCAGATGTGGCAGCAAAGACGACCACCCCCTGGCGTACCAGCAGGGCAATACAAGATGTGCCCCAATCGATTCGGGTAAATTCAATTTTACTCCCAATTGTAGAAAAAAAAACAGGAACAGGTTTGTCCAAAGGCATATAATAATAGCAAACTATAAGGTTCAAAAATATTTCACAGCACACTTCTACATGGATCTGTCACTATTCGTTGAATGTTGAGTCCTGATGTACTGTCAATTTAATCGATTGCATGCAATCCTGGTATCTGTTGGCATATTCCCCTCTCGTACTATTCAGCGGATTGATCTAAATAGTGGCTCTTCCGTAAACACTTAAGGAGACAATATTCTTGAAAGACTAACTGCAACACATGCATGCTTGTTACAATTAATCAATTGATTAAGTGAATCCTTCTAGTCCTTCATTTAACTGTTATAACATCTCTATTGACTTTGGCATAGACGGTAGTATTGCAATGGTACTATTTATCATTTCAGAAATGGATACATAGCAGGCATTGGAAGACAAGGAACGTGACATTAGTGAAAAGTGTCTAATTTATTGAAGATCGTTGGTAACAGTAACTCCGATTTGACTTCATAGGCACTGCATTCATGGAACACGCAGCTGCACATACGCCCATACAGGGGAAGAGTTGAAGGAATGGCAGCAACGATATGAGATACGGAAACAGAAGCTAAAAGCAGCAGAGACATCAGGCAGATACGGTTATTCCTTTGTTGAGACGTTGGTTGAGGAGTACGCTAAGGCAAAAGACAAGACGAAAGTGGTGAGTTTGTATTTCTGTCTTTCAGACTGCGATGATTCTCACAGTATAACACGCACTATACATGTATAGTGATTTCACCAATACTATATCAGAACTGCCATTTATAAAATTATCTAAACTGAATTCTGTTGGATCTTGACTATCAATTGTTAGGTATAGCTATAGGTGGATATTGATATTGATATAGGTAGAAACTTGATGGATTGACTTAGTTGTAACATATCATGTGGTTTTATAATTGGTGTATCATTCTCCCTACTGCTAAGCTGTCATCAACCGTACAACATGCAAGCATGTCGGTGGAACAAGGACGTACCAATGAAATGTTTTCTGATCCGGAAAAAGAGTACAGATGGACGCTCAAACTTCAGGTATGCTCTCCGACTGAATTGCTGTTCGTTTTGTAATGTCTACAAGTTTGACATTTTCCATCTTCAATTAAAAAAAAAAAACTGGTCTAGGTTTAAACCAATGCGGGTATAAATTCAGCCATGTGATTTGCGTTTCTGTTCAAACGCCAAATTTTACAGGCACAGCTGCATGTGAAGAGGGTTACGTTCATTGAAGGTAGCTGCAACCAATTCAAAATCACGGAAGTAGCCAGCACTTCCGGCCAGCCTCTAGATGGTCTGCTATCTGAAGATGGACAAGAGTGGATATCTCACGGTGTTCAACAGTCCATTTCAACTGGCTTCATCGTACAGATCACTTTCAGGTCTAACCAGTACGGAAGTTTCAACCAGGCCATTGTCTTTGATTTTGGCCAACGACCATACCTGTTTTGCCCTTTCCATGTGGACGTTGCCATGGAGACTGACCTAGCTCACTTGAAAAAGTTAAGGGATAAGTTCACGCTGCTCGGGACATCGTGGGAAGATCAAGGGAAAGTGATCCACGGCATCGAAGGAAGCGCAGATGACAACGTGGATGAAGCTCTGAGGGCCATATATCAAGTACCACAAAACCCAGAGAATCTCGTGAACCTGAAAATCTCCAAGGAGGAAACGCTTGATAAGTTTAATTACAGGAAGCGTCAGCATGATCTGTTGTACATAGAGGAGGCGGAGCAATCGGAGCATATCAGAAGGTACGGACTCGTGAATTTAATGAGCTGTATGTTTATGTTATACGTGTATGACAGTTATTGTTGTTGTTGCTGTTGTTATTGCTGTTGTTGTTGTTGTTGTGGTTGTTGTGTCCTGCCTTAAGTACTGTCCGCAAATAGCGGAGGTTTTATATTAAGTTGCTAGCTAGATTACTGGCTTTCATTACATACATTACATCTTCTATGTGAAAGATGCTAGCTAATCTCCTGGTTTGTTTATACATTTCAGGTTGACCCTACAAACAACAGGAATGGTCACCAATGAGCTGAAGAAGACACTAATGGACTCGACCCTGGTGGAGTACGCATCTGGTGGAGAGTTGTTCATCCAGATCTACTTGAATGAAGCCTTGTCTGAAGACACGCCACAGGGGTACCTTTTAACGCGAAGCCTGTCCCCTAAAGCTCATGTTGTCATCCATACAGCATGTGTCGATCAGGTATGACCAGCATATTCATACATCATATGAAAGTGCCTGAGCTAGGTACAAAATGTGTGGTCCTTGTGTTCACAGTCTACGATATCTTTATCTTAAAGAGCAGGACTAATTTTGCTGCATTTTGTGGTCGTTCTTAATAGGGTGCCTACGAAGTCTGGGTTGAGTCGAAGACCAAGACCAGCATATGGCTCAGGATTCCATCTTCTGTCTGCCAGCACTTCGGTCTTACACAAGACACAGAAGTGAATATGGAGGTCCAATTCAAGCTGGATCGCAGTCCAATGGTAAGAGTCTTTAATTCATGTATTTGTGAGGTCGTGGTTGTTTTGTTGATGTCGAAATGTTGGTTCGTTGTAAGGCATTTACATTATGTATCTTCTTTTTCAGTTATTTTGGCACTGCGCAGTGGACGCCATAAAAGACCTAACGCTGGTGTTTCCAGACGACCCAAAGGTCTCCAAAAAATTTTGGAAAAACCTCCGTAAACAGAGCCTTAGCGCCACACGTACCCTGAACGACAAGCAAAGGGAGGCATTTTCTAAGATAACAGGTTTGTCCAAGTAATAGTACATGTACTCGTATCTGACACTACACATTGACCGGTCCACATTGACTATTGATGTAGTTGATCCATTGCGATTCTGGTATCTATGAGCAAAGTACGTAAGCTAATCAAATGTTTTTGTTTTACAGCCCCAGCCACACCAGACATAATCATCCCTCCGGTACTCCTGATCGGACCGTTCGGCACAGGGAAAACCCACACCATAGCAGCGGCTGCCTCTGTTGCCGCTCAACAGCCTGGCTGTCGCATCCTCATCTGTACTCACTCTAACAGCGCAGCCGATCTGTACATCAGACACTTCCTTAACAAGGACAACTTGCCTGGTAGGTAAACACATCTGTGTCGCACGAAGTCTCCGTGATGGAGATTTAAGACATCCGAGATTGCATCCGTCATTTCTTTTGAAAATGTTTTGAATGATCAGAAAGAAATATCCGATCAAATTTCATCATACAATGGATTATTATTCATACGATTGTATGAAGTGGCCTCTTCCCACAATGGCAACATCACTCAAATTTTTGACGTCGCACATCCATGATCCCTCAATTGAAACCTCAAATGACTCAACACAAACACAGAAACTTGCAATTAACGCATCCGAAAACAATACTCCCGTCCCAGCAATAATAACAGGCCTGCTGTAACGTTTTGCATAACTTATAAAGTATGATAATGAGTACGACACTACGTGTCAGCATAATCCAGATTTATTTTAATAGCTCACAATTGGATTTGTATTGTTTTTTTTTTATTTGCAGGAGATAGTTCCTCCCTTCTACGCATCTACTACAAGAAGAGGAAGAAGGCCACTGTTCCACCTGACGTTCTAAGACACTGCAAAATAAACGAAGACGAGACGTTTCGTTATCCTACCAAAGATGAGGTTGCAGCAGCCAAGATTGTCAGTGAGTAAATCGTTTATCTCTGTTCAAGAGCAGGTAACAAGCGCTAGACTGGGGGCAGGGGCTAGAGTGTAAGGCATCCATATATTGCAAATCGAGTGTCACCTAGACCAAGCAAGCACTGGACGTTTCCTTGAGTAACTCTTTCCCATGCTAAGCATACAATACCAGGCTTTATGCGTCAACGGCAATTTCATTTCTACTAGTTACCACACTGAGCTTGTCGCTGGTCCTGGAGAGAGAGGTGGGTCTGAAGCCCGGGTTCTTCACGCACATCATGGTGGACGAAGCTGCGCAGGCGCTGGAATGCGAGGCTATCATGCCACTCAGTTTAGCTACAGCTGAGACCCGCGTGGTGTTAGCGGGTGATCATATGCAGGTCAGCATTATGTTATGTGACGTTGTTAATGATTGACGATGAAGAATAGACTTTAGCAACTCTACTCGTCAGCTAAGATCTGGGCCCTTATTAATTGAGACCTAAAAACAGCAACCATGTTAGATAAAAATTTTATGTGGGTGCATTAGGAAAAGAACTGTCCCTCGGAATAATTTCTGCTACAATATAATCTTTCTTCAAGGAAATACACCTTCTTCCTTCGGGGAAATATTCCTGCTGTTTTCTTGGTATTCATTCTGAGACGACGATGACTGTCATGCACGCCCTCATTCAGGGTGTTTTGACCTCATGTGGTTGTGTGTTTATATTGCACGTAAATTTTCCTGTATGAGATATGAAATGATTGTATTCATGTGGCAAACTAACTAATGGCCGTCTTACAGTTGAACCCAAAGGTTTTCTCCAGCTTTGCCAGAGGAAAAGGATTTCACCAGTCTTTGTTAGAACGTTTGTTCTACCACTACCAACTGAAGGTGCCTGATGATGACCTGCATCCCTGTATTACCTTACTGCACGAGAACTATAGGTGTCACAACGACATCCTCGAATTCCCATCCAAGGTGACGATGTTCATCTGAATCCATACGATGTTCATCTGAATGTTAATCCATATCGATACATGTGCTAGTATTATATTTAGAAAGTTAATTTGTAAAAAAAAAGAAAACCACTAATGGAATCTGTTTGTGCAATGGGTATCTGTCATAATTATTGAAATATGTAAAAAAATTCCTTTTGACATTAGCCAACGAGGTTCTGATCATACTTTCCTTTTACTATATAGGTTTTCTACGGTGGGAAACTGATCTGCCGCAGTGAGGCAAAGAAGCATCGAGACATCTTTCCGCTGACGTTTTACGCAGTACCTGGCCAAGATTCTGCGGAAAGTACCAGCACTTCTTTCTACAATGACGCGGAGGTATTTAAACATTTGGACACTTACTATGGGCGCAATGGCAGGCAATTGAATGCCACATAACCTTTTCCATTTCCATTTCAGGAACACTTACTGCATGATAGCAGATCTTGATCGTTTGTCGATTTCTGATATGTTTGCTATATTACTCAATGTAGTTGTTTTCCGAGAGTGGCCTGCCAAAGAAGATGATGAGTAGTTTTCACATAATATTAATGCGATCAGTCCATTCGGTCACTCAATCATGAATTGTATTACCATTCAATTGTATTTTCTCTTTGTTAAAATATTTGCCAACAAAGCCATATTATGGCTCCTGTAGTATTGACAATGATCTAATTGAAACTAAATGAATAAGCCGGTCATAAATCCACGTTCTGTCATACTGCAGGTGTCTGAAGTTGCTCGCCGAGTTAAAGACCTCTGGAACTCCTGGCCAGAGGAAGAATGGGGAGAAAAGAACGCACGAACAATGGCACAGATAGGCGTTGTTACACCCTATCAAGATCAGGTACGTACATGTATATATACTGCAAGAAATAAAATAATCTGTTATGATTATGAATATATCAGAATGACAATACCTCCTATCTTCTGTCCGTGTCTTACAAAAGAAGACTTATGTTAATTTCTCTTCGTGCATTGCAGGTTACCAGAATCAGACTTGCCTTGCGGAGAAAGGGCTTAGCAGGTGTCACAGTGGAGACAGTCACCAACGTTCAAGGTGTGGAACACAATAGGGTTACATTTGACACGGGTGTGTGTGTGTGTTTGTGTGTGTGTGTGCGTGCGTGCGCGCGTGTGTATGCGTGTGTATGTGGATAAGTGTGCAGTACATGATGAGGGAATAGCTTTAAAACATTACCAAATATAAATACGTAGCGGCATTACCATGTGTAAAACAAATTATGCATTGTCCCATTGAAGCAAACGCTTTTCTTAACTCAAATGCATACAACATGCACTGTGCACTATATCAAGATGACAGTTCTCAACATTCATGAGAAATACAATGTGAAAAAGAAGAATGTTGATCACAGTGTAGATTTAACTTTGATGATCGATGAAATGTTCATGAAGTCGTAGCTTTTTTTTTCTATATAAGAACTACTTGAATTCCAGGCAAAGAGTACCGAGCCCTTTTCCTGAGCACAGTGAGAACCCCAGTGACCTGCTGCGGTGAGCAACGAAACTCATCCCAGGATGCCCACAAAGACGAAACCCCCGATTTCGGTTTTCTCTCTGATCCCAAACTTCTCAACACCGCAATCACACGCGCAAAGTCTTTTGTCGGTGTTGTTGGTGACCCCTTATCACTCTGTTCGGTTGGTAGCTGCAGCAAGATATGGCTTGAATACATCGAAGATTGCAGCAAGTACAGGAGCCTCTTTGGAGCAACTGTTGAAGAAATCAAACAATGGTTAGATATGCTAGAAATGCAGGCACCATCTCTATCGGTGTCTAGTGTCTTGCGTCCAGAGGCTCCGACTTTTCAACCACGAGGCGTTCAGCAACCGAATCCAGAGGTACAGAAGCCACAAAAGAAACCAAAACAAGGAAGCGGGGATCAGGTGAAGCTGTCGCCATCAGCTGGAGAGGGAAAATCTACACTGCGTTCCCCGTTTAAAGAACAGAAGCCAACATTATCAATAAGCAAGTCCACGGAAAGTTTTCCAAAGTCCTTGCTGATGCCTCATCCAGTGGCTAGTCAGATTTCTTCGCAACGCCAGCCTGAAGACGCTTCAAGACAAGGAGTGGGGAGCTTGGTGAGGGAGACAAGTGAAAAACCGAAAACAGATCTCATCTCCTCTGCAATCCAGAGACAAATCAGCCAGGCAGAATCCACCGTCAAAGAGGGTTTGGGTAGCTCTTCCGACAGTGATGATGCAATAGACATCCAAACACAAGGAGGGCAGGCTCATGATGTCATCAAGCGAAACACAGCCCCATACCTTGCAGATGATACAACACAGCACGATAGCGGGAAAGGGAAATGTGTTGGAAAACATGCCGAAGTTGACCTTTTCCAGACACCCTCTCAGGCGTCAAACATGGACCGGAGGCCTTGCCCCAGACTAGGCTCCCCTGATTTCTCCAGAACAACTCCCACACCGACATTGCATCATGCAAAGACCGAACAGTTGAAGCAAGCAGAAGCTACAAGGCGATCCACGAAGAACATCTTTACTGATAAAAAGGACAAGATTGTGAAAGAGTTACAGAAACAGGTCAAGAGGTCTGAAGATCCAAACTACGCGGAGGACAAAGAGTACGAAGAGGATTACCCCAAGCCACGTGAAGCAATAGGCGTTGATGAACCGAAGAGGCCTTACATGTCAGACAGTAAAGGTAGTCAGGACGACCAAACCACTGGACAGAAAGGCAGAATGAAAACCACGACAGTGTACAGAACTGGTTCAAGCCTTGCTTCTACTTCAGAACGTACAGCGCTGTCAATAGAGGGGTACAGAACAAGGTGCACCTACGCGGACATTGATGAAGAAGCTGAAAGGCTAAAAGGAGGGAAGCTCTACTACCAAAAGCATTTTGACGAGACCACGCTTTACGGTCTTCTGTTAAAGCACCCAGACAAATATGTAAAATGCAGGGTCCGGATGTCAAAAGCATTGTCCGGCCAAGGGCATGGCGTGGTGGAAGATCCTGCAATAGAAGACATTCAGCTATGCAGTCTTCAAAGACTCAACCGTGCATTTGATGGAGATGAGGTTGTAGTGGAATTGGACACAGCGGAACACAACGAAGGGGTCAATGAAGATACTGAACAAACAAGGAGAGACGGGAGCGTCATTGGAATACTGCGTCATGCCGTTCCACATGAGGATCTACAGTTTGTTTGCTATGTCGATGATAATGATCCCAACGTCCTCATCCCTGTACAGAAAAGCGCTCCTAAATTTCGAAACTTGGTCCCAAAGAACATGGAAGATCCTAATGATTCTATACAACTCTATAGTATTAAGGAGGACGGAACACTGAAGCCCAGACGTGTTCCATATCGCCTTCTGGCCAATCGAAAAAGCCTCCTTGTCACGCGTTTTCTGAAATGGGAGCCGCACTTCAAGTATCCGCTTGGAGCTGCGACTAGAATGATCGAACCAGGTGACAACGAGGTTCACGGGGTGAATGCTCTGATGGCCGACCACATGATACAAGATGCCTTCCCCCAGCAGGTACTTGAGCATGTTGAACAGATGGTTCCAAATGACCTTGCTGCAAACGACAGCTATCCTGTCCGCAAAGACCTGACAAATCGTGTAGCAGTAACTATTGACCCTCTGGGAGCACGTGACCTTGATGACGCACTTAGTGTGCGGCAACTCGAGAATGGGGAGTATGAGGTCTGCATTCACATTGCAGATGTGTCAAATTTTATAAAGAAGGGCGATCCTGTTGACAGCGAAGCTCTGGCAAGAGGCACATCATACTACCCGCACACCGCTGAGAAAGAGATGGTGCCCATGCTGCCGCCACAGCTATGTACCGACCTGCTGAGTTTGCTACCGGAGGGAGAGAAATACGCCATCACTGTTTGTGTGCAAATTGACGACAGAAGTGGAAACATAAGCAAGCCACACTTTTGCAAGAGCAAGATCCGCTCTAGGGCAAAACTGACGTATCAACAAGCTCAGAGTATTCTCAATGGAGGTACAGGCGATGGTATTGACCGAGATGTTGAACTCAGTATCCAACGACTTGGGCGGTTATCGAAGATGCTGCGCACCGAAAGGCTTCGTGAACTCGCGTTCCTGCACAGTGACGTAGATGAGGACGTGGCTTGCTCTGATGCACATTATCTGGTGGAGGAGTTCATGATAATGGCCAACAGGTTTGTAGCAGAGCACGTCATGGGGCATTTCCCTCATTGTACCTTGCTACGCCGACAGCTTCCACCCAAGGATCACAGGATGATAGATTGGGCAGAAACCCACAGGGAAGCAGTGGGCAGGTCCCTTCTGTTGTCAGGAGAAAGAGACAAGTACAACGGGCTAAACTCCATCACTAACATTGAACAACAGCAGTTCCAAGACATGAGGGTCATCATCATCCGAGAGATCATCTGGACTAAAATCCGCCAAGCCGCGGAAGATGGCGACATCCAGAAGCTGCAGCTACTGGTCCTTTTTGACGACAATCATCCACAGCTAGCCTATGCCAAAGGCCAGTACCGCCGTATTCAGGACCGTGCCATGTATGTCAGCTCTGGACAATACTGGGATAATCCAGACATGTACAGACACTTCTCACTCAACCTGCAGGCCTACACACACTTTACATCGCCCATCCGGAGGTATGCTGACATCGTGGTACACAGGCTTCTGGTTGCCGCCATGACGGGGAGCACGTGTCCATATGAGCAGGACGAAATGGAAGATCTGTGCTTCCACCTCACTCAGAAAGCCTGGAATTCAAAGGCGTTTGACAAGAGAGTATCATTGATTGCGATGGCCTTCAAGATTCAGAGAAAGCCAATTGTACAACAGCCGTTTGTTGAATCCATTGACGGGAAGAGAATCCATCTCAACTTCCCAGACTGTCCTGAAATTCCAGCTTCCAACAGAATCATCAGAATGGCACACCTGAAACCTGATCAGCAGCCAACCTGGATTGATGAAGGAACAGTCACGTTTGTCTGGAGACCACGAATATACGAATTTTCTAAGTTCAATCAAGAGGACCAGAGTTCCAACCGGAGCTCCTTACTCGATGACAGTGCTGTGCAGACTTGCACATACACAAAGAGGATATCATCCTCTACATGGAATGCAATGGTTCAGGCGATCAGAGAGGAAGACGGAGAAACCTTGAAGCGGGTTGTGGACAATGCGAATCAAAATGAAGTCCAGAATGACAGGGAACAGCGGCGTCTGTTGGAGATGAGCAGAGAAGATACCAGGCGCACAGCTACAGGGCGTCTCCAGGGACAGAGGACCCAAGATGTAGCAGAGGACCACGAAGATAAACTCCTCGTTGAAGACAAAGGCAACACAACTGCAGCCTCAGACCAAACCGGCGGCGAGGAGAGCACAGTCGGTGATTTACGAAGATACCACAGAACAATTGAGGTGACGTACTCACCGTATGACGTCATACAGGTAGGTTTTGTTAAACATTTCTGTTTGAAAAATATTCTACTACTCTGTACCTTGATCTCTATCTAATAACCTCTTTTGTGAATTGTTACCGATTCATTCATCTCCTTTATTCTCTTTGTACTTCTCTGTGTGTACTACAGCAAAGCACAAGAACATCTTTGTCTACACGCGGCAAGTAAATCTAAACTAATCCAGTGTTTGATCAGTTTTTGCTTGATTGTGAGTGCTATGTTCCTCTTCTCTTCAGAGCGAAAGCATGACATGCCTTTTGGTAAATGTCCATTACTTGTCATTTATTCGTTGTCATATGTACGTATACTCATGATGTTTTTTGAAATATATTTTGTACAGGTGCAGCTGGCAACAGACATGTACCGTGGACTTCTGACACCAACCATTCAACTGTTGAAGTTGACACCAGCTGTAGACATATGCCTGGAGCATCGCCGCGACCCGGTTAGAGCGTTCGCCACTCATACTGGAGAAATGGCCTCGCGAGGTGGGCTGGCTACTTTTGTTATTTTTTTTATACAAATTCTTCACATGGCAAGTGGAAGGGAGGGAAGAACAGATGACTACACCTTTACTGGCGCCCTCCAGATACATGTACATAAATTTAAAAAAAAATTAATTCAACATCGAATAACATTATACATTGCACATACTAGTAGATCCTGAACCCTGTTTGTTAATGACTGGAAAAAACGCCGTTTGAACAACATAATGCCAGACTGCGCAAAGCTACTGCCCCCAAGTCCCGAATCGGCATGTCTGGTTCAGCTACTAGGCGAGGAACATAAGACATTGCAAATGTTTATGTTTTGCAACGAATCGGCATTTGACAAAGCTTTTTCCTCTGTCACAAAGATCATTTAATCATTCTCTGCATGATTGATTGATTGATTGATTGATTGAAACACAAAAGCTTGGACATGTTTGACACCCTCCAGCAATTCTTAAAGCGGAGATACTTGTGTTACAGAGAGGTATGACTCTTTGAAGCAGTATGAACGACTGTGGCGCCCAGTCGTGGAGATGGAGGCAGCATACAGTAGTGACAGTGGCAATGGAGGAGTCACTATCAGGGGAATCAAGGTAAATAAAATTTTGTATATTGGAAGTTTTCCGGCATTAAAACATGCTTAGAGATCATAAAATGCTATTGCCAGATTATCGGCTAGATTTTAGTATACCTCTTCAAAAAAATTTTAAAAAAGCATTCATATCTGTGATCCAATATGGTACAAACTAATCAGATATTGTTTGTAAAAAGCACCATCAAGGCATAAATCTAATAAAATCTGTGAATAAAATTAAAGCAATTCTACGGATACAGGACTGAGAAAAATGTAATATGATGTAATATGAAGTAAGATGATATTTTTTATCTTAAAGATTCATTGGAAAAAGAAGCGAGACCAGATTCGAGGCACGTTCGTGGTTCCCGGACAGTTTGCGCGAAGCTGCTGCTTCCTCATCAGGTCAGGTGACCAGCTATGCGTCAGATATGCAAATCTAGACAGCACCAGTGACGTCATGAGTAGGAGGGACAGCGAGGATTCGTCGACAGAGGAGAATGAAGACAGTTCCTCCGAGGACAGGTATTTAAAAAAATACCGTTGTTATAATCAGTGGCACATTTGCAGTTCTTGGTCATTGACAAAATCCGTTGGACATACTAGCCGAGAGGCCTGGTGGACTGGTGGGCGTCCCTCCACCGGAAAAGGTCGTTTAAAATGTATTTTCAAGGACATAACATTGGGCATGTCAGGGGACCAATCCCGGGACCTCTCGAATTCTAAGCCAACCGTACGATGCCACTTATGTTAACTTTTTTTTCTGAGGCCCATGCAGTACGCCATTGTTATATGGCACTAGTAATAGTCCCCGTCTTTTAGAACTGTCACATGCATTTATGATCGGTTTACGCTCAATACAGCTTTGAGTCAACATACTCGGACGTTACAGAGGAAGATACACTCACCGACAAAAGCGAGGAGGGACCGACATGGGTCGCACATTGCATCGTGCACGAAGTCACACCACGTCCTTTCCGTTTGAAGGAGCGGGTAGACAAGTACAGGATTACCATACGGCTTCATCACCACAGCGCTGACGTACCAAATTGCCTTCTGGAGCCGGCATTTGGCGCTAGACGTTCTTGCACTGTGGAGCTTATTCCTGTTCCACGTCCAATAAGGTATGACACGATCGCTTTTCATGGTTGTAGGGGGCCGGGCGGGGCAGTGTGTCTAAAATGCCTCTAAAGGCTCAGTATTCCACTGCCACTCCACTGCCTTTCATCTCCCCAACCTTTAGTTACTTACCCACTTCAGGGTTGGACAAGTCCCATTGCCCACTTGCCCAGGGCAAGTAAAAGTACTGTTCGGGCAAGTGAATATCCCCCTGTACTTGCCCGATTGGGCAAGTAAATTTTTTGGATGCAAAGTATAGCCCCTCCAGTATTTTGTCCAAGTTTCAAACAATTTTGATAAATAAAGTATCCAACATTATAAATTCTATAATAATATAATTTTCTTTCTGTTAGTACGGTTACTACGGTAAAATTCATATTTTGGGCAAGTAAAATGTTGGTTCGGGCAAGTGGAAATGACCAGGTACTTGCCCAATAGGGCAAGTGGAATTTTGAAAACTTGTCCAACCCTGCACTTTACACCTGGTTAAATGAGAAAAATCATGTTGATAATGATAATGCATGTTTCTCCGAAGGATACAGCTTCCAACCAACAATGCAAGGAATCAAACCTGTGATCTTTCAAATTCGTGTCCACCACTTGTCCATTCGACGCCGGCTGAAAACCTGCATTAGACATGAATTACCGAAAGCCATTTGATGTCACCCCTTATGATGATATCAAATAACACGTATATTGTTTGGTAACAGGCGAATGATGGGTGCAGTGGAATGCCTTTTGGATAAAAACCAAAAATGTGCCATTCTACAAGAAATCTGCCTCAACCAACATCCTGAACGTCTTCAGATAACAGGTAAGTTCCGACAAATATACATTAAATTGTTTTCAATATTGCACGTTGTCTACTAGATGATGCATACGTTTTGGAATTTGGTAAACCTTCCCGTGACTGTTTGGTCCTGTGCAGACCGTGAGTTAGAGTCAAGATCCAGAGACCATGACCTGGGCACCTTGCAACAAGGAATGCGGCTGAATGGCTACCAGAAGACAGCAGTGCAGAGAGCTCTGTGCTGTCCGTTCTACATCATACAAGGGCCTCCAGGTACCGATGTCTAAATTTTGTTCAGGAAAAATCTTCATTTCCAATCATATTCATTTTCAGCAGTTGCGTACAGTTTTATTATAATATACAATGTGTTTCAGGCACAGGAAAGACCATCACAGGCGCACACCTGGCTTATAAGTTTGCCAAAAGGAATCGAAACGCTCGAAGCGGACATGTTGTCATGTACTGTGGACCTTCCAACAAATCCGTTGACGTGGTTGGAGGTGTGTTTATATATTTTATAACTCTTAAGTCCAAGTTTAACCATTGACATGTTTCTATAATTCTAAACGTTAATTTCAAATTCCATTCTCTTATATTCCCCTTTTTCTGAGACAGTTTTAGTGAAAGAAACATAATGTTCACCAGGATTGTTATTGTTTTAAAGGTGTTTTAAAGGTAAAACTTTTGTTCCAATACAAAAGGTAAATCTCACAACACAGAGTGTTCGACCAGTCACCCTAGTCTTCCTCGCCCAGTGAGGGTCAAAGGAAATCAAGGTAAACGACGTCGGCCTCCGTCGCAGTTGAGAGTCACTGGGGAGAACCAGATTATTATTATCATTATCATTATTATTATTATTACTTACAGGGTTACTGATGGGATGCGGGTTAAAAATCCTGCGTGTCTACAGCAAGATGATTGAGGATACGGACTACCCAGTCCCAAACTACCCAACATGGTCATCTCACACCACCAAATCTAACGACAATCTCCGGAACATCATCCTGCATCACGCCATCCGACAGCTCGGAACTCCGTACGGACAACAACTCCGTGAGATGGAGGAAGGATTCCGGAGGAAACAACTGCAAAACGAGCCCATAACAGATGGGGAGGTTGAAACCTATCTAGACGTTATCGAAAAGGCGTCCGATGCAATTATCAAGGGTAATATAGCTCATTCCACCTTACACTTGGCTGTAAACGCGAGGTCGGGCTAGCAATGTAAGCCGCTTTGCACTACAAGCTACCGGAAAAAGCATGGACATGGCTGCTTTACCTTATAAGAATTGTTCTCAGCAAGAATTCAGTCACCTATCTTCAGTACAAATCAGAACCAGTCATTATTGCCTTGAATTGAAGAAGGTGCCAGACGATCACCGAAATGTCGTGTGTCAAAAAAAAAACACAGTGGTTGTTGAATAAAGGCCCTTCTTACACAGTATAGTTTTGAAACGTTACGTGAATAAAAAAATTGAAAATATTACATCACATAGTATTATTCTTGGTTGGTAATTCATTGTTTTTTATCTGGTAGGAGTGGACATCCTTTTGTGTACTTGCAACATGGCTGCCGACAAGAAGCTGGCTTCTGTCCCTGTTAAGCAGTGCATCATTGACGAGGCTGGGATGTGCATGGAACCGGAGTCACTCATTCCCATTACCAACTTTGCTCTGGAGCAGGTAAAAGATCCTTATTTTGTAACTGATATATCTTTTCCTCGGATCGTCGTCTGGTGGGTCTGAAAATCCAACCAAATCCAGTCATCATATTATCGATGTTGTCATCAGGAAGAAAATGCAAAACTGGAGAAGTAAAAAAGTATAATGTTTTTCATCTTCTGTAATCAATGTTTACAATTATAGAGACTGACTTTTTTGGGGAAAACGTTCTGTACGCCTGTATTCTGTTTAATTTTCAGTGCTGTGCAGTTTCGAGCAGTGACCACAGAACAAATAAATACCTTGGAAATTGTTGATTGCTAAATGGAATTGAGATGGTTAATAGTGCATCTCAAAAGACTCAGCTCAAACTCACTCTTGTCCTGTCAGGTTGTCCTGATCGGTGATCACAAGCAGCTGCAGCCCGTAGTCGGCCAGCCTGACGCCCGGGACCTCGGACTGGGTGTGTCTCTGTTCCAACGGCATGCCGAGAAAGCCTTCATGTTACAAATTCAGTACAGAATGGTAAGGACTTATAAGGATTCAGTACAGATATGGTAACCAGCATAACCAGGGGATGTAGTTATTATGAGTTTATTCACTGACTGACCGATTTGCTTAGTAGATTATTGGCAAAACACATTCTTCCCCAAATTAATGTGCTATCAACATACTCTGGCACACACAGACACACACACACACACACACACACACATACCTACGTCTCAACCACCCAAAACAATACTTCTGTTCCTGGAAATAACTGTAACAGCTGTAAACCATGTCAATGCTGTGAGGTCTTGACAATTTGAATGCTACTATGAAGCGACAATCAGTTGATGGAATGCATAATATATTATGTATGTTGTCTGATTCTCTTTTATTTTTTTTCTGTGAAAGCATGAGAAGGTATGTGAGTTTCCCTCACATAAGTTCTATGACAACAAGCTGGAGACAGCAGCCTCTGTTAAGGCACGTCGTGCTGACATGGTGCCTGCCAGCTTCTGGCCCTCTAAAGGTAAGACTGCTATATATGTTTACTTATCACAATAGTATTAAGAATATCAAAGTAGAAACGTAAAATTTACCATTACAAGCAAATGTATATTTACCTTCAAATGGTCTAACCTAACAAACTGATCTAATAATTCTTACTTAAACACATTTATATTCTAGTATATGGTGACCATCCCCTCCAGCTTTGTCCTGCTACATAATGAAATCCTACCCCACAGGGTGTCTGCCACAGCACCAGTAACCATGGTGACAGACATCTGGTTCAAGTCATTGACCAAACATGTATGGTGTAAAAAAACAGACCAAAAACAATGCTTCCTTCTGTGAATTAAGTATAACAACGAGCAGGATGCCTAACATTCATTAGGAAAGAGGTAAGAGAAAACCATGTGACATGCAGGTTACTATGTTGTGTTTTTATATAATATTATGGATACTTACTGTGCTCTGTAGGCAATCCAGTTGTTTTCTGCCATGTGGAGGGTGTGGAGGAGGCCCTGCCTGTAGCATCAGCAGAGGGAGGGGTTATGTCACAGAGCAACCAGCAGGAACTCAAGAAAGTGGTGAGATGGCGGCATAACATCAGAGATTTCAAAGTATCCAGAAGTAGATATAGTTTGTGTTAATGAATTACAACATAGAATGCATCGTTACTCATACAATTGTCCGTTGAAACTTACTCCACTATTACATGGTTAATGTTTCATACACTCCTAGAGTCCTAGTGACCACATCCTTGAATCCAGGGCATATTGGGTCCAAACCCTGTCAATCAAGTGAAACCTAATCTCCACCCACTCACTTTAGAACCCAAATATACAATTGAAATACTATCAATTTAAAGTGAATGTGACTTTCAATCCTTAAGAACTCAGAAACAGGCTTGTAGTTACTGCAGAGAGTGCAGCTACCCTGAACTTTATATAAAATATTTTTACCTTTTTGTGTCATTTTCTCTCAGGTTCAAGTTGTCAGTGACCTTGTACTTCGCCATCAAGTCAAGACTGCTGACATCGCAGTGCTGTCCCCGTACCGAGCCCAGGTGCACCAGATCACCGAGTGTCTGAGGGAGAGGAGACTAGACTCGGTTTCTGTTAGAACAGTTGTAGAAAGTCAAGGTACATTAATTATAACGGCCATTCCTGGCGACCACATCCTTGAACCCAGTTCAAACAAGGTCAAACCCGTCAATCCAGTGAAACCCAATCTCCACCCACTCCAGATCACAATGGAACCCAAACATACAAACCTAGCATACATTCGCACCACCCGAAACAATACTTCCGGAATATTAAAGTAATCACTCTACTTTAACATCAATGCAATTGTATCATAAATCCCATGATATGATTACCATTACATTAAGAATGGTGTAAATTGTAATTTCATGATTATAGCATTAAGAAATTTAACTTAAAAGATAATCTTTGCCCCACAGGAAGTGAGTGGGACTACATCATCCTATCGACAGTCCGCTCCCTTCCCCAAGCGGAGATCCCGGCCCAACCCTCGCGACGATGGATGAAGGACCAGCTGGGCTTTCTGACCGATGACCACCAGATCAACGTGGGACTGACCAGGGCCAGGAGGGGCTTCATTATCGTGGGTAAGCGGAGTGATAGCAATTAATACAGGGATTATTTAGGCATTATCCATGATTGTAGAAGTTTATACTATTTTAATTCAATGTGCATAGGCTAAAGTTCTGAAAGTTTTTAAATATTTAGTTAGATGAACAAGGCTATTGCTTGTCGAGTAGTTTGTGCAGCCAGACAACGAAATCAATTCTGATATAGCTTGGAATTATCCACCCAATGAGTTGGGCATTTAATATATCTGTCTAATGGTAGTACTGTCAATGGTACAAAATGTAGTACTGTGCATCAATATGGCTCGGTGGCATTTATACGTGTCTGTTATATTTGCTGTAGATTGTTTCGTTAAAGAACACGAAGTAAAATTAAATTTTATAATATCTGCCCCCTTGATGGGAACATCATTAAACTTGCAAAACATACAACTTTTATATTTGCATTATGTACTGTAGAAATGCTTGTGCAGCTGCAATGCCTAAATTAATACTTTACAACATATTCTATCTTTTACAGGTAACAAGAACCTTTTGTCAACGTACAACACTTGGAGTGACCTGGTGAACTTTTATGAAGAGAGGGGCTATGTGGTCAACTCTACACAGTTCCCCTGAGCATGCTATAGTGTTAATAGAGAAATGTGTACATATACCCTAGTGCTGCATACCTAAAGTGAAAGTAACAAAAACTAACATCAGGTACATTTCCAGACCTGTACCTCTGGATATCTACTGCATGCATTTGAAAGGATCTAAAATCAAAGATGGTGCTAAATTCAACACCCATATTTTTATCATGTGGCAGGAATACCACGTTTTAATAACAAAATAAGTAAAAAAAATGTTATACCGGGGACAGGTGGGGGTGTAATTCTATGTACTAAAGGATTTTCACATTATACTGTACACTGGGTATACCAGTATGCAGCACTAATAGTACACTTTGTAAATAAACAGATGGTTTTACATGCTTTTAAAAATTTTCAGATTTGTTCAGAGTACACAATATACCTGAATGATGAAAAACTAGAATATGATTGAAGAATGCTGTTCTATGCAAATTATGAAGCAAAATTGGATCATCAGCATTTGGTAATGTGGACAGTGTGGTATTTTTGCAGTGATGTTAACTTTGAAACTTACTTTGAAAGTTTTTGACAATGAGTAATGTCACAACTGTTAGCTATCCTACAAATATAGCATATTTCCAAAAATAATTTCATCATACATAAATCTATGTGCTTAATCTTGGTAAAATGTTGGATGTATAGTAATAGGCAAGTAATACATAATTTTCTTTTTTTTGTGCAGTGTGTGAATGTGAAAGTGTCAAACTCTTATAATAAACAGAATTATCAAACTTTTGTACATGTCTATTGATGTTATTTACAACAACATGTTAACATACTACAGTTACACTACAGTTACATGTAGATGCAATACATTACTTTGAATACTGAGTAGCCTTTGCTATGAGAATGACAAACTTTTCAACCCCAAAAAGTTAGTTCCCCCCAGCAAATATTTCACTATCTCCTGACAAATTATGATGAGAAAAAAATGGATCTAAAACTTGAGGGTTCAGGCACTGCAGTCAGTGTACTGTTGTTTTCCATATTCCAATGACATACACTGTAGTTCCAGGAAATTTACCCAGTATAAAATGTGTAATTAAAAAAAAGGCCAAAATATACACATACTGTTGCTTTAACAGTCTCATATGAAAACACTTTAATTTCCTTCTTAGAATTCAACTGTTGATAAAGCAAATGACATGTGTAACTTCAACATAAATACCAGCCTCGTTACTCCAACAACTGGATAGGTTTTGAAAATGGTCCTGTCCACTATGTTTTGTCAGTAACTGTAACAATTCAAATTTCAATTCATAATTTTTTTATGAATCTTTCAGTCACTGACAAAGATGACACAAGATGCTATTTGAAATGCCATTTTCAAAATCTTTTACTTGCTTAAAGGCACTCTATGTAGTTTTTTGCGCAAAAAATTGAAATATTCTAATTATACTAAATTTCGGTGTTATTAGCAGTTACTATCACTTTTCAACACATTTGTGTCATTATTTCACATTTTTTTTGTATATTTTGTCCGTTCAAACAGTCCTTCTTCAGTTCCCGGTGCCACCGGTTTGCTCAGGAGAACAACAACAACAACGTACAGGGGTTGCCCCCTGGGGTGACTAATTGGCCCGGGCATGCCAGGCTTGATAGACAGGGGCAGATGTCACAAGATATACCCTCCTTAGAAAAAACTCATATCTTTCACATGAGGTGGAATATAATTATCAACTTAGAGTATTTTGTTGGGCATGAATAAACTGTGGTCATTATCCCTTCAAAAGAGATAAAAAATCTGGTAAACGATTAGGTATTTCAGAAACTGGTAAGCTATCAACTGACACCCCACTGGGATGTAGGTCAAACCACTGGGAGTGGACAATACCATATGTGTGGTTTGGCCAGAGGTTGAATAGAAGATCATTCACAGTTTTCTAAGCTTCTAAGGAGCAAGGATGTTGTATTTTTTTGCTGTGGAGTATAATTTTGGAATACTAATGGGTTAAGCCAATGTACTATGTAAAGAAAAGAATAAAAAATATACTTTTTGTATTGTCAAAAAACTACATAGAGTGACTTTAACTGTAATTGAACATGTGGTATCTTATATTACGTTGATGTCTAAACTTCATTGATCTACAGCATAAATACATCATGTGCTCCTGTTACTTGACAAGAATCCCATCAACATTGTTTAATTTATCCATAGCCCAGATAACATGCAGCAGAGATGTGATGTGACATAACGTTCAGTGTTAATTTGGTTTCCATCTTTAAAGTTGTTCATCTTGGTCCGCTGGGTCCTGGGCCTTTAGACATGAGCATGGGTCCCAGAGGGTTGTACTGTTTGGCTGTGATTTTGCCGTAGCCTCCACGACCTGGGTCATAGTCTTTCCTGTACTCATCTCTCACCTGTGAAAGATACATGAAGGAGAATTTCTTAACACACTGCAGATAATAATACTATGATAATACTAGTATGATAGACTAAGTGTATTTTCATACAAAAACAAGAGTTTTAATATGTTCTAGAATCGTAATAATGTTATATTATGATGTTGAAATTGGCCAATGTTGTGGTATTACATTGCAACACAAAACAGAATACTTAAGTAAATGTACTAACTCAATTCAGACTTCTGCGATGTGGTAAAATTGGTTATAGAAAGCAAAAATATGACATCATCCTACGCAATACTGTGAAAGGATATTCACTTCTGACTAAGTATTGTTTTGGGTGGTTTGGTTCAGGGGTGAGCTTGTGTGTCTTTTAGTAGTACATGTAGTAAGATGTGTGATCAAGAGGATAAGCAAAAAGACATGTCAAATTACTCAAAAAGTCAGACACAGGAAATGTGATGAACTTGAGAGTAGGTTGACAGCATGTGGATGGGGAAGATTGTCCTACCTGTCCTCCACTCTTCCCCCTGCCGTACTGCCGTCCCTCCTTGAAGCCAGCGTCCCAGTCACAGCGGATGATCCTGTCGTCTAGTCGGGTACCCGTGGTGTACCGCATGCAGTTCTCTGCATCAGCTCTGGTGTAGTATCTTACACAGGGGTGGGGGTCAAGGAACCTTACAACAAACTGGGAGAGTTTTTAACAATCATGGCACACTGAGGTAATCATTTGGCACCATATCTACAAATTAGTACAATGGTTACTGAGTAAAGGTCCTGTCACACATTGTCAAATATGGCCTCCAAAGCCCTGGCCGAACTCCCCCAACCATGGCTAGTAATACTTAGTACTCTGTAGGCCGTCAGCAAGGTCAGCTGGTGTTCAGCCAGGTCAGCTACTGTTTGGCTTCAAAAGCAGGAGGTTTAGCCATTGTTGGCTGGTGTTCAGGCCCGAGGAGTACTTCAGGTGTCATTTGAAGTCAAATTTGATTAAATTTCAATTTGTATATAAAGTTATAATGGTATAAATTTAGACATGGCCAAAATCTGATCAGACTGCTTCTGAAGTTCAGCCAACCTTGGTTGGCTGAACTTGGTTGGTTGGTTTTCTGGAGACGGTTCTGTATTTGTGACAGGAACTTTAGGCAGAAGAGAGTCAGGGTTGAGTTTAGCCAGTATTTCATTGTAAGCATGAAAGGATACTCTACGAAGCAGAATCCACAGGGCGTTCTCTGCATCTTGTCCAGCCCCATGATGATGCGTTTGATGTCTCCACACTTGCCGAAGAGTTCATAGATCTGCTCCTCGGTGGTGTAGAAGGACAGGTTCCCCACGTACAGGGTGGTACTCTCCAGCAGGTGCCGCTCCTGGTCTGTACGGCTACCCTGGGGTATACCGTTAAACAGTACTTACAGTCAGATGTGCAAAGGTTGGGTGACACAGGTCGTTGGTGTCATAATACATGTATAGCCATAGTCTCTACCAGGCTTTGGAAAGCGGTTAAAATTGGCCAAATAGACAGATGATATAAGGGGAGTTGGTCTATGCCAAGAGAACAGTTTGCCGCTCCCATCTAATCTATTTGGCCAATTTCTAAACTTTCCAGCCACTGTACTTACTAGAGAATTGTTTCTATCTTCGAATTTGAAACAGTGAACCCCCTTTCCCTCCTACTGTGAAATATAAATTTTATGTGACAACTCCACCAGGTCTTTGTACAAAATTTCATGTGCCCCCCTCCCCCCGCACAATTCAAGATCTCCGTTTCAAAACTGGGGCTCTTGCCAGGTCAAAAACAGCTCCATTTGTGTAAATACCTTGTAATGCTGGTCCCTGTAGGCGCCAAGCTCTTTAGCTGGGTCTCGTATCGGCATTTTGGCCGAAAATGTGGGAAACAACAGCGACGAAACAAAAAGCACGCCAAACAACCTTCCAAGCTTTCGCCGAAATAAATAAGTCGGGAATTCGCGGGCAACATTCGATTAAATTAAAAAGTAGTCTGTTTCGACAAAGCTTCGAAAAATAAAGGATTTAAATATTTTTTTTTAATGACGTGCAAATTTTTGTTTAAAGTATTATGTCAATTTGATACCATTTTAGACTTTTTAAAATCTTTTTATTCAAACGAATCTGTGGAACCAAACTTGATGCTGACTGAGAGGCTTGTGACCTTTCAACTTTACTACCACATGGTCGAAAAATCTGGGAAATGGCGAGGCCACCAAACTTTCCCCTTCCTTTGGGGCAGTTTCCAGGCGGCATGATTCCCTCCCCGGGACCTTTTCCGCCCGGAATCATGTTCCCAACAGTACACGGGCCTGCCATGATCCCGGGGATGGGGAATTTTGTACCCAGACATGCGTTCAGACCGCCGTTCCTCCAGCCGGCTTCCTTCGGGCCAGGTGCGCTCCCACCCCGAGGGCCACCCCGACACGCCGGTCCCGTGGTACCGGGACAGGGCCGCGGGGGACCGGGACAGGGCCGTGGGGTGTCGCCGGGACCTCGGCCCAGAGGCCCATGGGCACAGGACCGTAGAAAGGGCAACTTTAGTCAAGATAACAGGCAGCAAAGAAAGGTTTTTAACTCTATTAATTAATTATTTTACTTTTTGTTTAGTATTATTATTATTTGCATGCCTAGACATTTATGGTTTGGATTACTAGACTGATCATGAAGACCATTTGTTGATAGCAGGCATTTGCTTCATTCAAATCAACACTATTCATCCACAGTGTCAATATTGAAAGAGATATTGAAATTCTACACGTGCAAAGGCCATTGGAGTGTATCATCAAGAAGGTTGAACCTCCTTGGTACCATCAAGGAGCTTTCATCACTCCTTGGTACCATGTAATGCCTTCCCTGTGTTTGAAACAGAAGGCCCAGCTCAGTAAGGATGACACCCCGTTCTACTGTGATCCATGTGACAGAGGCTTCAAGACTGAAGAACTGCTCAAGAAACACCGGGAGACTCATATACAGGTACCAACTACATGCACAACAGTTGTCTTACTTTGTACATTGTACGTTTTTTGTGCAACAAAGTTTATTATTTATTTCTAACATAACCTGTCTGTGTGTGCACCCAGTCCAATTTCTTGCTCTTTACAACAGCATATTTTCTGTCCATATTAGTGTTACCAGGAAGGCTGTCCCTATGTAGCAGCAGCAAAGCTGGTCAAGCTGCACCATAAGCTGGTAAGTTTCATGATTACTTATATTGTATGGAAGTATTGTTTTGGGTGGCTGTGCAGTGTACTATTTTTCTGGACATAGTACATTGATAGCATGTGGGTTGGGAAGATTGGCAGGCAGAATGACAGGTGGTCAAAGGTCAGTCTCAGGAAATGGGGTGAACTTCAAGGTCTCTGTTCCATTTTTGGTACGGGGGATGTGGTGAAGCCATTTGCTGCATTTGCTCCCGAGCAAATGTCGGCTTTTTTCTAGCATTTTTAATGTTTTTCTTGTAATGGCTGTACTACTGTGTTTGCTGTGTTGTTCTTGTTCTGAACTGTCCTATACTGATTGCTGTTACATGAACTAAGACATACTTTCCACTTTCCAGACTCATCTCTCCAGGTTTTCCCAGGTCCTCAGTAAACTGGACACTCCTGAAGATATCGTGAAGTGGCGAGAGGAAAGGAGAAAGTAAGATGCTGAGACCTCCAAATTCCAATAACTTATCTATTATTGATAAGATACATGTACGAATGTACCAATCTAAGTTAATCTTTCAAATTCTAGGTTATCCTACTAGTATGCCATACATACTTTCATTGCTATAATGCACCTGTATAACTTAAACAAAAAGTGTTTTTTTCATTGAAACTTTGAAACTTTATTAGAATAACCATTAGCGGTGGACCCTAGGGTCCACCGCTAATCTTCCTGGTATTCATACATACAGACAATACATATATACATACATAGTTGACAAGTCACAAAACACATCTAAATCAATAACATATTTACAATATACATAATTTAATGTAATAACTTAATTTAATAATTCATTGTTCATGTAATTACTGTAGACAATTTATTTCTTCTGCAGAAATTACCCTACTGTTGCCAATGTCGCAAAGAAGGAGGAAGAGATGAAGAAAAGAAGAGAAAGAGGAGAAGTACTAAACACTCGAGAATTTGGGTATGTGCTCTTAGTAGTAATGCACTTAATTTACTATTGAATTTTTCCTTCCAGTTAGTCACAATTTTTGATGTCTTGTAGAGAGGTCACAGCAGAAAAATGCAAAACTGAAACCACAGTGAAAGTTTTTGCATTAAATTTTACCGTACATGTAGGTACTATTTAAAAAGATCAATCTCTCTTATTTTTGCAGGAAGATGCGAGGGAGAGGGAGGGGGAGAGGAAGAGGCAGGGGGAGGGGGTTTGGACGAGGGGGGAGGGGAGGCTATCATCATCATCATCACCAGCAGAACTTCAACCAATCACCAGGCAGGAAGAGGGGACCGTCAGAGGTGGAGGATGATGGGAGTCCTCAGAAGGTGGCAAAGCATGATGGGTCTGATGTCACAAAGTCACATGACCCTACAGCTGACCCCATGGCATATCTGATGGATGAAGGGAGCTCTTCTGGTGAGATAGTTGTGACTGTAAATCAATCAAATTTTGCAGTGGTTTTATTTTCATTGTTTTAGCAGTGACAATCAAATTTGGCAGTGGTTTTATCTTCACTGTTTAACAGTGACACCGCAAATTCATGAGACTGTGAATATATGTCTTCCTCATATGACAACTGTACTTCAAAATTGTTTCATCTTCTAAATAAAACACCTTGAAACCTTCTCTTTTCTGTCATTCAGTCATGCTGTATGTTTCAACTTGTACAGATTCAGAGCCAGCAGAACTACCTGCCCATGCTGCCCTGAGTGCTGCCACCCCCCCTGCAGCAGTGGTAGTGCCCAGACAGGTGACATCAGGACTGGGCAGCCTGGTGGCAGCGTATGGAGGCAGCTCAGAGAGTGAGGAGGAGGAGGGGGAAATCAGAGGTTTGTTTAGTTGTTTGTTTGGGCCTTTGTTTATTCCATTTAGGTCATGAGGGAAGAGGTCAGGGTCATACAAAATATTCCAAGATACAGATTACATGATTGAAGTTCTAACAAATCTATAAACATGTAGTTGTACATGTAGAAAGAGTGCCATACACAAGGTATTAGTAAAAATAGAAACTGTTACAGTAGAATCTAGCAGTAGTTACATGTACTTTGTTGCTTGTTTTAAGGGGAGTTTGTATGTCTCTTGTCCCTAGCAGTTATAATTGGAAGTGAGTGGGAAGTTGGGTTTCAGTTGATTGACCTCGCAAGCTTGTCACCAGGTATGCCCTGGGACAGGGTGGTAGGACAATTGTTAATTTTTTTTTTTTTTGTGCTTTTCTGATATGTCATATTGCTCTTCAGGAGAGAGTAGAATTACATGTACTCCATTGCTAAAACCCTTCTCTACAGATTCTCCTGTTCCAAAGCTGATAAAGTCACCACAACTACCTGTACCTACACAACAACGACAACAATGTACAGCCCCACATACTGGCAGTGAAGACAGGCAGTGGTCCTACCCAGAGGGAAGGAGAGGTGCACCATGGGAAAGGGGTAGGGGCAGAGGTCGTGGAAGGGGCAGAGGTAGAGGTCAAGGTCGTGGTGACAGCTGTGGGAGAGGACGTGTAGCACCTGATCAGCTGCACCTGAGAAAGAGACGGGCGACACTGTTGGAGATGGTACGTCTTACAGCTGTGGAGGGCTGTGTTCCATATTGTGGGGATGAAGTATTGTTTGGGGCAGTTTTGGTTTAGGGGGAGTTAAATTTATTCCAGTTCTTAGCAGCAAGGATTGGGAGTGGGTGGAGATAGGTTTTCAGTTGATCGACAGGGTTGTGACCTGGTATGTCCTAGGTAGTAAGATATGGTATGCCACCAGAAATGTGTACTGCGTAGTCATGGTATAAAACATAAACTGTGGTGTAGTACCTCCAAGTGAGTTACTTCATACGACCATACATACTTTTATTATGTAATTCAATCAGTTATTTTCCCATCATCATAAAATTCAGTTCTAATACTTCCACGGATACAGAAAACTTTCAGAAAGTCTGAAATCTCTGACTTCTTGTTTGTTGTTAATTTCCAGCTGCTGGCTCCAGACATCAGACATGAGAGGAACGTGGTGTTACAGTGTGTGCGATATGTCGTCAGGAACAAGTTCTTTGGGATAGGAAGTACCAGACTTGATCCTGTTACCTCACAAACTGATGTTTCAACACAAGAAGACTCCACAAGTCAAATAACAGAAGGCCAAACTAATAATGAAGCCATTGTGGAGGCCAAACCATTACAGAAGACTGAGGATCTTTGAGTATTTTCAGTAATGTAAATGCATTTTGTCTTGTGAGTTGTCTCCAACCATCTTATGAGTTGACTTTTTCAACAGTTCTAAGTTAGATATACACATTAAAAGTTAAGGTACACATTTTTAAGTTCTGGTACAATTGTTTGTATTCTAATATAGCCTCTGAAATGCAGTGCATGGCAAGTGTATACAAAGTACTCTAAAACAGGTTATTGGCATGTGCACATGTTCAGGGTGACTGAATGATGACTCTTACTTTTAATTGGTCAGTCAACAGTGATGTATTAATGTATGGCAGTGGGGACCAGCTCTGTTCTTACTGTCACAGATTTTGAATGGCATTGTATGGGTTTTATCCCAGCTGCTCTTTATGAATGCATCCAGAAAAATTGACGTAATTCCATGTTAAATGGGAGTTATTCATTTGATTTCAAATTTATTTCATTATTAACAAGACTGATTCACAGGATGACAGGCAGCTCTCAACTTGTGTAACAAATGTAAAAAAATAAAAAAGTTATGAAAGAAAGCAAAGTCAACATTGCAAAATTTTATAGCTGTGAGAGATGTGTTACATCATGCAATATACATGACTTGTAATCTCTGAAACATATAAAAAAACAAAGAATAAAAGACCTACTGTTCAGTTCTCTTTTTGTTTTGCTGACTTCTTAGGTGCGTCAAGTAATCTCCAAGAAGCTCTTTTTTTCAAATTGGCAACACAGTATTAAATTGGCAAAACAGTATCAAGGAAACAATTGCTTCCCTGAAGATTTGTTTAATACTAAACCTCTGCATTGGGAAAAATTCATATTAGTCTATCAATATTTCTCAGACCACCACTGTAACTCTACTGTACTAAATGATTTTCTTTTAGCACCAAGAAAAGATACTGCCTTCAAACATAAAGATGCAAAACAAAGAAGAAAATATCTTTAGGTATAAAAGCAACAGCTTGAAATGATTTCTCTTTCAGCACCAAGGAAAGGTACTGTCTCTATACATTAAGGTATAAATGCTCTTGTCCTTCAAATGATTTCTATTTCAGCACCAAGGAAAAACACTGTCTCTAAACATAAAGGTATAAAAACAACAGCTTCAAATAATTTCTTTTTCAGCACCAAGGAAAGATACTGTCTCTAAATGTAAACTTTTTAAGGTATAAAAGCTATAGTCCTTCAAATGATTTCTCTTTTAGTACCAAGGAAAGATTCTGATTCTTAACATAAATCTTTAGTCAAATGATTCTCTTTCAGCACCAAGGAAAGACACTGACTCTAAACATAAATGTATAAAAGCTATAGTCCTTCAAATGATTTCTCTTTCAGCACCAAGGAAATATACTGTCACTAAACGTAAAGGTATTAACGCTATAGTCCTTCAAATCACTGAATTAACTGTTTGGCTAATACTTCTTTAGTATTTACGGGCTTAGACAGCAGGGAGAGGGTTAATCACTTCAATAAAAACAAATAGACTTACAGGAAATCAAGCCCACATGATTTAATGAACACATCACAAAGAATGGTGCCAAATATACTGTGAAAATGTGAAACTTGCAAAAGTGAAAAGTCTTGATATATCTGTATGTGAAAGGTACAAATCAGTGGTGAAAAAATCTGTTAATATTACCCTAACCGTACTTTGGTTAAGTAACAAATTAGAGATTCAAGGAAGTTCATAGTAATCTAAAAGACACTTAAAGATTCTTCCTCCAAAACTGTTTAATTACTACAAATTTAGAGTGGATATGAATGCAACAAAGACAGCATCTACATTTGTGTACTGATTAACACTTTTGTCAAGCTAGTTAAGCACTGAAGTTTGCAACAATGACTTTACACACCAAGACAAGGAAAACATGCATGTAGATTTTCACATGTTTATGCTATGGAACATTTATGCAAGTCACAAAACTACATTTTACTAAATGTGTCACAGTTTCAACCAAAGTTCACAAGATATCATGGAGTCTGGAAGCAATTCTACATACAGATTACAATGTATCTTATTACAATTAACTACAAAATATGTTTAACCCACACAATTTTAATCACTTACTGATATCTACCAATCTCTAAAACTCATTGGTTTTAAGAGTCTAAAATCTAAAACACATTGTTTCAGATGTTACCCAGAAAATTAATGAATTTCGGTACTAGATCCATACACATTTCTAGATCTTACATGATGGTATCCATGACTTTTTAGGGTGCATCACACAGTAACTTTACCTAAAGAGACGGCATTGTAAAACAGTCAATAGTAGAGAAAACTGTAAAACTACAAAAGGTGTAAAGGGTAACTGTTAGTACTACGTAAATGCTAACTAATGTCACCAGGAAAGGTATAAAGCCTGCAAAAATAGAGCAATTCTCTTTTCTTCAATATCTAAATTCTTTGCCAAGAAGACAATCTTGCATGCAACTCTTAATTGGAATGTCTAGTTTTCCACAGCAACTTTCCACAGTAGCAATAAGTCGATTTCTTCATTTTTCTTTTTAATTTTCATACCAACACTACACAAGAACCTTTCTGAACATGCTGATAGTCTATTAAAAATGCATGTACGTGCATTCAATTCATTTTTTCCACTGCCAGAAAGCACAGTCATATTGTTTTGGTACATTAGTCTGGTAAATAAAATAAAAGTAGTTTGTAGATCAGAGGGACATTTGCAACATTTTTTTTAAATTCACATCTGTTTGGTTCATGCAGGTCAATCATTTATCAACTTGAAGATAATTTTTTCTAAAACCATCATAATGATGTTCAATATTTCAGCCATCCATGATTCATAAAAATTATCTCTAGAACTCTGTAACAAAACAATTATGTCCTCTGGCAGGCAACACACTAGCCACGTGATTTTTTCGAGCATTGTGGAGCGAAAATCCAGATGCTAGCCAGGCTAGCAACACACATGTTCAACATACAATTTCAGACTGGCTTAAACACTTATTGCATTCCATTTCTGCCTGTTCAATTTGTAGCTTTGGTGCAAGCAGCAGAATGAAGTGAAAGACTGCAAGGTTTTCAGGTTCAATTGTCCATGTAGCTAAGGTTTGAAGGCATTTTTAATATATTGCTTAGTATTATGATTTGTAAGTCCTTTGTGTTAGCACAGCTGTGGTAGAGATCAGTGATTTCATTTTACCCTGCCAAATTCTCCAATGTTTGGGGTAAGAATGTTTTCAACAGCTCTACAACTACATATGTTTGTACTAGTACAGGTACAGCATGCTAAACGTTAAAAACATTTAAAACAGGTAAGAGGGTAACTTCAACTAGCTACAAGAGTTAAAAGATGAAATAATCCTCAATGTCATCTATCATCATTATAACAGCTACACAAAATTAGACTAAATAGGCAGCAAGTCAGCTTGCAGCTACTCAGAAAAAAATAAATGAAAAACATAAAAAACAAATAAAAGAAGGAATATGCTGTATGCATGAGAACAAGACTGCCAATTCAAAGAATAACACAAGATAACACAACATCTGCTAAAATACACAAAGTATAGGAAAAGCCTCTGAAAGTGACCTACAGTACATTTGGTAAGTGTAATAATGTAGTCTAATAAAGTGAATGTCCTCTACATGTATCTAGTGACAACATTTCTAGTATGCTAAAAATTAAAGTCTTTCTAGCTGAGATATCTAGATTGCCATGAGATCGTCGTGACTGGTGACGGAGACACTGAGACTGCCTGACACGTCCCCTCCCCCATCCTTGTCCTGCAGTTGCACCACGTGCTGCTTGGTGGCGTTGTTGACCTCACACATCATGGTGGCCTCGCCCAACAAGTCGTCTCTGATCAGGTCTTTCTTCCAAATCTGGTGAACAAAAAATGAAGCTTAGTGACTTATCTCTTTGGTATCGACTTATTGCAAAGTAACTAAATCATCATGAAGTGTCAACTCTCATAATTTTGTCTGACACATTGAAAAAAATGCTATTGAGGCCTCAAGAATGTTCTGAAAATCTGGACATCTGAGTAAAGAGACTCTTTTTACACAACCAAATGTTTTATTCACAGCCGACGTTTCGGTGACCGTCTGGCACCTTAATCAAGAAAACGTTGGCTGTGAATAAACCTCTGGGTTGTGTAAAAAGAATTTCTTTACTTAGTAAGTAACTTACCAACCTGATGAAACTATTCACGGATGGACATCTGAGTTGTGCACATGATTTGGATAATATGTTGCATTGTATTCAATGCATTTTTCAGGGTGGCAGATACATGTGTACATGTATAACACATGTACATGTATGTGCTGTGACCTGGTGGAATTATTAGTATACATTATGTAGCAAACATACCTGGATCTTGATAGGGTTCCTGGGGTCCTTGCGGTAGAAGATGGCTTCCTCATCATACTCAGGACTGCTGTTATCTTCAATAACCCTCGTCTTCACTGACTTGTTACCAGACTTGATGACTGCATATGTGTCTGTTGGCATGGAAACAAACAACACTTTCATTACTGGAAATTATATCATTCTACACTACATTGTTTTTTTCCTTGAATACATAGCATGAAGACTCAAAACAAACAAACAAACAAACAAATTCCTAAAATGTAGTTTGTAAGTTAAGAATTTCACAGGACTTTTCTAATATTTACGTTCAAGCACTAGACTAAGTACAGAAAATGTCAAGTTTTAGGAAGTATCAAATTTCTATCATAAATTATTTGTTGAGGTTGCATTATGAACTGACCCTGTTTCTTGCAAAAAGTTCCTTCAATACAAAGAGACACACACAGACAGACAGACAGAGACACAGAGAGACAGAAACAGACAAAGTTATTAACTTAAATTTATGTTCCAATACTCAGAAAAGAGATGTTTCAGAAAGTTCAGAAATTTTTAACTCTTTAAAGGCTACATTCATGTGAAGTAACTGTGAGAGTAACTAATCAAGCTGGTGTGTTACGCCGAAAGGCGGTTATACCGGCTATACAGATACAGATACAGACCCTGTTTCTTGGAGAGTCCTGTAGCTGACAGGAGATGGACACTTGTCACAGCCTGGGGATATCCCAGGATTCCAGAGAAACACGAGGCAGTCGGCTGGTCCTTACACAACTCCCTGAAAGGGAGAAAACTATCAATGTACTGTACTGGAAAAATTAAATACATTTACTGTGCATGCATACATGTACATTTGTATGTCATAAAGCACGGGATGACCACAGCAACCACGAGTCACTAGTAGGGCTGAAAGAGGCATCAAAGTTGATTGTCTGACCACTTACCAGGTAATTTTTCATAATGACATGTACAGTTTTCAACAAAGTTTGGTCATTCATTTGGACATTAACTACCAATGTAACTTGCAATAGACTGTATCTTTTTCTTACCAATGAGATGAGATGATGAATTTTTCAGACTTAGTAAGACATTGCATAACTTTTTTTATATACATACGTGTACCAAGCATGTACATAACAAACAGGAGTTTATCTTGGATTATGTCTGCAGTACATACGACTATCAGTAGGAGGCATGACTGCAGCACAACTACATGTCCTTACTTGCAGTTGTTGTCAGTGTCGGTGAAGATCCTCAGCATCATGTCTCCCTCCTCGTCCTTGTCGAACGTGGTCGGAATGACGACGTAGCGGCCACGGCGCAGCTCTGTGCGGATGAAGTTACTGCGGGTGTTGATGTAGATAGAGTCGGCCACCTTCTCCTTCATGGTGTGCAGACGGTACTTCCTGTTCAGTTCAACCTGCAGGAGACAGGGCAAAGGTAAGTAGCTGGCACAGGTGCAGAGAGCAGCACATCGGCAGAATGTACTGCGACTGCGTGAAACCGCAATTTTTCACGGTTTTCGTTAGATTTTTGGTCAGCATTGCATCAGAATTTTGCCTGTCGTAGAGGATATCTTTTCATAACATTTGAAAACTACAGACGGAGTGTTGACTTAATATGCACAAATACGACCTTATATGAGACGTTCTGCTGAAATGGTGCTGACAGCCCACTTTGAGTAACCATTTGATGAGTGCATCCAAACCAACTGAAAACCAATTTTTTCTTAGTATAATATGTTGATAAATGTTGGCCTTTTCTAATTTTTCTTTAGATCATTTCTTATTGTTTTGTTGAGACAAAAAGAAGGCTTTTAGGCCTGTTCTGGCTGCTCCGTATAACTCAAGAAGTCCTGACATTTGGCTGCAGTGATTTCTTGTAGAGAGGTGAAAGTTCATGGCTTTGTTTTGATCCAAACAGATACGTTTTGCTGTATAAAATACAGAAATTTTGAACTAAATGGATGATATACAGGTCCGACTATCTTAGCTGTCAATGTGCGTTTGTCTAAATTTCGAGCCTCGATAAAGCTATGGGACAGCCCCGGACTACCTTTACCTAAAGGTTACCTGACAGTACATTTACCTTAAGTTTTTACATGTAACAGTGCCATGAACATGTTGGAAGAAGCCACACAGGCGAAACCAGTCATGTGACAGGCTGAATAAAAGTTCTAAACAGGAACTATGCGGCTCCAGATGTCTTACTGAGGGACTGCATGTGCAAGATGCCGGTTAGCTGAGGAATGAATCCCCTCGAATTGACAATGCCATGATCAAGTTGGAAGAAATGCCTACCCTGTAGACAGCAAACCCGAGGGTCAGGTTGCCCTGCTTGCCCTCCTTGCGAGACTGTCGTGTGTCTGGCTGGGACAGGGAGATCAGAACTGTGTCCTCATCCTTGTCTACATCAAACAGAACCTGGGGGGAGGGGGGCACACACAAACATCACAAATCAAAACTCAACATACAGCCGTTATAGGACTATTATATAATAGTATAATGTACTGACTTGATTTTGAAATAAAAATGTACTCTTAGCTCTTACCAAAACAGGTATCTACTCAAATTGTGAACTATCTACAGTGTCATGACAGAAAAAAAAAGAAAAATATACTACTTGTAACGTTAGATACAACAGAATTAGAGGGCCTAAAATGGTTTCAATTGTTTCCTTCAAAATGTTTAAATTTATGTCCTAAGAGTAGCTAAGACCCAATCCAGTTTCTACACATCTGTTTTTTCACTAATTCTAGATTTTTTAAAAGTTTGATAGATAAGCTTGACCAGTTTAACTTCTTGGAGTAGGTGACTATTTCACCGAACAGAACTTCGTGAAATTGTGCATTTGTGTAAAGCCATTCACAGTTGTGACTTTTTCACCCTGTGCAGTTGTGACTTTGACTGTGATTGAACATTATATAAAACATTATTTAGCTAATAGTATATATATTAGATATATGACTCTGTGATTTTCTAAATCAATTTGATTCCTTCCAAAATCCTCTGGATAAACAAAATGTTTCTTTATGGCATGTGTCTGAAATTGGCCAGTTTGTAAATGAAACCAGTCCACCCATTTTTTTTCTTTGCAAAATTAATAGGAGAAATACAGTTACTGTACTATGTACATGTATACAACCATTTTGTATTCAACTGTTCAGACATGACACATCACAAATACAAAGTACATTGTAACACAACAATCTACTCTAACATATTACATAACCTTTCTACACTAAGGCTGTGCACCTAAATCTACCACATAACCCAGCACGATCCACCATAGTGCTCACCGTGACTTCATCTTGGCCTCCAACTTTCTTACTAAAAATAAAGACTTTTCTCAGTGGGAGGTTATGTCCTGATATCTGTGCAGCTTAAAGGTCCATTGTGTAAAATTAGGACGATGTAGAAAGAAGATTTTCCTGTCATTTCTTTACATATACATATTTAGGAGTTTTTGTGATGGTTTTAGGAAGTTGGTGGATTTTGTTTGCATGTTTTTACACAGGTCATAAACTCAAGACTAGAATACAAAATAATGATGCAGATATGTTCATGTGAATGTACATGTCATCCATGCACAGAAAGAATATGTTCTCTAGAATATGTTTAATTTTTGAACCAAAATTTTACACAATGGACCCTTTAATAAAATGAATTTCAAAGCATTATGTCTGCCGCTTTGTGCAAAAAGCAATATTCAACCTAATACAAGAAGCCATGCTTGCCACCCCACATCCACATGTTGTTGTTATAACAATTTGAAACCTTCTGGGCTTTCTGCTGACTCTTTCTCGGCACAACGTCAAAAAAGAACTAGAAAGACAGACAGAGACCTCACAAGTCAGTAACACACAGAACAGACATGGAGGAAAGAACACACTCAGGTTAAAAACTTCAGCAGCTGGAAAATATGAGGAAAGTCATTAGGTAGTGGATACACAAGTTCAACACAGATTACATGAAATTCTTTTTTTAAATTGTAAAACATAATTTTGAAGCCAGTTTTACAGGAGTCTACATATTGCCACACATGTAAGACAGACAGTAGAAAGTTCCTTCGTTGGCAAATTATGCACTGTAAATTGCATAATATACAGTGTTACAGCAAACTTTAAGAATTACTAGTATATTATTCAAGATAAATTTTACTTTTTTAAATCATTAAGTTAGAACCTGACTCATAAATCTACATTCCTAAGAACAATCAACAATACACTATGCATTGTAGCTCTAAGATACCATGATATTAACAGTTACTCACCAAGCAACTGAATAGCTTTTGAAAACGGTTAGTTTCTGGTAGCATTCACTCCATTTTGTCAACTTGAATTCAGCACTTAGACAAGATATCTTGTCTAAGTGTTGAATTCAAGTTGGAATCTTAAGTTTTCTTTCTCTAAAAGTTCCTGAGCTGATCTCATATGTGTGATTTTTACCATGTTTAAACTTATCTGTTTATGCATGTTTTTATTTTTGTTTGAACCCTTGAACACTAGCGTGTAATAATTTTTGGTTAAAGGGAATGGAAACAAAGACAAAAAAGACCATAAGTTTGAATCAGACCTGTGGATTCTGTAGGTAGGTGTCCCTGTTGTTCATACAGCCGCCGGCGCGGTTGTGGGTGGGGTCTCCGGGAACGCTCCTCCAGCGCGAGAAGACGCGAGACTCCACCCACGTCTTGTGGATACTGAGGAGGGACGTGTTGATCAGGCGACAGATTCCCGCGTCCGAGAAATGGGTGATCCAGTCGTCAAAACTCATCCTGGGGAAGATAGCACAAAACGTTACACAATGAGCCCTTATTGTATCTGCTTATAGCATCTTTGTTGTTAAAACTGCCCACTAACGAAGAAACTCAACAACATTACATGTAAAGCTGTATGGTAGTTATGTTTTTCATCATAGTATTCATGTGTCCTTGTGTGTGTGTGTGTCTGTGTGTTCATACAATTACTTGAGAAGGCTTTGATAGATTGCAATATTTTGAATTTACATGTAGGCATGCAGTTTTGATGAAATCTTTAGATTTTGGGTCACCTCATAATATATAGCGGGCTGTTATGGTACTGCAGCAGGACTTCCGATTTTAATATCTCGTGTTCTGCAAAGGCTGTGGTCATGATTTTTGGGTGGTTGACAGCTCTTGCACTCAGGAAAAAGTGATTTGGGCTGCCTTGCAGCTAATTTTTTTGTTTAAACACTCACTCACTAACCATCCAGACTTTGATTATGCTGCTATGGGGGTGTCTGAAAGCTATAACTGATTTTCCAGAACTTAAAAGAATAAAAGAGAGGATACTGACCAGAACTCGCCATCATCCTCTTTGACCAACCCAAGCTTTTCCTTCTCAGAACTGCTGACCTGCTGCCACTCAGGAGAACTGTGGAGGGAAACACAACAAAATCACAACACTGACTCTTTGTTTTCAGTCACAGTTTTTTTGGTAATAAATTGCCTTGTCAACTACAGCCTGGCAACATCATACAATTCGAGCTGCAATTTCACGGGTCAAAAGCTTAATGGCCAACATCTCTAAGTCAGGTGAATCAGGAACATCTTAATCCTATTGATTTGTGAATACATGCAAATAAGGACCAATTCTCCTTGGAGGCTGTGATAGCTTTCATAGCAACTGAGAATCCCGAGCTCCTATTGGACTGATTTTCACAGTGATCAACAATCCTGAGCTCCTATTGGTAGTTTTGGAAATCAATCATATGGTTCTTTCGTTAAAGGTGCATGGCCACAAGCTCTGACACCTGACCTCTATCCAGGCACTCTGACCCCTGACCCTACTTACTCGTCGCTCCACGGCCCCCTCCACTCCTTCTGACCCCAGGGGTTCCTCATCCTGATCATGTAGATCTTCTCCTGATTACCCAGAAGCCCACTCAGCATGCCAGACTCCCCGACCTTGACCTTCTTCACAGCTGTGACACTGTAGGCATGACCTTTGACCAGGCCCATCTCTGTACTAGCCTCCATCTCAGCTCTAGAGGTCACCTAGAGGATAAAACATTCATAGTTTACTTGAAGACGCACTAAAGACAATTACAGCCATTGCATTGGCGGAAATCTTAGGACCTAATAGGTATTTTTGCCTCACTCACTCAGTCTTGTGATTCAAATAATATCTACATGTAGTAACAGTACCTTGTTTCATCGACTTTTAAGAATCATATTCACATTTATAAAAAAAAATAGAGGGAAGCGTGGTTCCTATGCCGATTATCATATGCTTTTAATTTTCCAGTGGTTTTATTCCATGGTAGGATGGTAAATTAGAGTTTTGCAGTATCTGAAGTTTGTGCTTGAACAAAGTCTGTACTGCAGTTAAATTACAAAGGAGACAACAATGGGGCCTGAGTCAATAACACTAATCACAAAACCATCTTGCTTCCTATAGTACCCACAAATTCATTTGATTTGAAAATATCTCATGAAAAAGAATTCAGCACCTACCCTGATACTACAGGTGAGAAGTGACCCTCTCTCTGCTGCCTTGTGCATGACCTTGAACAGTTTCTCCTTCTTCTCCTCATCCTCCCGGTACCCCCCCTTATCCAGAGAGATGGGCTCGGCCACCCCCCCTGTGAAGTCCACCAGGGCGTCCAGTGTGTTCCCCCCCTGTAGGGCTTCATAACAACCTGCAAGTCTGGTGGAAGAAAGCACATTCAATTTTTAGTACTGTAAAACAGTAACAAAGAAACTGTATTTCTTTGCCAACCATCTCTCTCTACAGACAATGGTAACTTTCCCACCATGGGAATATACAATGTACATTGTACAATATGTAATTATAATATGTTAGTACATTATAATGTACACCACTTAAACATTTGTCAATGAAGGTTAGACATCCAGGTAACGAGATACACAAAAAAACAGTTATGTTGTTACTCATTGACAAGCAACTGGTATCTTTTATCGGTCTTCAAAATCAAGGTTGAAGCAAAGATGATAAACGTGCAAAACACAAAATTTTACAATTTGTGGTGGTCTTATTTTGTGGTATGATAGAAAAAAAGGTTTTCATGGTACTTGTAGATTTCAAACAAAATTCACGGTGTAAATGATTTGTTTGAAGAGGACACAGTGAAAACCGACTGAAAATAATTCCAAGTCCAAGCACTTGGCGACACTTACTTGGCATAAGCCTTCTCCAGCAGTGAGCTCCAGAGCTCGTTCTGGTCCTTGGACCGGTTGTAGACCAGCTGGCCGTTGACGGTCGGCAGAAGGTCATCCACTACGACCTCTGTCCAGGTTCCGAAGCGCCAGAAACGGAAGCGGAAGATGCCCTGGTAGTTCTCGGGGTGTTCAGGGTCCCACTCTTGCTCCTTGTACTCTGGGATGACCTGGCCAAAAACAATCCTGACTGTCAATCACAATTAGCAGTACAACCAATGAGAGAGTGGCAATTAGCTGTTTGACCAATGAGAGCATGGCTGCATATCTATGTTTTCATTTTGAATTCCTACAATTTGACGGAGGTGGGGGGGCTATGAGGTCAGTTAAATTCAATCATTTATGTCCATTCAATCACAGCCCACTTTAACTACATCTAGCAATTGAACATACAAAACTAACTGTAACATTTTTATTTAGAAACTACAGTTATTACTGTATAGATAGGCAAATTGAATGTTTTATAATCTTGTCATTTTGTGGTCACATGACACTTGATAGCCAATGGCTGACCTCCTTCCATAGCTCCTTCTCCAGAGTGAGGCTGGCGACAGCGGCCACAAACCAGCAGTTTCCCAGCTGCCCCTGGTTCAGGTCGTGAGCAGACACACCCTCCACAAACAGGCGGGGGTTGTCACACAGCTCCTGTATAAACATATCAACATGTTAGAACTTTTACCAGCGATAATATATTACACTAACTGTAAGTGTATGTAATGTTAACTGAGCATGTTGGCAGAATGTACTACTGCACCTGCGCGAAACTGCACGATTTTTCATTGGATTTTTGGTCAACGTTGCCTGATTGCATCAGAATTTTGCCTGTTGCAGACAATATTTTTTCCGACATAACATTTGGACCCTACAGAGTCTTAACCTTACTACCTAATTATATGAGATGTTCTGCCAAAGTGCTATGATGCTGAAATTTGTGAAAAGATCACTTGGTCTGATTTTGTTGCAGGAACGGGTACAAATGTTCATTCCTATACAACTTAAGAATGGCTAAAATTATATCTAGATCTGATGCTTGTCTGATTGGACCAAAATCCAATCATGGCAATCATCCCCTACTTTCAGGTGGGATTAATAAGATTCAAACTCTCAGCACGTCTCCCAGCACGCATAAACATGACTCATGAGTCTGCAGGCACTTGGTAATGAAATTGTACCCGGGAAACAGGCCAGACTCAAGCCAAGGGTGTTCAGACTCATCCTGTATAATTCAATCAACAAGTTGAACCCATCTAGAAAAAAAATTCTAAATGTGGTCCCAGAAATTGAATACTAGTATCTTAGGTCCCTGAGCCATAAGAATTGCATGAAAGGTTTTATGAATTTTTGTGCATTAATAAAACAAATAATGTCACAAAAGATGAAACCATTTTCCCCAATCAAAAGCATACCAACAGTCTAAATCTGTTCTAACAAAAAGATTTGCTCCTGACTGCAGAAATTGAGAAAATTTCATTTTCCCCCATTGTGGACTCTGATATCAAGACATACTATGAATCTATAATTATAATATATTATGGCAAAACTCTTCAAAATGTTTGTACAAAATGTATTGCACTCTTTCTCAGTCTGTTGATAGCTGGTCCAGCTATATGTAAACAAACAATATACATGTATTGTACCAGCTGGGTAAATTTTAATTTTTCTAATATCAATCCCATTCTGGCAACATTACTTGAAGTGTATCTTATTTGCAGAAAACATTTCTTGTAATCATAAGGTGCCAGCTGTGTCTATAGGGCCAAATTACACATTGAGGCACCATGCACTTTGATCATAAATTCTGTAATATTCTGTCTCTCTTTCCAGTGAAGTTGCATTAGATACCAGCTGCAGGATAGTAGTATTTTCTTGTTCACCTCTCATAAAATAGCTAGTATTGTGTACTGTAAAAATTGTAATACATGATGATATACAGTGTCATGTACAATGTAATATCATAGTTCTTAGCTATGTTAAGTGAGTAACATGTAAAACGTGCAAGTACAGTGTATAAGGATTTCTTTCACAGTACTGTACATCATGAAACATTTGCAGTACTTTTTTAAAAATTCTTTTGGAGGCCTTGTCATCATCATGATGATGATGATGATTGGAGGCCTTAATTTAACTGCGAACATGCCTTCCCCCCATAATGACAACAAAATCGTTTCAACTGCAAATTTCCAAACAACTTATTATAGTAAGATCCTCCCTTAATAAAACTGCAGTACAAAATTTTCATGATTTTCCATAATCAGTGTCAAACTGAAACCTGAAAGATTGTATACTCACTCTTGGCCTCTTCCATTCTATACGTGCGGGGATGGCCTGGTCGTACCACAGGCTCTCCTCTGTAGGGGGGAACTCTGGATCTGTGAACAACTCTCCTTTCTCTTCACACTCCTTCTTCAGGTCCGAGTAGTTCTGCCCCTTGAAGTGCTTGATGGTAGGTCCGAACACCATGTTGTCTTGTACCCAGGTGTTTTCTAACAATTCTTCGTTGGGAATCTCTGGATCTAGGTCTGGGTCGTAGATGCGATCTTCTGGCCCCCTCACACGTCTGAAACAGGAGGATTTCATGACAACATGCACTCATGATCAGGAATCCAGACTAACTTTTTAACTCTGGAGCACCTGAGCAAAAATCTAATACACTATCCCACTACAGTGAACCGGTAACACCTAGCTCTATTATGTACAGTGAACCAGTAACACCTGTGCACAGTGGTAGGTAGATAATCATAATGATTTGCAGGATATCACATGAATACCAATTATTACCATGTTTTTTTTATATATAGAAAAGCACAGTGGAAGTATGACATGATCAGAAAGCAAATATCACTCTCATGGTACATGTATAATGATATTAGCTTTGCAGTCCATGATATAAATATTACAATTCATCCTATTGAAAATTTCTATACCGAAAGATCCATCCTGGCGTGAGTGGATCAAGACTTAAGTTACTTACTAGTAGTACTGTAGTTAGTAGTAGTACTGTACTCATCAGGTACAGCTAAAGGCAGTTAATATGTAAAACAAACAAACCACCTGGCACTGTTCCTGTCTCTCCACTGCTCCTGTGCAAACTGCTTCCTGTGTCCGCGATGACGTCTCCTGCGCCGATGTCTCTGCTGCTCGTTTCTTGCTTCGACCTCGTCCGAGTCTTCCCGCTGCAGCTTGTGCTTCCCCAGCTGTTTCCTCACCTTGTTCTCAAGCTCCGCAGGCACCAATTTATTGACCTTGAGCTTCGCCTTCTGTTCAAGTTCGGAACCAAGTTTTTTCAGGTTCTTAGCGAAGTTGAGTTTCGGTCCGAAATTCAAGAAATCTTTTCCTCCTGCTCCTTTTTGGTGCGAGTGTGGGCTTGGAGATCTACTGTCGGATCCAGATCCTGTTGATCCACTGTAGGATTCCGAGTCAGATCCGCTGTAGTTGTCGCTGTCACCAGACTGTCCAGAGTACCTGAACGGACTCCTGTCGTAACGATGACGGTTTTGGCGCCCTGGGTTCCTAAGAGGCAACAAAATGGTTTCTGTGAATTCATTTTTGGAGGGACTTCATTTCACAGTAAGATCTAGAGAAGAAAGAGACTTCCAATTATTGTTTTAAATTAGTAAAGTTTGTAGTTGACACGAAACAACCACTACTAGTACTAGGGGTGAGTATAGAAACACAAAGCTTTCGGGCTCCCTGGAATCAAACCTTGTCTTCCTAGGAATGATCAACCAAACTAGGAAGACATTTAGGACTTTTGGGGATGAAATGTGAGCATTTCTTAGTTCATTACGAATCTGAATTTTTTTTTTTGCATATCAGAATCTGTGAACCAATTAATTGAGTTGGTGTGGCCTCAGACTCTTGATTAAGATTTTTCTAAATGTCATCCATATAACAATATCATACTTCTGAAAATATCATACATCTATATCCAGGCTTATGATAGAAGCAGATGCAAGTAGTAATGTACCAGGATATTTAAAAACATGCATATAATATATGATGCATACCATGTATCCTTAATAATTACAAGCATAACAAACAGCTTTGAGTAAGAATTTCCAGTAGCTTAAATAAGTTAATAGAGCAAGACACTATCTTAGTGCTGTTGTAAAAGGTGATTGACACACTGGCTTGCACTGTAAACTTTGCCTAGTGTCTGTTTGTCAACATTGCAGCCATTCTTACCACTTCACTGTTAGCTGGGAACAAACATTGTCTTCATTTCTAACAAGCTTTAGTGTTTATCAGAAGTGCATGTAGACTTTAAACAAGTACTGTACGTTCATGTAACAGTTTTAACATTTGGTAGAATGAAAACAGTGTGTTTCTTTACAGTAAAATTTACGTGAAGTGATGTAGTATGCCTCTGGATTGTGGGGTGCATGTGCTATTTGTTGTAGAATCATGTAGCACAATCTGTAACAATTTTACCACAGTTCTTACTTTAAATACACTATTCAGATACAATGAGTACAATCTTCAAAGGTAACTGTTGTAAAAAAACTAGAAATGTGATGAATTCATGGCTATGTATGACTGAAAACAGCCAAGGACATGATTCAGAAAGTACATATTCCCTCCCACCAACAATTACCACAGTAAAGGTAGCAACACGTCACCACACCCACAATGCAAACAAATTGTAGATTTTACAGTAGATTTGCATACATAATCGACTAGAATTACCTGTCGTCTGAATAGTAATTATATGACATGCTTGTCTGAAGCAGTGTTCCTCAAACGTTGACCAATTTGGCGGTCAAGTATGTGCAATGTATAAAATCACAGCTCTCCCGATCCTGTGTAGTCTATTAGCATACAATTTGGGAAAGTAGTTTTTCCAGTTTTTCAACTTTTACCAGCACATGTACACGTAAACAATGCATAAGTAACACATGTGACTACATGTAGTATTTAAACTGATGGTGCCTTCTAATTAGTATATAAGTCTTAACTGCCATACAGTTCTAAAATGCATCTTGTATATACATAATTGTAGATATTATAATTTGTACTGAACACACAAGTGTTAAACTTTTAGCAATTTTTTTTCTTTAATTTCCAGTTTCAATGCAAAAAAAATGCACTTTTAAGATCAAGGACTTGTTAAGATCAAATGACTTCCCTGTGTGTCTACGGTGAGTTCTGTTATTCAAGAAATAATGATTGTGCATTAAAATTTCATGTTGTAAAGTACTGAAGGTGCCTCAAGTATTTAGAAGTCTGAATTATTTATAATACACTCTCTGACCCTGAGACTGAGAGTTAAAATAAAAGCCTGCTACAGTATATTTGTTCACCCTCTTGTTTTTGTGTCCTTCACACATGTAAATAGCCTTGAGTTAATTCCTGTAATCATGTACTACATTACAATTGCCAATTGTTATTCTTTCTTGTCATTACTACAAACAGCAGGGTACCTGCCCTGCAAATTTAAATTAGAATTTGATTTGATAAGAATCTTATGAAAAGCTGGAAAGGTTTTCTGCTTCAAGAATTCCTAAATAATTAAAAATGTACATTTTAAGCTATTGGGACTAAGTGAGTGACATTTTCAGTTATCAGGAAATCTGACAATAAATTATTACACCTCAATTTTAAAAATCTGCATCATAATAAAAAATTCATATCATTGAAGAAAAATTGAAAACATTTACATTAGAGTATTTAGACTATCAGTAATAATCTATTTCTCCTGAATGCCATTAGGCTCAGCTTATAAACATTAGCGAAGCGGCAGATTGTTTACATGACAACATTGATCTGAGTGCCCTGAAGCCCTACATAAAAGAAAGCTGAACCACAAGCATGTCATGCATGTACTGAATTATCTATGCACAGAATCAGCTTGTTGACATTACTCTTTTACTACATACATCCTGTTGTTTCAATAGGCTTTGTGCTTGATTTTATATACTCATACTGTTGTAAGTATCAATATTTATCTTGGTAAATAAAATATAAACAGGTCCTGCACCAGTCCTGCACAGTATATTTCTGATTACAATATAATATTGTTTACAAATTCACAAATAAAAAGAAAAAAATAACATAGTTGACACATCCTTGCTGCTATTGATGCGTGTACTCCTTTCTTGCAACTTTAAAATGCTAGCTGTATGCAACAAAGTTTTTTTTGTTGTTGTTGTTGTTCTCCAGTATTAATCGTGAAGAAAGTATAAAATATGAATTATGCAAGATATACCAAGAGAAATGCAGGATTGACACTTTGTAGCCAGGCCAGCATATAAGTTGTATACTCCTATGTAACCCCCTGACAGAGTGCATTGTATGTGTAACCCAGTACAGAGTAACATCCATAAATTTGCCCCAGATAATCATGAAGGGTGTGGTCACTGGCATGTGTGGAGTGGGGTCAGTAGACTCTGACAGTGACCTCATCGATTTGTATATAACGTTACATGTAAATTATAACACAGTGATCGCAGTAGTGAATACAGGGGCAGTCCCTCCAATCAACTTGCTCTTTGCACATATCCTTCAACGTAATCGAGGATACACAGGCCACATGGCATCATGGCATCATCTGTATGGACAGATGCAACTTGATGTAAGCATCATCGATGGTTTCCTTCAGACACAAATGAAATCCTACCTTGAATTTCACCTCTCAGCCTGGCGAATCCCTCCCCGTGCCCTTCCACACGTTCTCCCTGCGTCCTGCCACACCCAAAACGCCCACAGACGCGCCAAATCCCGGGGTCAGGATGTACAAATCGATATGATTCACGCCAAAAGCGTCTGTAACGTCGCGAGTTGTTTGGGTTTGGTGGAAGTGAACGCGGAAGTGTGGACGCTTCCAAAATTCATGCGGTCAAAATATTTGTTATAAAAAAACTACTATCATGGCTCATTGTCATTGTTTAAAACATGAATTGGTAATATTCTATATATAAAAAAGGTTATTTTTCATAAATATGTTTTATTTAAAAATTTCTGGTTTACTTTTATTTGTGTGTAAGAAAGTACGCACCCCCTTACAAGATTGGTAAGAGCCAGAGCCCAGTGACAAGTTTGATTGGTTGCTGCAAACATATGACAAACCAAGATGGCGGCGCCCATGAAAAGTTTTTCGGCACCGTGGAAATAATTGTGCATTTTTGACTGTAAGTGAACTGTCTTTTCAGATTCTTTAGCATTCAAAATTCATTTTGTACATAGCCTGTACCAAGTAACGCAAAAACGGTTTGCATTTCCGGGCTGCACGTTTTATATTTTGACGTTCAATGCGCCCCCCTCCCCCTTATTTTCCTACTAGTAGTCTATATATTCCGGCCTGCAAAATTTGATACGTTGATATATACTTCTGACTTGAATCATTCAGCATACTACATTTTGTACTACTACTATTAGTATCAAACGCTTGGCAGTAACTGTGTTTGATATCCTTGCAAGTGAAGACAGTAATGTCACCAGTTCGGTTTAAGTCATATATGTTGCAGTTGATAGAAAAGCAGTCGAGCCTACATGTAGCTTATAGCCAGGCTTGTTTGATGAAAAATGCCTCATAACTGTACCAGTATCAGTGAATTCCAGTATATCACACTACTAGTATATGATCATAGAAAGTTTTTGAACACCTCAATTCCTGGTCAGTAACTTTATTGAAAGCGTCTACTTACTCTTTTTTCCATGCTTTACCCTCCACAGGACAGCTGATTCCATGAGAAAGGAGTAAACACAAAAAAAGTCAGCACAAATACTGAAATTCGAAAAAAAAAACATTTAAAGAGAAGCCATGCCACTGTCAGACTTCCTAGCTGGTTTGAAGGACAACCCGTACTTCGGGGCAGGGTTTGGACTGGTGGGAGTCGGCGCAGGTCTGGCTGTACTCAGGAAGGGGTCCCAGTTTGGAATGGTGGCATTCGAGACGACACTGTATGATCACTCTGGAAATTCCCAGCAAGGACAAGGTAATAAAGATCTGGAATTCTAATATGTCTGTTTTTAAGTTTATTTTTACATTGAGAATATTTGAAGTTTTGGTGTCAAAATACCCTGACTTTTTAGGTATAATAGCCTTTATGACAGTCTGTTTATGACAACCTTGCAGAGCTACCATTGGCTGCTTCAGTCGGATTACCCAGAATGCCCAGAGAACACAGCACCTGAGTGTAGATACGACATTCCAGCAGCACGACAGTGGGAAAATCAGTACCAGATTCGACTTCGTGCCCAGCCCTGGTACACACTTCTTCTGGTAGATACTACTATGCATTGTGTTGAACTACATTTTGTTGCTGAGAAGAATATGCCATTAGTGTACTACCATAACAGTATTTCTTTGCATGCAGTTTTGTATGCACATCATAAAGTATAGAAATTCATTTCGTCATGTTGATAGTGACACACATTGAATGGCCATATATGGCCAGACCAGTGGACACTAGATTGAGAATTTTCAGGTTCAATTCTTATTCCTAACAAGATGTTGTGCCCTTGGCACTTGACACAATTTTCCTCACTTCACCCAGGTGTAAGATCAGTATATTAGTATCTGACATTTATTGGGGAGGTACATGCAAAAGGCAGTGGAATTCAAAGGAGAGGTATGGCTCCACCCTTCAATACAATCCCTAAACACAGTGGATAACAACTGCGAAAAAGGTTAAGACTACATGTACCTTTTCCTTTCTACCATGTTGATAACACTTGATTCATCAAAACTATCTCCTACATGTTTTCTAACTCTGTCTTCCACAGGTATAAGAACAACTGGATCAGAATAGAGAGAACGAGAGAGAAGCAGATGGTTGACCTGCACCACGGCACACCCTGGGAGACTGTCCAGCTCACGGCACTCGGCAGGAACCGCGAAATGTTCTTCGAGATTTTAAATGAAGGTCTGAGTTAAGAAATAACTGTCAGCAGAGAAAGGACTCCTGTCTGCATGATTGTAGTGAAATACAGCCAGAGCAGTCATGAAGTTTGTTTGTATCATTTTGATTATTTTGTAAAGGCCACACTGATTTGATTATCTGGATGACATCCCCACATGCATTAATTTTTGCCTTCCCCCAAAAGTGTGACCACACCGGCTAATGTTTTTCTTTTAGTCTTTCTTACTTAATCTTCCTGGAAAAGATGAAACAAGATGTGAAAGAGTTTGATATACCAACCCTCCTGACCCCTTGGATTCTATAATCAAGACAACTTTTTTCTGATCCAGCTTTTTTTATTTGCACACTTGCATCAGTTTTGTAGTGCCCAAAGGATTCTATCCATATTATCAAATCAGAATGGCCTATTTTTGACAACTGCAACTTTTGTATCAACCAACTGCTCATGCACAGTTCTCCTCTGATTCTTGACAGCGAGAGAACTAGCCTTACAGAGAACAGAGGGTAAAACAGTGATGTACACAGCCATGGGTCCTGAGTGGAGACAGTTTGGTTACCCCAGGAAGAGACGACCTCTCAGCTCAGTCATCCTGCACGAGGGCCAGGCAGACAGGATCCTACAGGACGTTAAGGAGTTCATCAGTAACCCCAAGTGGTACACTGACAGGGGTAGGTAAAACAGCTCTTACATTTTATCACAGGGCCACAGTTTAAAAATACACACTTGACCATAAAAGTCTTGTGGCCTCACCAGTGGGATCATCAGCTGATTCCACCCTTCGACGGAAATTTCGGCCCTTAAATCAGAATTTCCTCAGGATGGTGGGCCAGCAGTGCTCTGCACCACCTCCCACTGGTGAGCACTTAAAAACAACTAAAAACTAACTGCCAGTTCTTAAAAGAACACGGTTCTATTTGCATAGAACACAGTTTTGTATCACAACACCAGACCTAGAGTGCTACTACTATTACAGTATCACCTTTTGAGACCTTAACCTTGCCACTGTCTTGTTCCATCAGAGTTTTTTTTTTGTAAGTTTCAGTGTATGATCATATCTCAATCTGTCTTCTCCAGGTATTCCATACAGAAGAGGTTACTTACTGTACGGCCCTCCAGGCTGTGGAAAAAGCAGCTTTATGTGAGTAAAATTACAAAACAATAGACTGTTGTTTTAGAATCTTTTTGCACTCACTCTGGAACCAAAACATACAAACCTAGCATAAATTAGTGCCACCCAAAGCAGTACTACAACCCTGGCCAGTAAGGTCCAGTACAGCATATGTCTGATGACAGACTCAACCTGATATCTGCCGACTCACTTTAGAACCCAAACATACAAACCTAGCATTAAATAGTACCGCCCAAAACTATACTTCCATTCCAGAATTAAAAACACCTTTAAAAACATCTTACAGCACAGCCCTTGCCGGTGAGGTCCAGTACAGCATATGTCTGATGACAGACTCAACCTAATCTCTGCCGACTCACTTTAGAACCCAAACATACAAACCTTGCATCAAATAGTACCACCCAGAACTATACTTCCATCCCAGAATTGAAAACACCTTTTTTTTTACACCTTACAGCACAGCCCTGGCCGGTGAGCTTCAGTACAGCATCTGTCTGATGAACCTGAGTGAACGTGGTTTGTCTGATGACAGACTGAACCACCTCCTGAGTGTGGCTCCTCAGCAGAGTATCATACTACTGGAGGACATAGACGCAGCCTTCGTCAGCAGAGAACTCACACCACAAGGTACATGAGTTCATTTCTACCTCAGGCCACACCAATGGCCTCAACTGACTGGGAAAAGCTCCCCTCAGATATTGAAAAGTGTTTGGTGCTTAGTTGATTATGGCACAGTCACATTCATCATAGGGTGTCATGCGATTTAATTTTGCTGCGGTACAATTTTCAAGTAGGCTGTGACTCAACAAACAACCAGCAAGGATCTATCTCAGACAGTTGTGTGCATGTGTACTGCAAAAACTGAATTTTGCACTACTTATGCACAAATATCCCAAGAATGCACACAGTTAGCAATCATACAACAATTGTATGGGATAATGAAAATTATACATCATGATGTTTCTGAAAATTGTTGTTTTTAGCACACAAAAAAAGGAAACAAACAAAGATGTAATGTTTCGTCTCAAGCTTTTCCTACTGTACTCTTTCTACCTCACAGAGAAGGCGGCGTACCAAGGCATGGGGAGACTGACCTTCAGTGGCCTACTGAACGCCTTGGACGGAGTGGCTTCAACAGAGGCCAGGATTGTGTTCATGACCACCAACTTTATTGACAGGTAGATCACAATGGACGTCAAGTACTGTACATGTCTTGTATTAGTCAAATAGACGAAGGCTTTTGACTTTATTTGTCTACGATGATTGCTTTTGAACTGGTCTAATGGTGGATCTTCAAGTGCTCAATGAGGTGAGGAGTTAAATCCCGGCTGTTGCTGCTCACCCGTCATTTATGAGTCGGCACTGTACTGAGCTGTTGACTTCCTTGGAGCTTTGGCAGCTTGGGTGCCATCCTCTAGAGTTACCACTGGCTCCTTATTGTCGATAGCTACCATGGACTGCGGAGGATGGCACCCAGGCCAAAGCTTTCAATTGGAGGATGTGATTTTTTTTTATTGCAAACGGGCGAAAATTAATGTGCGCGCAGATGTCATCCATGAAATTAAATCAGTGGGGCCTAAGTCTCCACTGAGTGTAGACTACATGTACTATCATCCCACCTGCAGGTTGGACCCAGCTCTCATCAGACCAGGTCGTGTGGATATGAAGGAGTACATCGGCCACGCCAGCGAACACCAGCTCAGGGAAATGTTCCGCAGGTTCTATCCTGACCAACCACAGGCAAGGTCACAGGAGTTTGCCAGCAAGGTCGCTGCACATGGAAAGGACATAAGTATAGCACTGGTAAGTTGTTTGTCTTTTTATAGTTTTTTACTTCCAAGATGGAAGCATTGTTTTGGGCGGTGCTAGTTTCGGTGCAAATTCAGTGTTTGTATTCCAAAGTGAGTGGGCAGAGATTGGGTTTCACTTGATTGACAGGGTTTTGAACCAGAATGCCCTAGGAAACATAAACCATTGTTTGATAGAGGAGCAAGTTCCATCAAACAATCCAATAGTGCATTCCATGATGTAATACATCAATGCATACAGTTGTGTACATCCATTATATCTACTTCCGGACTTCTTCTATACTTAACCCAAAAAATAAAAAAAATTGGTAATTATGATATTTACTTATTTACTTTTTAATTGTAAGAAAAGCTTTGATATCTGTTTATCAAATTAATGTCGGCAACAACATTGGCATCACAGATGTAATTATGCTGCTATTATTATTTTAAATATAATGCTAGTGCATAGAGTAGAACAAATGAAACTATTTTGATCACTGGAAAGAAATTATCTTAAATGTGTCTTTGTTTCCTTTTTCCTGTAGGTCCAAGGTTTCTTCATGCTCAATAAGTCAGATCCTGATGCTGTTATAGAAAATATAGACAAGATGTGGACATAGAAGTGAACAGAATTTTATTTCTATAGGTTGCTCATCATAATGTTCACAATTACCTGCAAGCAAAATGTCGAAGTTGAATTTTGCTCAGGCAAGTTGCTGAGTCTCCAAGATAAAGGAAACAAGGCTTTTTTACTGCTACAAAATTGGAACAATTTGTTTATAGATCTATTATCAGTACATGTGATCATACAGTGTATTAAGTAACGTTTCTTGTTTTAATAAAAATATAATTGCTCTGTTGAATGCCATTGTGTTTATTCATAGATATTTTGTTAACCTACTAGATATACCTATAATTGAAAGACAATGATCCCTACAAACTGTAAATCACAATTTTTTCAGCGTACTGCCAGCTGCCACCGCGCCGCGTGCCTGCGAAGCTGGTGTATTAGGCCAAAAGGCGGTTATACCGGCTATTCAGATACAGAATGATACAGATACTTTTATATTTGCGGTTTTTGCATTCACTGTACCGTGAACAAATAATTCGCAGACTTTCTTCTGCACCTGTCTTCACCACGATAATAGTAAATCCAAAAACATGTCCCTGGCACGAAGGTAGATATTTGCTCAGAAAGAGAGGCTTTTGAGGTAATTGAACAGTCGTAATGTCACAATCTGTCTGTTAAAGATTTCCAGTACTCAATCCCACAGTAAAAAGAGTCCAATTTTTTGTGTACACATGCATATGTGATCGTATCAATGTCACTTCTTACAAAAGACTGGTACATGATTCTGTGGCTTTCAATTTCGTACTATTGGTACACTGTGTGATGTAGAATTATCAAAAGTCTTTTCATGTTCTTTTTTGTGTTATCCATATGCATATCAGAACAATACACAATGAACTCAATTCAAACATATGACAAAAGTGTAACCTTGAAGAAAACTAGGTCCGTGCCAAAAGCTATATGAGTTTGTTATTACAACTTTAAAGTCCGTATTCTAAATCTTTTCGATTATAGCACAGTGCGTGACAAGAGCACCATGGGCAAAATAGTCGCATTAAACTTTGACAGTCTTCAAATCCTTCCATTTTTTTGGTCCGTCTGCCTTTGAAAATCTCTATGACAAAAGCCCTGTTCGCGAATTTGCGTATGGATCACTTGATCTACATCGGAGAGCAGGGGGGCATTGATGAGAAATGTTAATGAAATTGTTGAATTTTACTGGCAACGTGGTTTTGTCATAATGTGATACACACGTTACTTGTCCACACAGCAAAGAAGTTATTGTTGACTTTTTGAAATCTCTTGTTTAAGTTTGACAGCTTGACTGTATTCTGACCCCCCCCCCCTGAATAGTTCAGATGGTACCGCCTACAAGAACTTGAACGACAGATTTTACTCCTCAGTGTCAGTTGGGCTCACGGATAGTTTGACCGACGTTTTAGTTTTCGATTACCTGAATTTTCTTCGATTTTCTGAGCAAGGGAGATTTCCGACCCGTCTAAAATGGGCTGTACCGCCCTGGGCGGGCTAGATAGGCCGCTTCGCCCTCGGAGGCGTGCCCGTTGGCAGAACAGCGCCAGGATGAAGCCAGGCCGCCCGCCCAGCCACCTCGGAGCTGTCGTTCTGGTGTTTTTGGCCCTGGTGCAACCTGTGGCGTTCGCACAACTTGTATTCGTGAACACACCCACACCTCCACCCATCGTGCTCCCCCTACTTCCCACCACTGCACCTGGTATGTGTTACGTTAGTTGCTTTTATTGACTTTGGTTTGTATACAATACGTTCTAAGTTCATTGCAGATTCGTGATTAATTTTATCGGGTACATGTAGGTGAATGATTGAATAGAAATTGAAGTTCTTTATTCACAGCCACTTGTTTAGCAAGGCAATTATTGCTGTGCACTACCGAGGCTGGGTGTTACTGGCATTTTTCGTGTCTACGATGTTGCTGTAACTATTTAGATATGTTTTGTTGAAACCCATGGTCTTCCATGGATCTTTTCAATGTTCAATGTTTTTTGGCGTTCATTGGTTGCCTAGCGGGTCTCCATCCATTGAAAGTGGGACCTGAGCACTCTATAATGCAGTGGTAATGTGGTCTTCTGTGCCTTCCATCAACCCTTGCGTTTACGCCAAATGTACACAGACGTGACAAAACCAGTTTTGTTCAGGTTAACCACATACATTACCCATTCATTCCGCCACACATTAGAGATGCGCATTCACATACATTGTATTCTAAGATCCTTTGCTAAATGATGTTTCTGTCGATACTTTCATTATTCACACCACTTCTGCTTCGACATTTTGCGTGACAGACGTGTGAATTATTCTGATCCTGTAGTGACCAACAAAATGGGCTTATTGTGCAATTTGGTATTGGTAGATATGCGGCATTATTAATTCAGTGTGCGTGTGTGTGCGATGCATAGAAGGGTAGAGGTACGTATACCCTACTGTTATCATTTACCCATTTGGAAAGAGGATTTGTGAGTTATAATAAACTTTTTTTTGGCAATTGTAAAGCCAGACAGTCAATTTATGTAAGTTCATCCAGTTTGAGCCAGCCGATTTGTGATTTTTTACAGACTAGGTTGCCTTTGTGACTTCTGGCAGAAATAGTATGCTTTCATTTGTGCCCCAACAATTCACATATAATTATTAGTCTGTTCGAGAGCCTTACGTAATGCAACACGTCAGGGGAAGCTGCATTAGTCGCTCAGTCATCCAATCATAGACCGATCCTGACCGTTCATCACAACCAGTTCAACCAATGATAGCATGGCTATAAGCGGTTCGACCAATGAGAGAGAGTGGCTGCGTTTTTAGGTGGTGGGCGGGGCTATAGGATCAGTCTATTCCACAAGTCATTGTAGATGCAAGCGTGCTTGTTGTAATGTCTTCAGCACAGAGTTTGACAATGTTGGCATCCGCTTTTGTAGTCACCCATCATCAGATAGCTTGAAATCCTTTAAGAAGTTTGCGTGATGTCTCAACTTACAATTTATGAAAGAAAATAACCAGGAAAGTAAGTACTTTTTGTAAAGACGTTTAACATTTATACAACAGCTAGAAGAGGCATGGTCGTAGAAAGCACGTACGTTGCACGGAATTTACAATGCTGTTATTTAAGGTCTTTTCTATGAAAGAATTTAGCAATTGAATATCAAAGAGGACCCATTGCTTTTCGTCTTCGTGAACGATAGGAACCTGTTCGTGTTTCACTAAAATGTTGAATCTCTGATACGTGACTTCGGGCAATGCATATGCTCACAGGAACTTGAATCATATATCGGGGACAAGTGGCGTCGAATAGCCAAGTGGCTTAGGCGAGTTGACAGAAGATCGAGTAATTTAGGAGCTTGATGCAGGAAGTGCAGGAGCATTTTGCGTAGCTGAGCTGTTGGTTCATATGTCCAACTGTCGAGACAGAGTAGATTGACAGCGCGTTCGTGGAGGATCGGAAGATTGACTGGCAGAATGATGGGACAAAGTGGTTATCTATGGACCTTTATGCAAATTTATACAAATTAGTCAAATCATACCCTGGATAGAAAATAAAACAGCGTAACTTAACGTTAATGTAGCCTCCTTAGCCAAACTTCCGATTCGGTGGCGTTTTTTCGGGGAGCGACGCGAGTTATACCGCCGAGGTAAGGTTTTGCGGCATCAGAAGTCTGCGAAGGAGGCTAACTTTAATGGTGCTTTTACAGATTCGTACTGCCCGGATGGCTATACATCGTTTGCTGAGGCGTGCTTCAAGGTATTTATAAAAAAAAAGATCACGTACACGGACGCACAGACACACTGCAATACCGAGGGCGGCCGCCTGGCGATGCCTAAAAACCAAGCAACCACCCAGCTACTCATCAACCTAACAAGCTTTGAACTAACAGGCATTGCAAGCGAAAAGATTTACTACATCGGTATGACATTTGTCGAGGACAAAAACAGATTCATGTGGAATGACGGAAGTGATTTGGCCAGTTTCACTAACTGGATGCATGGTGAACCAAATGGTGGTGGAAACGACCAAGGTTACGTAATATTTCGTTTGGGGTGGTGGCACGATGTAGCATGTTCTGCTGCCTACCGCTTCATCTGTCAACTTGAAGTTTTTCATGGTAAGCCTCATAGAATAAGTGTTGATTTGATTCGTGTATCCAACTGCATGGCATGTATTGGTTGGTAATGCTGAACGAGTCACATCTTTTTTTCTGGCATTTGCAAAACGTGTAAGATTGCACCACAACGTACCTCACCGTTGGTAAACTCATCATCACGTTTACAATCATCACATCACCATCAATTTTCACTCATCATCATTGACTGATCATCACAGCACTTTGGTACGGCGTTGAAGAGATTCACGTATCTTTGGGTGGTATTTTATAGGACAAAGAGTCAGGTATTAAGAGACTCGGCCAACATATCATTTTATTTTTTTTCTGTTGCATCGCAAAGTTGGTTGGTTTCCTCTCTATACTTACATATACTAATTCACGTCTCAAACGTGAACTTTTAGTTACGATATGACTTATAACGTTTGGTACTTCATTTTTTTCACTAGGGATTCTTTCGTATTGTCAATTTATTACATCATCCATCACAATATCAATTCTCTTTCTTTTTTTTAGATATTTTGCCAATAACTAACATTTTTTATGTCTTAGCTACCATTAACATCTACTTATTTTTTCATCGTTGTCACCAATTTTCATTTAATTGTATGTAATGTGTTTCATTTCATGCAATTGTTTGTGTCACACCATCTGTTTGACGGACCACTTGTTTCCATCATTCCTAAATTATACCTGCTAGAGCAAGACGGCTATAATAATATGGTACTTACCTACACGAATTGTTCTTGTTCCTAGTCGACCCGGTGACGAACTTGCTTGTGGACCAGGTGAGTGAGAACTGTGTCAGGATCTCCTGGAAGGCCCCGGGCTCGCCGGTGGACGGCTACGACGTTACGGTTTCCACTGAAAACCTGGAGATAGCCAACAAGGTGAGCCATCCAAAGGTCTAGCTTCCTGTGCAGGCCTTCGGGCGAGTGGGAGTTTTGACACTGCGTTTTGTAGAATTTTTTTAACGCGTGCTTTTGCCCGCCGGCCTACAACCAGCCGCCCAGAGAAGGTGGGTACAAACCTCTTGGCGGCTGGTGGAAGGATGGCCCTCAAAAGAACGAGTTAAAAATTCTACAAAACGCAGCATCAAAACTCCCACCCG